AGAGACACCAATCAATCTTAATAAGGTGGATTTACCACTCATGTTCGGTCCTGTAAGTAAAAGAGTATCAATAGAGCCAGTAAATTTGATTGTGTTTGGCACCCATTCAATATCTTTATTTTATAATAGGCAAGGATGATACGCTTCAATCAATTCACACCTCTTTTCACTTTCGTCTTGAATAATTTATGGAAAACAAGATACTTTTTACTCATTCGACACCAGGGCCAAGGAAATTCTAAGAAATATACAAATATAATTACAGACAATCAGCTTCTGAGAGATAAGAGATCAATTAGAAAAATTATTTCCTATGTGAATAGAATTTAGTGAAATATTCATTGATAAAGGGGAGTAGTTTTTAAGATAATTCATCTTCTACCTTTCTTAACTTATATAATTATTCCTCTATAAATGTAGTCTAAAATCTTTGAAATCCTTGTCTTTTGGAAGTTATAATTAATTCTTTTGGTTTTTAATTACCTTCCAAACATTTCTCAGGTATTTCTAATTGATATTTCATTCTTGCATGTGTGTAAACAATTTCAGGGCATTTCAATTTTTTCTTCCACTTTTCAAGTTCATCTTAAAGTGAATCAGTGATTTCATTTAACTTATCTAATGCCTGATCATATTCTGGACTTACTCCCTTAACAGGTTATGGTTCATTATCATCCATAGTCATACACTTTTCCAATTCATCAAGTGAGTCTTTCAAAATCTGAGCATTTTACCTATAATTTAAGATTTCCTTCAATTTTTTAGATTTAAGTTATTTAATATCTTAATCAAAGACCTTAAATGCCTCAGCAGCCTACCTGATATGACTCAAAACATTCTTTATTTCTTTCAACTTAGTCTTACCAATACTCTCTCCTCCAGTAATAGGGACAGCCTTTAATTTGTGAGAATGAATAGTATTAAAACACTTAATGATGGCACGTTCTATATCTGGTAATGATTTGATTCTTTTTTGGAATTCTACACATTTAGGAATTAAATTAGTTAGTTCTTGTACGCAATCTTACCTCTCTATAATTAATTTATAGTTTTATAACGGACTCTAAACCCATTTAGTAAGTAGTCTCTTAGCAGGAGAAGTAGCACATCGATTCAAATAATCGAACAAACTGCCTGCAGTAGTGATTTTAGTTTGTAGATTTACATTAAATATTTCCAAGCTTTCTAAGGCTTAGGAATCTAAATAAAGATGAGTGTTATGAGTGAAATTGGAATCAAGAAAATTGAATTTACCTCTTCTGTAAACAGAATCACTAATTAGTAGTTATCTCAAGTAACACAATAAAAGGTACAAAGATTATGTGGAATAATAATAAGAATAAAAGTTAGATTCGTCATCCTCTTTATCTAATTACTTTTTTTCATGATAAAATTGTTTCTCCAATTCTATTAGTATATTAGGATAATCCTAACTCAATTAATAATTCTAAACACATTTTTCTTCTCTTATCACTTGCTTTGAATCAGAATATAATCCTTAATTGATATCAATGTCTAATTTTTGTTCAGATTCATCTTTATGAGTAGGTATTACAATTCCATCAAACAGTTTTTCATTTTAGTTATTTTTACCTTTAACCACTTCCATATACTCAATTTTAAATTGTTGGAATATGAACTCACAATCTTTGAATGATTTTTTGTAAATGATGATAGTGGGATTGCATATATTTCTAAAATTATTTTACTTGAATAAATTACTTGAAAATCTTTTCAATTTCAGGTGGTGTCTTACAGAGTATGACTTCTACAGGCTTGGCATTATAAATAATAGATCTAAGATGATTGGATTAAGCATCATCGAAGAATTGATCAAATGTAAAAAGATTGGTCGTACAATCAACAATAGAAACACCATAAATATATGTATGGCCTTTTAAATTGGCTGGTGCTTTTGAGCAAACCAACACTAATAGATTCCTCTATTCATAAGTTTCTGCATCTCCCAAATCTTATAGAGTGCCTCTACTTATCATTTAGGTAATTTCTCTTCGCACAACTTCACCATCCTCTTTATTAGCTACATCTGCTTTTTCCAATTATTCAATCATTATTATTTTGTGTCCTTTCTCCAACAATGCTCTTTAATACATTGGCAGTTGATTATCATAGACTGTTACACAAGGTCTATCCTTTCCCCAGAATCCCAAGTAACGATTAAACATTTTAGCAACAATTATGGCATCGTTGTACATTACAGCTATCCATCTACCACATCGAAAGAATATCATGGAATCTAAATGGTTTTTCTTTGCATTCCAATACTACCTGAACATTGGTGGCAATTTTTGATATTGATCATTTGGAATGTCAATTGTGGAAGGATCATAATCTGGTTCATCTGGTCGTCTCCCCTCTGAATCTCGAATGTGTTCAGGTTGCATGAATATGGGCAAGGTTTATTCAGCTAATTTATAAAATTCTTCATCTCCTTTGTTATGTTGTTACTCTTCTTAACAAGGTTCTTGTTGTTACTATTATGGTTATTATTCTGTTTTTTTGGGTTGTTTCTTTTATCTGGTTCCTTTTGACTTCACATTAGTATGGGATTGTCTTTTTTTGTTCTGTTTCTCATCTTCAGAACTAGGTTGAAGTTCAGAAGAAGAGGATTCTTTTTATGCTTAAGGTGTGTAATCTTCATCATCATCAGTTTTCTTTAATCGACGAGACGATCTTTTTCTATTAGTGGATTTCTTCTTCTATTGCTTCTTTGATATTTCAAACAATTCATCATCATCATCTTCTTTTCCATTCTTACGCATTTTGATTTGCTACCAAAATATTTCTTTAATTTAATTTTAAATTCCATCCTTAATGTCCTCAGAAAGCAATAAAAAGCCTATAGTCATAATCCCACAAACCACTATGAACATTCGCAGGTTGGAAATTGACTAAGTGGATCAGAGTGATGACTTAGAAGCCTCATCAGAAAAAATATCAGAATAACAATCAGATGACCCCTTTTTAAATTTTGTTGCCTCATATTCACTCTTCACCAATAATTCAGAAGATACTCAATTAGATCTCACTTAAGTGCTACAACAACTCAATGATAAGATTTAAATCATGAAACCACCATCGAATCACTTATTAGACTTTCATTAGTAATTATAAATTAAAGAAAATCAAATAAATGAATTAGCAGACACTCTCAAATAATTACCAGACTCTAAACTCTTTTCTTGTATTCAAGATGTTGAGAAGTAAAACTATCCTCACATTATTTAGACTTTACTATAGACTATCAGTTGATTTTCAAGAAGAATTGCGCACTGCCTAAAAACTAAGAATTGTTTGATCTACAAATATATATTTTATATATTCATTCATAACAAAATCAATAATAATTTATTATATTTATTATCTACTCTAAATTACACTATTAAATATACTTTTTCTCTCCTATTCCCCATAAACAAAGGAATTTGAATTAACAGACATGACTGACAAACTACAATATCTAGCCATTGTAAAAAAGTACTGGAATTCTGTATTTCAGATTGTTAGGACAAATAATGAAGTCAAATATCGACAGAATTTGGCTTCATTAGAAGTTCTTGGAGTCTCACATGACTTTGTTAATTTTTAAGAAGATTTATTTAACGATTCAGTAAAATTAATACAATATAAACTTAATATAGTTATCATGATTAAGATAAATTGCCAGCAGCAGTAATATTTAGACTGTGAATCTATCTTTTAGAGTATAATGAATTTAAAGTTGCAGGTTCTAGAACTGGTACATCCACATATTTATTTGAATTGTAATCAAACAGTCGAACAGTTTTCGATATATCTAAATTTTTAGCATTTTATTTGTATTTATCTCCTTTAATCTTATTCTTATTATTGTAGCAACAGGTTTGGATGATCCCCATTTTTTTATCAGAGCTATTTAAAAAACTTAATAAATTAATATATTAAAACATTAATATCAAAACTAAAAAGTGAGGCATAATATCATATTGCTGTCAGAGAATTTGATCTTAATCTTGATATAGTTTTTTTTTAATTTGGATTTTGAATTGCACTTTTAATCCTTTATCGACTATGCGTAGTGCTACAAGAAGGCATTCTTTTCAAAGGGCTAATACAAGTCGAATTTCGAGGCGATTCTTAATCTAAATAAATAAAAACCATCTAAAAACCTTAAAGCAGTTCCAAAATGCGATGTTGCAACAGAAACTAAGTGTCACAATCGGTAATAGAAGCTCTCAGCACGAAATCATTTTGAATCAACATATCTTGTTTGAGAAAGTAAGGTACCTTTGATCATTCCCTTTTGTTCATAGGAAATCAAATTCTTCTGGTACAACTAATATAGTGCAAACAACACTTCGCTCTCGGTTGCCATATATATTAATTAATTATAATATATATAATTATACCCTAGATGTGTCATAACGATAAGAAAACCACTTTAATTGTTAAAACATAATATTGAACAATTTCTTAATTGCACCTTCATTTTGTAATTTAAAAAATAAGAAAAAATTATCTAATTTGAACAAATCAATTTGCAAACTTCAGAAAAGGAAATCAATATTAATGCAGAAATTGAATTAAGAATATTTTTAAAATAAATTTTGAAAGATGTATTATAAGTAGACATCATAATAAGATTTAATTGGCATCAATACGCTATGGTTTTTATACCGCCACTTACGAATGATCTAGTAATATAATTAATAAATTAATAGGAATCTTGAAGTTAAATTAGCAGTATTAAAACAATCTACTTATATAGGATTTAATTATGATATTGGATCTGAATAATTTCCATCTTTTAATCAGTGACTAATGATTTATTGATTGTAAATTTAATAATAATAATGACATATAATTCTTATTCTTAAGGATTATTTTGCTATAAGAAAAATTATAAAGATGTAGAATTCAATAACTACTTTTTGATCTAAAGTACAAGATGATACTATAGTAAATACAGTAATAGATTATAATAATATTTAAATTTAATAATGAGAAAACAATTCAAAATAGTTAAGAATTTCAGTTATCAACGTAAAGAAAATCTCATTTCCCCAAGGAAATCAAATGAAGAGCCGATATATAGTGAACCTTTAAATGATAATGGTTAGAATAATAAAGGCAATGAAGTAATACATAATCCGCCTATACCTACTCCTCCTACAGTTGTTACTCATAAAGTAGTTGTCGTTAATGGTTCGAAATATGGAAAATAGGTAGATCATTATATTAATCCGGCTGCCATTCCTAAAAAAAAACCTAAGGTATTTTGGCTATTCTTATGCTTGTTTATTCTAAATTTTGGATTAGGGATTGCTATTTTTGCAACTTAAGGCGATCAAACAGCAATCATAGTCTTTGAAGTGGTTATGTAATAATTATCGTATATCTAAGGATGCTATTAAATTTTATTTCAGGGGCCTATTATTACACTAAATAAATAGAAATCTTGTTGGATAGACCAAAATGCTTCTTCATTTTTTTTGGTACAATGCTAGCAGAATTTTTGTGTTTATTTATCTAACTTATTATTTCCTGGATAACATAAGTTGGTTTTGCGATATAAATAACAAATATAATCTCGTTGACTATTTTCTTATTATATTTTTACAATTAGAGAAAAAAGTATTTTGAAAGATGAGAATTGAAAATGAAGTTGAATATTTTTTTGTGAATGAAAGAATAAATTAAAAGTTAGAATTTATAAAAAATCATTAAAGTTCTATTTCTTTAGGAGTTCCTATCTTTTTGCTATTTTGGTAATTTTAAATATAAATCACTTGATATAAGCTTAAAACCTATATTAACATAATACTCTCTAAAATTATGATGTAAATCGACCCATTATCCATCTTTATTTCCCTCCTCATTATATATTCCTCCTCCTCTAAAAAGTAGAAAATGAAGATTACATAACACCGTTATTGAAACATGTTTCCCACATACCGCTCCTAATTCCATCAAAATACTCACCCTTATAAGTAACTTAGCAAAATCTAATTATTAAATCATTTAACTACTTAGTGAAATTGATATGTAAGTCTACCCAATCTCCATTTTTCAATCCTCTCTAATCATATTCTCCTCCTCCACTATAATAAATTTATTAAGCATTACATAGTTTAACCCTCAAAATTAATAGCCCAAATTCCTTGTTTGATCCCATTTTTATACTCTCCATGATGAATGATTTATGCGAAACTATATATTATTTAGTAGTAAATGTACTCGGAGTAATTTTCATGAAAATCAATCCATCTGCCATGTTTTAATCCATTTTCATTGTAATAGCCACCTCCACTGAAATATAAAAGAATACTTACACATTCTGATTATTCATCACAATATCCCATCTGCCTTATCTTAGATCTTTCTGGTATTCACCTTTATAGAAGATATTGCATCCGCCACAATTTGAAACAAAGTATTTTTCATGCAAGTCAACCCACTTTCCAACTTTTAATCCGCAATTATATTATCCACCACCTCTATAAAGATGGAAATATAATATACATAATGCTGGATTTGGGTTATATATTTTCTTTATCAAACTATATTATGTCCCATTTGCCTTATTTAGCTCCACCACTATATTCCCCAGAGTAAACAACTTTGCAGTAACTTTAAAATTATATAAATTAAAATATACTCTGAAAAGTTTGGATGCAATTCTATCCATTTCCCTTTTTTACGGCCATTCTCATTGTATGTTCCGCTGCCTCTAAAGGTAAAGTTTTGATAATACATGATGTTTTATTCAATTTCTTTATACCCTCTGTAAATGATATTCCATTTATTTATTTTTCGTCCATTTTGATATTCTCCGTAATATCCAACTTAACAATGTCTAAATTAGAACTATATTTCTTACTCCCAAAAATCTTCATGTAAATCTAACCATTTACCATTCTTCAATCCAAATTAATTATAATTGCCTCCTCCTCTATGAATTAGATAATAAAATTACAAATAATTTCCATTATAAGTTATTCTCCAATTTCCACATCTTCTGCCATCTTAATATTCTCCACTGTAAGTCACTTTACAATTCCTATATTATTGTCATAACTTCTACTTTTTGAAATTATTATCTATTTCTGTCCATTCACCTTATTTCATACCTTTTTGATTGTAGGTTCCTCCTCCACTAATTGAATAATACTGATATATACATTCTTTATTCCTTCAAAAAAATATCCCACTTTCCTGTTTTCCTTCCTTCTGTATAATTTCCAATACAAAATACTTTGGATTTTCTAATTCTATATCATATTAATACATCCAAAAATTCTCCCATAAATCTATCCACTTCCCTTCTTTTTATTGCATTTAATCGCAAAAACCTCCAGCTTTTAATAATTCCCCTCTCCAATACACTTAATGTTGTGTTTAAGTAGAATCGCACACAGTTTCCCATCTTAAGTATCTTAACTAATCTAAATTTCCTTAAACCGTTTTCCTTTTCATTAGATCTTGTATTGATTCACTAATACTATAATACACATATTACATTTTTAAAATTTCTCCATCTTTAATATATTTCACTTTTTCACCTTTTTTCAGCAACATGAAAAACATTATTTTTTATTGAACCCACCCATTAAATAAGTCTCTGTATTCCTATTTCCCATATTCAATCACAAGATACTCTTGTTTAGCCCTTTCTTCGTCCGATATTTAAGACATTTAATGTATCATTTTATTATTATTATAATTTTAAGGAATATAGCAATAAAATTAAGTTTAAATATCAATAACGTACATTATTTAATTAACATTTATTTTAGTTCCATATTCTCATATTATAATACGTTCCTTTATATATTCTAGAGCAGATCGAACAAGAATTTACATAACAGTTTAAAATGTTTTGATAATTATATTGCCATTTTATTAATACGGAAGTCTAAACCAACTATTATTTTTATAAAGGGTCTGATATTTTGTTCAATAATATAAATGAAAATATTTTTTATTAAAGTAAAAAGAGAACATTTTTTATTTTATAGCACATTTTATAACAAAGAGAACATTTTTTAATATTTTTATCAGAAATAATCATAATTAAAAAATTTATAAACAAATATTTAATGATAAGTATATTAATTAAATTAATGATACCTAAACAATTATCATTCTTTCTAGATCCAACTAGTTGTAAACAAAGAGATGATCCCAAAGAATACTTTTTCAGCGTTGTAGCAAGTAGCTTGTTAAAGGAAACTAAATACTATGAAACATCGGATGAATCCAGAAATAAATTGATAGCAACAATGAATACAATTGCAAACATTGATCCTGAGTTTATATTGTAGGTGGCTTACTACGTTAGAAATCAAATGTATATCAGAAGTGTAAGTAATTTCATCCTTGCATTTTCCACTCTCCATCCTAAAACTAAACCATTCTGCTCAACATATATGTGTCCAACTATGTTAATACCTGGAGATCTGATTGAAGTTTGCTAATTTGTTCAAGTAATTTCCAAATGTTTGAATTCAAATAACTAATTGGATGGAAACACCGACATTAGAAAATAATTAAAGTTCCCAAAAATATTGTAAAAGCAGATCCAAAAAAAACTTACCCAATTCAATATTTATCAACTTGGTAAACAATGTTCAGATGGTAGTAGAAAAAAGAACATTAAGAAATATTAGGAAATTCTCAAGCCTGATCTCAAAAATAAGAGAAGAGAGAAAAGACTATTGAAATTAAAATTAATTAGAAATTAAATTGAATCACAAGGACCAGATGTTAAAACCCAATTCTAAATAAAAGCCATCTAAAAAACTAATAGATCAACAAAAAATAAAGGAAGACATATGAGGAACCCTCACATTACAGAAGTTCAAGAAAAATTAAATGTTTTTGATACTAACTTCTTAAATTTAAAAGATATCGTCACATTTAGTCATGTCAAAGAGCCTAGAAGTCTAGTTATGTCGATTTTAGGAGTTAAATATCCAAAAACATTGGAAGAATTTGAAAAGGAATTTAAAGAAGAAAAGAAGTTTTAATTTGAGCCTGAGAAAGCAGGTAAAAGAATGTCAATTCCCATTCCAGTCACATGGGATAGAGAATTAAGTAAAGGTTTAAATTCAAAGAAATAAATTTGGGAGGACTTAATTCAAAAAAATTAAGTTCCTTACTTAGCTTTGTTAAGAAATCTAAGAAATATATTGAAATCAGGTGTGAGCGAGGAGGCACATTAGAAAGTTGTTGATAAATTATCAAATTTGAAATAAGTAGAAATTTCAAAGGTCTTCCCACTCCAATTCTTCACAGCTTTGAATGAAATTGACAAATTGAGGGTTAGTAAAGGATAAATTCAATAGGAAGCTCTAAAACAAAGAGGAAGTAAAGAAAGAGCAAAAAAATAAGTAAAACCAGAGAAATAGAAGTAGGAAGTGGAAATTGAAGAACAAGAAGTAGATGTACCTCAAAACGTAATTGAATCTTATAAAGATGCCATTGAAAAAGCAATGAAAATAGCTGTTGATAAAAATCTAGAAACTATTTCTGGTGTTACTTATGTGTTTGTTGATGTAAGTGGATCAATGCGTAGTCCAATTAGTGGAGGAAAGAAGTATGGGTCAGTTAATTAATGTATGACTTGTGCTTTTGTATTGGCACATTTGATAAGAATAAAATGCGAGAAATGTGAGTATTATTTATTTGCTGCTCCTTAGAAAACAAAAGTTCCATACACTAAAGTTACTTTTGAGAATGATACTTTATTAGAAGGTATCGAAAGATGTTAACAAAAGAGTGGAGAATTATGTGGATCTCATGAAATGATTGGATAAACCATCAATGATTTATTATTAGTTCCAAAAGTTAGAGCTGATAATGTGGTTATATTAAGTGATATGATGGTAACCTAAGGATTTTCAGAATCAGGATTGAGTATGGATAAGGTGTTTAAAGATTATTTATAAAAAGTGAATCCAGACGCTAAATTCTTCTTCATGGACATCTCTGGTTATGGCAAGTAAGTTAGTTTTGGTGATGATCTCAAAAGTAAAAATTGCTTCCTCATTAATGGGATGAGTGACAACGTATTAAAATACATCTCTTATGCAGGCAAAATTAATCAACTCGAGGATGTTGTGGCCTTTAGCTAAGAGTTGAAAGTCAAATAGTAAGTTTAGGAATTGAAGAACAATGCCTAGATGGTAAAACCATAATAAATTGAAACTGAATGATTTTTTTATAATTCCTAAATAGTACTTTATTTCGCATCGATTTTACTTTATATATTATATATTAAATTTCCGATGAATTTAATAATAGTTGAGAACAGATTGATTGTTCAAATTGAACTCTAGTATATTCAAACATACAATTTTACATCTATCATGATTATTTAAGAATACCTAATATATAATTTCAAATATTTAATTAAGCAACAAATGAATTTCATTAATGAGAGAATAAACTTAATAATCTAAAATAAGTAACCTTCATTTCAAATTCTCAGATAGTAACTTAATTAACTTGAATATTTGCTCTAGTTCTTCAAATTGTTTTGGATTGGAAAGTAATATCAAACATTTTGGATTGAGAAAGTTTAACATTAAAAAGAAATGCCCAAAGATACACAATGAATAATCATTTGAATATTCACCAATAAATTCTATTAAAACTTGGAAACCCTCTGTTTGGGTTGCAGAAATTTATGTATAATGAGAAGACTTTTAATAAAATAGCTCAAATTTATCATACATTATATTGCTCTTGAAAGTAATAATTAATATTGATCAATATTGTAATAAACAATAAAAATTAAGAGATTTATCAATTATGTATAACTCTACATATATTAATGATAATCAACAATTCATTTAATAAATTAATTGAGGACTGCTTTAAATCATTTTTAATCATTAGAAAATGATAGGCGAAGCTTTTTTTTTCTTTTTAAATGCCTTCAATATATATTAGGCTATTTTCCTTATTGTCTTATACTTTCGAAAAAGAAACTTCCATTACTATAACCCATCAATCCCTAATTGAATAATTAATATTGAGGTCATACAAAAAATGCAACCCCATCCCAAGTATTATCGAATCTCGTATGTAAACCAAACTAACTCAAAATCACAACTTAAAATTGTGATAATCAATAATGTTAAAGAGACGCTAATCTCGCAAAATAACTATTTAAATTATTCTAATTTATCCTGCAATGGTTTAAATATGATTAAAAATAAGCAAAAAGAAATTGATAGAATTGTGATGCTAATTGATTAAAAAGCTGGGAATTCATATGCTAATATCAATAATAGGATGAAGATAAGTTTTTTGATGAGGAGTATTGCATTAAAATATTTAGAAAATTGGTTTATTTTGACTCCCTCAAAAATAGATCCATATTTTATTTAGATAGCTTTACTATTCACAGCGCATTTCTTCATCTAGGATACTTTTATTACAAAATAAATGCTATAAATATGTGCAGCACTTGCCACACAAGCTAAGAAAGAGTTTAATCTAATAAAATCATATGATGAGTTGAATTATAAGGTATACAATTGCAGTACTGCACAGAAAGCAAATTCATATGCAGTAGCCATATACGCACGTAAGATCCCACTATAGTAGAATTCTTAAACGATAACCAAACACAATCTATTAATGACATGCTTAATTGTTAACAAATATACACCAATTTTGAGAATCCTTTTACTTTGGATTTACGTTTCGGGATTAATGTTAAATTTAATTTAAGATAAGATTTTAGGTACCACATTTGCAATTGCATAAATACTGAAAAGGGAAATCCATACTGCAGATATTGTTGCAGTATTAATCATAAATAGTGATGTTATATAATCACTTGCTATTTTTTAAGGTAACTGATTATATTTTTGTGTTTTGAGTATTGATTCAATGATTCCTGAAAAATCAAAAATCTTTTAAATAAAGTTAAATTAAGCAATTTCAAAAAGCGCAAAGTAGATTTATAAATTATATGGAAGTTGAGTATTAATGTATTTCAAATAAGATAGCATTTAGAGAGTATCCAATAAATTAAAAAAGGCTTCAATTCCTCCAAATACAACTGATCCTGCGCACATTGCCAAAATAAAGTAGAGAATATATGAGTTACTCTTTGTGGCTAATTGCACTCGAGTAATGGTGGTATTATCTATATAGATCACTTTTGGTATAATGCAAGAGACTTCATTTTCTATTTGGGAGTACCCTTTAGTAGAATAAATCACAGAGTTATTTAGAAATTTGATCAACAATGTTTCGTCTTAGGAATTTCTTGAGAAATTGATTTTTATCATCAAAGTTAATTAAGATTAATTAAACTCATTAATCTATACAATATCTTGAGCTAGTTCATAGGATTGATCCACTTATTAAACACCAAGATCGTTAGAGAAATTAAAAGTTAGGTAATCTTTAATTTGAAAACCATGAGTAATAACGATGGGAACACTATAAGATAATTTAAACTATCTAGTAACGGAGTAAACTTAAGAAGTGCCTACACTCTACAATAATGGTTTTGGATAATCTGGAACGATACTTACACCATTTACAAAGATATACTTATTTTCAAGTTTACATTAATCATCACATCCATCACCTTTAAGAATATTGCCATCATCGCATTCCTCTTCCTTTACTTTAATATAGTCTCCACATTTATTTAAACAAATTCCATTATTCTATTCTGCATAATATCCAAATTCACAAGGTTAACATTTATGATTCTTTTATTTTAGAATCTTACAACTTACGCAATTGTAGGCTTAATCAATGCATTCTAAACAATTAACTGAACATTGAACACAATCATTTTTATCCAAGAAATACCCAATTTCGCATTTAATACATTAAGTTTTTTATGACAAAGTATCTAGTTCACATTCAATGCAATTAATGGAACATTGAAAACAAATTGATTATTTCAGTATTTCATTGTTACAAGAATAATTATGATCAATTTGGCAATTTGAGCAGCCATCCCTAATTACATCATTTCCATCATCACATTCTTCTCCATATGTCCAAATTTAATCATTACAATCATAATATTTGCAACTCTCCTAAATTTTCCCTAATTCACCCAAGCATGAAATGCAAACTGCATCTTCACTTTCAAAATAATTTTAAGCACATTGACATTTGTTATTCTTTAAAACTCTATGCTGCTTATCATCACAACTTAGACAATTAAAATAATTGTCAATGCAAGTTAAACAAAATTAATAACATTATGAACAACTATTTTGATTCCAAAAGTACCCTGGGCTGCAAGAACATTGAGAATTTTAATCTAAGTATAACTTAGATAATGGGAAACATTCTTAACATATTGTTTAATTTAGACATACTTTACATGGATATTCACATCTATGACATTAATTCTATTTTTATTCATAATATCCAACTTTACAGATACATTTACTATTAGAATTAATTTCTTAATTTAAGCTACAAGTAAGGCATTTTTCAGGTATTTCTTTGCAAGATAAACAATTGCTATTACATGGTTCACATTTCTAATCCAGTAGATAATAGCCATCTAAGCATACATCGCAATTGAATTAATTGGTACATGTTTTACAAAAAGGAATACACGCTTCACATAAAGACGTTTACTTTAAAAAATATCCATCCTAACAATTATCGCAAGTTATTTGATTGAAGCAAACACTACAATTAATAATGCATTCTAAACATCTATTAATTGCGGATAGATAGAATCCATTAATACAACTATTGCAATTACCATTCCCTTAACAATCTAGGCAATATTTGTCACAACAAAAATCTCCCTTCTATATAAAACCTTCTTTGCATGAGCATTCATTTTCAATAATCTAATTTGGATCCACACAAGTTAGACAATTAGAAACAGTATTGATACAAGTAGAACATGGGCTTTGACATTAAAGGCATAAAATGCCTGATTAAAGGTATCCTGGTTTACAAATACACTATTGATTGGAATCTGGAATTTTAGTTGTATCAATGCAGCTTATACAACCATTCATATTACATTCATAACATGGATCTTGACACTTTGCACATGTCATTAGACTATCAGAATAATAAGTAGATTTGCAAACACATTATGAAGTGGAATTAACTTCTTGATTAACATCCACACATGTTAAACATTTTGAAGTAGATATCGAACAAGTCTAACATGGTTGTTAACAAAGTATGCAAAAGTAATTAGAGTCATGTCCCCATCCTAGATCACATTAACAAGTATCAGGTTATTAATGAGATGAATCTTAACAGGTTACACATTTGTTTTTCGTATCTACACAATTTATACATGGCAATTAACATTTGATGCAATTGATGCCATAACTATCCATAATCCAACCTGCATTACATTCACATTGAAATGAACTATTAACTACTTAATTAACATCAACACAGGATAAGCAGTGAAACTGACTTAATTCACAAGTTTTACATGGTTTTATACACATCAAACACATTTGAGGACTAACTTAAATATAGCCAGGGGAGCATTCACATTAATATTGTGTCGAACTTAATATAAAAGGAAAAATGCATTATGTACAATTAGTAGCTATTGATAAGCACTTTGAACAAGGCGCTGTACAAGCCTGACATTAATTTAATCCATCAGTATAATATTCATCTTTGCAAACACATTAAAAATCACGATTTGCTTTTCTATTGCTGTCAACACAACTAATACAATTATATGATTAATTCAGGCAAAGTAAACATGGATTCTAACAGGGAAGACATTCAAAATTTGAAAGATAGCTGCCTTCATTACATGAAGTACAGAAAGTGCTTTACATTGCACATGTTCTGCATTATTGATTGCAATGGGAGCAAGTTCCATTATCCAAGTAATTTCCGATTTCACATGTATTACATAAAGTATTAGAAGTACAAGTAGCACACTAACTTGGACAAGGGGAGCAATTAATACCAGATAGGTAATACTTTGGAAAGCAAATTGAGCATTATTTTTATACGAATGGAGCAGGACAGGAGCATGGAACCAGGCTACAAGTTTAGCATCCAGTTTGACAAGAATCACATTCACGAACATCAGAAAGTAAATAAAAACCTGATTTACACGTGTCACATTTGTTAGTTTAAGTACAAGTCAAACAATTAGATGAACAATCAACGCATAATCCATTATCAAAATATTACCCTTGATTACAACACCAAGTTACTAAAATAGTTTTAAGCGAATTTACAAAAACAGTTCATTAAAATCAAGTTGATTCTAAACAAGTTGTACGACATCCAAGAAAATAAATATAAGAATAAATGATTTATGCAAAAAAAGTTAATAGATGTAATTTAGAAGTGATTAATTATTAATATCTGTTATTTACAAGGATTGAAAATTAATTGTCACTAGTGAATTTTACAGAGATAGTGATAATTTGTATCATCAATTTATATATTATTATTAAACTACCATATGTAGAAATTGTTAAAGTTTATTGCAATACTCTTTAATTCTCTTAATTGAAATTTGTTAAATCAATATATTGATTATTCTTGATAAAACCATCAACAAAAAACTCAAAATTATATTTGTACAACTGCAACCTCAAATACTTTAAATACTTCCTTCATATTCAAGCAAATTGTATATGATTCACCTAACAAAAGTTATTGTTTTTATTATGGAAAAAAAGACGATCTAAATTTTGCTCAGACCCTGCTTTTCACGATTCTTGAAAGTTCACATTTTTGCTCATATAATTTAGAAGTTTTAATATCATCGATCATATTTAAATATTAAATTTAATTCAAATATTGGAAAAACAAAGGATAAGTATAATATTTTCAATCATTCAAAGTAAAATCAATTGAAGATCACAAAATATAGTTAAAACTTACAAGAGTTTAGAGAAACTTTTACTCTCATACCTATNTTCTGCATTATTGATTGCAATGGGAGCAAGTTCCATTATCCAAGTAATTTCCGATTTCACATGTATTACATAAAGTATTAGAAGTACAAGTAGCACACTAACTTGGACAAGGGGAGCAATTAATACCAGATAGGTAATACTTTGGAAAGCAAATTGAGCATTATTTTTATACGAATGGAGCAGGACAGGAGCATGGAACCAGGCTACAAGTTTAGCATCCAGTTTGACAAGAATCACATTCACGAACATCAGAAAGTAAATAAAAACCTGATTTACACGTGTCACATTTGTTAGTTTAAGTACAAGTCAAACAATTAGATGAACAATCAACGCATAATCCATTATCAAAATATTACCCTTGATTACAACACCAAGTTACTAAAATAGTTTTAAGCGAATTTACAAAAACAGTTCATTAAAATCAAGTTGATTCTAAACAAGTTGTACGACATCCAAGAAAATAAATATAAGAATAAATGATTTATGCAAAAAAAGTTAATAGATGTAATTTAGAAGTGATTAATTATTAATATCTGTTATTTACAAGGATTGAAAATTAATTGTCACTAGTGAATTTTACAGAGATAGTGATAATTTGTATCATCAATTTATATATTATTATTAAACTACCATATGTAGAAATTGTTAAAGTTTATTGCAATACTCTTTAATTCTCTTAATTGAAATTTGTTAAATCAATATATTGATTATTCTTGATAAAACCATCAACAAAAAACTCAAAATTATATTTGTACAACTGCAACCTCAAATACTTTAAATACTTCCTTCATATTCAAGCAAATTGTATATGATTCACCTAACAAAAGTTATTGTTTTTATTATGGAAAAAAAGACGATCTAAATTTTGCTCAGACCCTGCTTTTCACGATTCTTGAAAGTTCACATTTTTGCTCATATAATTTAGAAGTTTTAATATCATCGATCATATTTAAATATTAAATTTAATTCAAATATTGGAAAAACAAAGGATAAGTATAATATTTTCAATCATTCAAAGTAAAATCAATTGAAGATCACAAAATATAGTTAAAACTTACAAGAGTTTAGAGAAACTTTTACTCTCATACCTATCTATTATTTCATTCTTAATTTCACTTCCAATCAGTTTTACTAGCATATTTGTAGAATATATTTTAGACTATATCTTATGAACCTTTTTGAAATTTTAGAAAAATAATTGATTATCATTAGTACATTTATTGATTTAATTCTCTATTAAATATAAGAACTTTAAATAATTGGTATATCCAATAAAAGTGGTTTTACAATCTTTCTTTGATCCCAATACGATTTTTATCTTTAACTTAATTCATCACTCACGAATTAATCCTAAATTTTACCGATAATTCAATCCAATCATTTCTCCTAATTAATATTAACTTATTTTCAATTATTTTTATCAATTTAATTTATTGACTTACCACTAGATGTGCAAACCACACATTTTGATAATTTAATTCATTTTTCAGACTATATGAAATGCTTAACTTATCAGAAATTATGTAATACTTTAGCTGCTTAGGAATTTTCCTTTATATTCTCTCTAAAAGGGGAATATATATATAGGAGCTTAAGTACTAATTATAGTTCCTATTTTATTATATTCGATTTATTTGAATTAATATGGAAATTTAATTCTATTCTTTCTATATAATAGACCAAAGAACACTAAAACACATGTTGTTATTCATAAAAATGAAATTTTAGTTAAAAAATCTGTTTAAAGACTCTTTTATTTATATTCTTTTAAATTTATGGCCATAAATTTGAGCCTAAATAATTAGCTTTGATAACTGACAATATAGTTAAGTTAGTAAATGTTGAATGACTAATCTTCTGCTTGGATCGTATTAATGAGAAATAAAAATGATAAAAATGGTTTGATTATTTCTTCAATTTGATTAACTTCAAAATCTTAGTATTTAGGAACAATATTAGATGATTATCATCTAATCGCTTTACTGGAAGTTGAAGTCTTGGAATCAAATATACTATTAACAATATCTATGGAACATAATAAAAACAGAAGACTCAGAAAATTGCAGCATTTTAAAGGTATAATTGATTATTTGATTTGAAAAATTGAATTAAAAAAATGGATTTATCACATGCTAAAACTATCTCTTACAACCTATTACCATAGTATTCTATAAATTAAAATTCATCGCCTTGTGCAATGGCAATTAACAAAACCAATACATTGCTTGTAGTTGAAACATACTACTTCATTAAATGTTTTACATTTAACAAAGGGGAGATAAGAATGTTGTAGATGTTTAAATTTGGAAATTCTAATCATCATACTTTAAGATTTCAAATGCAGAAATAAGATATCGTCTCAAGCTCAAAGACATTTCTTTGCAAATATTCATCAAAGTTAATGGCTAATCCAAAATATATCTAGAAATGTTCTGGATAATTTGATTCGTTTTGTTTAATTCTACACCCTCTTAATGAAGACATTATAATTTTGGGTAGTTTATTAGGTAAAATTGACTTTTTGTTCACTCATTAGAATGGTAGTAGCAAACCGTTTAAATAAACTATTAAGGAGCATAGTTCAGTGCTTGGATTATCAATAAATGATGATGGTACAAGAATTATTTCCTGTGGTAAAGACAATTTCATTCTAATTCTTGAACCCAATTCCACTAATTCTGAATCATCAACAGAAATTTGGACTGTAAAATAAAAATTATATGTTGAGCAATATGGTTACAGAATATGCTTTATTAATAATGATAAATTTTCATTCCAACCATTAAATAAGCCTTACATGAATTTATATTGTGAAATAAATGATAAGTTTCTTTTCTAAAGCTAACATTTACTATCTTCTGATAAAAATGATTAACGTTGTATTTTCTAATAAGTGTACAATAAATAGAAGTCCCTTATTTTCAATATATATGGAAGAGCGTTATAAATTATGAGGTATTCAAAGGATCAAACCTTGCAATCAGGCAAATCTGAGGAATCTGTTTTTTTAGAATAAATTATTGATTTTGGAAAAAACTATAATCCATGGATTTTTGGTATTATTAGTGAAGATGCAGAATATATAATTACTTGGGATTTTCATTCAGAGTAAATATAAATTAGATAATTTCAAAATAATGAGTGAGACTATATCAACAAAAATTTAATAATATAAAATAATTTACTGACTATTTTGTTAATTTAAATGTGCCTTTAAGTGCAAAACCTATTAAATATAAATAATAGTCAATAATATTAGTTAATAGATATTTGTAGTGTCTTTTTTCATAAATATAGATGTAAAGTAGAAAACGATATTAGATTCACAATTTAATTTTACTATTTTTTACTTTATAACTAAATGGTCTTATTTTATGTATTAATAGATTTGTGTTGTTATATCCTTTATTCATGATTTACTTCTAAATCGTTCTGACTTGAGAAGATTTTATTGATCATAATTTTATCATTACAAAGGTATTTCAAAAATGATGGGTTTTGTAAAACACAGATATTTAAAGATTTTTAATTTTACAAATAGAAATAATGAAAATTAATCAAATTAATTGAATAATTAACTTATTAAAGAATATTTTAAAAAATAGCATGGATATCAATAATTGTTTCTCCTCAATTAATACTTCAAGATAGACAAGTATAAAATTTACTATTTCAAGTTGAATAGAATGTAACATTAATGAATAATATCGAAATAAAACAATAGAAAAAGAAGGAACTTTATCTCAAAGCATTAGATAAGATTATCTCATTACTGCAAAAGAATTAGTGTCCTCGCCCTAAGTTATAAATTGAAAAACCTTAAGTTAAAATAGAAGGATGTAGAAGCATTTGGTAAAATTACTCAACAATTTGCAATTAAATAAAAATGAACTCTAAAGTTATAGATTAGTATTTTTCTGCCTTGTTTTATCATTATGTGTATGAAAATGTAATAGTTTAGGCTAATAAGAAATTAACAATTAATCATTCGTGGACAAAGAGTTAAAAGTACACACATTGTATCTTTGCTTTAGCAATTTTTAAGTATTAAGACAAATATACCAATAGAAGAATAAAAGATTTGTAGTTAATGCAAAAGTGCAGATACAAATTTAGTAAAAAATCGAAAAATAAAATTGATTTTTAAGGAATGTAGAATTTGCAGAGCTACTTGTACTGTTGAAGGATCAAAATTTAAATGCTTTAGATTTCCTTGATTCTTTCTAATAAATTATGTATCAAATTTTTATGATTTCTATTCATATTTCATCTCTCTTTTGAATATCTGTTTTATTTGTCATGTTTGACTCAAATAGTTTTAAACATTTTTTATTTACAAATGGAAAATTAAGGAAAAAATGAATCTAATATGTTAATAATAATTTTAAATATAAGTATGAGTAATTTTTTGGGAAATCTTATTGATACTCTGCTAAACAATAAAGAACATAAATTGGAGAATTTTAGTGACTTTATTAAGAAAGAAATAAGTGATATCGAAAAACATTTGATTGGCGATGTGGATTAGCTCATTAGATTGGATAAATACATATTTATCATTTTATTGTTCTTAGGAATTTTAAATCTTATTATTTTAGGATTTCTTATTAGATTATATCTTAGATATAAAAAGAATACTGAATATAATACACAAATACAATATTCAAGAATTCAATATGATGGAAATATATGATTTTATGGTTATATAAATTTTAATTATAAATACTTAGTCGATGTAAACATCAAATTCAAATTTAATATTAGTAGAGAGTGATAAAATTCATGATAATTAGATTAGCAATAATAGAATAAATGATCTTAAATTTTTACAGCAGTTAAATGAACAAAGCGTAATAAATCATTGTTTTCTAAGTAATATCTCATCATAACATTATTGGTTAAGAATATTTTCATAAAGATGATATATTGAAAGGAGATTTTAAGATTAATCACTTTCCACAATATTTCTTTTGAAACCTAGATCTATTTAGAGTCAAAAATAATAATCATGAGTGAAGTTGTGAAAGAAACATTTTTCCTTCTATAGTTGTTCTCAAAAAATATTTTTTAGCTTGAGGATAAAATATGCCCATTTTATCTCCCAATATAGTATAGCATACACTAGTGAATTTCCAGATTAGGAAGTTCACTAATACTATTTTATTAATATATTCACATATATGTGTTAAAATGTATTAATGAATTTCCTTCCGAGGAAATTCACCAAATTATTATATACTCATAGATTTTACATTTTTTCACTGAAAGGTATGTCAAAAGTGATAGGTTGTATGACAATACATGCGACTTAGAGGGAATTTCACTCTTTGGCAAATAACCTATAATTTTGAAAGCAAAATTTAATTCTTCAATTTGAATAAGTATTAATGGCGAATACCCTGAATTAGAAATTCACTAGAATATATTAGATTATACTGGGAGATAAAATGGGCAAATTTCATCTCCTAATCTGATAAATTACACTTTATATATTATATTTCTAAAATATTTTCTAAAAGATGTCAATCTTCTATTATGTTGAATAATAGTGTATTGTATTTTTTATGTATTATAACGAAATAACTATTTTACAATTCTAATGGCAATTGGAAGGACGATTAAGATGAGCTATGTACAAATGTCTTTGCTAATTAATTTCGTGATGAAAACTTGGAACTTTGGAAATTCATTTCTATAATAATTTAATGTTTAAACTAAAGGTAACTCATGGTATATTTAAGCCTTATTCTACAAAATATTAGAATAATACTTAATCAAATAATTAAATGTATATATGAAAATAATGAATGAATCATTCAATTGCCCAGAAAACCTTAAACTTTAAGAGCTGCTTTATGAATCCTTCAAATATATATAGAGCATTTTATAAATCAATATTATATATTTTTTTAATTAATTTATGAACCCTCCAATATTTAGTTGCACATATGTGGCTCATAATTAGCATCCAATTATAAAATTTTGCTTAAATGAGAAATGTAAAGAAAAGAAGGACAAACTTTGTTAAATTTGTTGGAATGAATCCCATAAGGATCATCAATTAGATTGTTTCCCAATTACAATATTATATTCTATATTACAGATTCATCTAAAAAAGTTAGAACAGCTCTTTTAGCAACACTAGTCTTTATCAAAGAAAGATTAATGTGATTCTTTTTCGCAAGAATTAATTGATTATCAAGATAAATTTAAGAAGCTAATTAAAAACTAATTAGATGAAATTCATATATACTAAGATAATTAGATATTAATTCAATTTGCAAGGCAATGTTACAATAACTAATTATAGAAATTGCTAATAGCCTTTCTATTGAATCAACCAATTGGAGAAACTGCAAAAAGTACAATAATTTAGATTATTCAACATATATATGCGTTTGATGACTCTGAATACTTGCTATTAATACTTACTTCATAAAGTATTTAAAATGTTTATCAAATATTCTAGTTGAAGACTTGCTTCAATTATGTAAATATAATTTGGCACTTTAAAAAATAAACTCTGCTCTTAAATTTCAGCTAGATTATTTTTTCTTAGCCAAAAAATGTAATGTATTTTATAATTTAGATTCAATATTAATTATTATGAGTAAGAATTAAGAAGCAAACTAATTAATATATCAAGATGATTATAATAATGATACTATTTTTTAAGGTCAGGTGATGTAATTTGTTAATTACCATTACTGTAACACTTTTTTTATTTCGGTTAGATAAACGATAGCATATAAATGATGATCGATTTAATATGCAATTGTTTCAAAGTCTATCTCTTTTAGATTAAGGTAAAATAGATGAGGCAAATAATGTTATCAAAGCAGAATTATATAAAAAGCCAGAAAGTTTAGATATAGTTATGTTTTATGGTAATCTATATTTATAAAGAAAGTTAAATTTTTGGCTTTGTATCAAAATAAATTTGAAGAAGCAATTCATTTTTGTAAATAAGGAATGGAGAAATACCCTAACTGTTAGGCTTACAGTGATGCAAAATGTAAATATTAATTATTTTGAAGTTTTATGTATGCTTTTGTCGGATCCAAAATAATATTATAGCAATAATTTATAAAATATAAGCGATGAAACAAAAATTTCTTACGGTAATGTATTAGAAAAAATAATAGCTATTGTATTGATTAGATCAGGTGAATTTTAGAAAGCCATTGAGTGTCTAAATTCAATATAAAAACATTCAAAAAAGTATCCCGAAGCTTAGAGTTTTCTATGTAATTGTTAATTTTACAAAGTCATTGCTTAAAAATTATTTTCTAAAAATAAAGGAGGTTTTTCCTTTTAGTCAATGGATTAATCTAGATAATAAAACTCACCACTAATATAATTTATTTAAGAGTGTACAAAGTTATTTTATGAAAGTGAAAAATTTGTGTTTAGAAAAAAAATTCTAAAGTGCTTTAGATCTTGTTGAGAAGAAGTTATTTTAGATTCCTAATAGTTTGTTTCTAAATTTGATTAAATGTTAAATTAATTATTTAATTACATAGCAATTTGTTTAATCGCTTTAAAAGAATATGGGAGAGCTGAAGAATATTTAAATATAGCAAGGTAACAATATCCAAATGAACCTATAATCGAAATTTGTTACGGTATTTAAAAGGATAATTAAAATTAGCATACAATTTAGTGGGATTGAAATAATACCAATAAGCTTTGGAAATAATTGATAATCAACCTTTGCAACATGGAAAATCAGATTATCTTGAATTAAAAGGTAAGTTAAATGTATATCATAAAGGATAAATTTATTTTCACTAAGGATTATTAGATGCCTCACTTAATTGTTTTAAGTAATTACAATCGAATCAAAATAAAATGTCCAAAATAGACATATACTTGGGTTAATTATAAGTAGAATTAATTAGGTTTGATTCATCAAGTATAAAAATAATATAATGTTGCAATCAATTACTATGATCGGGCACTTTAAACTGAAACTGACAAGCCTTAACTACTTTACAATAAAGGTAATGAGATAATCGTGTAATTTAGCACTTGCTATTTTAGATTACAACATTATCTAAAAAGTATAGCCTAGTGATGTATCATTAGAGGAAGCCAAAAATATCCTTCAATCAATCAAAGGATATTCAGAATCTTAATGGTTGTTAGGTTACTATCTATTATATATTTAAGTTATTCTAAATTTTTATTAAAACAATTTTAATGAGGCACACAGTTTATTGGAAATAATAAAAAATGATACTGCAAACTCAGAAAAAGCATAAAAATTATAAGGTAATTAAAATTGATTTTTAGCAAATATTTATTATAAATAAAGAGTATTTGAGAAATCGGTTAATCTTTATCAGAAATTGAATTTTTCATCCTTAAATAAGATAGATATTTTGTAGTACAGTAATTAATAATTAATTAAATTTAGTAATTTCTGCACTTCTCATAAAAAATTTTGTATTGGCTGAATCATTGATCAATAAGTCTTAGCATTAATTGAAATCACTTTTTTACTTTTTTAAAGGTATAACTTAAGCTTATTCAGGTTTCCTTATGGAATTTTAAGGTAAATATTAAGAATCTTTGCAATTTTATGAAGAATTTTGTTCATAAGAATTATCTAAATAGGCTGTTACTGAATGTCTTAATATAGTTAAGGCTGCTAAGCTAGCATAAAGTTTATTGCCAATATATATATATAGGGAAAATATTCATAAGACTATAATAAAATTAAAAGGTGATTGAATTTGAAAATACCATAAAAAAAGAATATCCAAATCTTCCTTTAGATACTAATTATCAAGGTAAAGTATATATTTTTAATAGACTTATTGATAAGCGAATTTGAATAAATTCATTATAGAGCAACACCTATTCTTAGTTAATTAGAAAATATCAATTTAATATTATTAATGGATTTTACCAAATGGTGTGTGCTTATCGACAAACATGATTCTTTGAACAACTACTTATTTGAATGTATTTTTAAATAATGAAAATATAATTTTAACAGATTTAATATGAATTTTATAACTATTGTTACTTTAATATTAATTCTTGATTGGAGAGTAAATTCTAGAAACTAAAATTCACAATAATGATCATAATAACACCTGCTTAGTCTCTCATGCATATTGTTTCTCACATGCTTTGAACTTTTGATTAATAATATCAGATCGAAAATAAAATAATTGCTTTTATAAATTATGTAAACAAATATGAGAGATTTTTACTAGCAATTATAAAACCGAATTGATATTAGTACATACTATACTATCATGATCATTAACACATTCTATCAATGAATTAAAAACATTTGCTAACTTTAAACAAATTGTATTAATATATATCTTTTTTTAATTGTCTATATATTTTTGATATAAATTCTTTAAATAAAGATTAAATATATTTATTTTTTATTAATGTTGAAGTCAATAAAATGTAATTGAGAAAAAATTTATTTAAGTTAAGTGTGATAATTTACTTTTAATAATTTGGTAATCAATGAAATGTAAAAGAGAATATATATTTCATATGAAAATATAACATTATGTAAAAAATAATAACTTTTAAAGAGGGTTAGAAATCTAAAGAGATTATACATAATTTCATTATATATTATAGAGGATATAATTTTTTTAATTTAGTTACGGCTCAGAATGAATAGACTTTGAAAATGCTTAAGATTTCATAGCAGCTTTCACCGCTTGTAATTTGGCTGCCTAAGAAGTATCAGAACAGCTTCTGAAAGGAAAATTATTTTAATACCTCCCAAAATTTATATGACATAATTGGAGCATATCTAAAAGTAAATATAAAAGAGATGAAGAATGTCATACAAAGAAATATTGTAGCAGAAGATCCAGAATACGATGTTAAGTCAGCCTAATTATTGGATAATAATAAAGCGAATAATAAGATATTAGATTATTCATATTTAAAGGGAGGACAAAAATAAAAGCTAATAGGGAAAAATGATGAAAAAATTATTAAAATATTTCATATCACAAACGAATACTCACTATTTAAGAAATAAAGTGAAAGAATAAAACAGAAAAAGAACCATGCTTCTCACACTTAGAAATATCAGAAATAGAATTCGTATAAATGAAATATTTATATGAATAAGGAAAAAATTTCTGTTAAAATGTCTGATTAATACCATAAAGTAGATAGTTAAGGAGGTGATTTCTAAGAAGGGTAATTAACTTAATTGGAAATAATAATAATCATTTTCTTAAGATTCTTAGGTTTATGATTAAGAGGAAATATTTTGTTAAAAACTTAGATCTGACCCATATGCATCAGCACAATCTTATAGAAGTCATATTCATTTTCAAACATGATGGAAAAACACTATCGAAAAACAAATTTGATAAATATTTAAGATTTAATGGGAATTGAGGCTAATGGCTTCTTAAATACCCGTTAAACAGATTGAGAATATATTGGAAAAGTTTGATCACTGAAATAAAGCATTTTTGCAATAATTAAATAAGAAACAGTACATCTTTTTGTCTCTAATTAGTGAGGAACTAGTACATATCAGATTCTGTAAAATATAAATATTAATATAATAAGAGATACCTCTAATTCTGGAGGTATAATTATAGGAGTACATAAATAATTTCAAAGCAAAAACATCACAACCTTCTATTTTAAAAATAACTCTATGAAGATTACATTTTACCTGAAGTTCTAGTTGTTTAAATAATAAATCTGATTTTAAACTTAGTTTTAATTAATGTTTACTTTCACAATCAAAGTGAATATAATAGCGTAGATAGTACTTCTGGGAAAATGTAATAGGAATAGTTAATTAACTATCGAACAATTAGCAACTTGTCATCCGTGGAGATTTTAATTATGAAGATCTAGGAGTTGGGTTACTGCCCATGATAAGATTACTTCTAGAAGAATATAACTACATAGTAAATTATCTTCTGTAACTGATCATATCCTAATATCAAGAGAGGTTAATTTTTCAGCATCACAAATGTGGAAGAACTCATATGTTCATTGTATATTAAGACTAGAATTTGAAGCTAATTCTCATAGCTCAATATCAAAAGAGAAAGCAATAAAATGCTGTCAAAGTATTCGTACATTTGAAAACTTTTCAAGTAGATACAAAAGTTTGCTATGGAAGAATCAGAATAAAACATGTCAAATATTAAAAAATTAGTAATTAAAGCAATCTCATTTGATGGAATATAACGAATTCGTAAAACTCTACATTCGGAATATCATAAACGATAATCATTAAGAAACTTGGATGGGTAGATTATGCATATTGAACAAATGCGATCCTGAAATACTTTTTAAGGAAAAATTTAGACCTCTAGTTAAAGATACATATACTTACCTTAATTTCAATTATTTTTTCATAGATATTGATATTTTAATATCTATCTCAATTTAATCTATTCTTCATTAGCATTTATTTGAAAACTATATTAAAAGTATAAATATATCATACTTATTCTAATTTAAACTTATCTTTGTTAAAAATTTGATTGATTACAATATTGTAAACTATTAACAATTGTTTTTCTTAATATAATTTCTTCATTAATTTTTTTTTGATTTAGAAATTGTTAAAACCCACCATCCTTTCTGTATTCTTTTCATTCTTAAATAACGATTAACTTAGTTACACTACATTAATTAGATATAAATACCATTACAATAATTGAACACACTAGATAACATATAGTTATACAACATTATGATGATTGAGTAATAATGTTTTTTATTTCTTTAATTGATTTAAAATTATAATTCTTGTTTATATTAATTTTTTTAGATTAATTTATTACCATAAACTACGAAATTTGATAGAAACAATATTAATTCCATAGCAATCATAACAATAAACTTAATTAAATTTAGAATATTTGATAAATATATTATTTTATTCACATAAAAACTTACATTGCTCCTTCAAATATTAAAATTTAATACATTACATATAAAAGAATCTATTCATAAAATTTTTGTTTTTTTAATCGATTATTTAATTTATTGATAATGCATGCAATCTTATTCTAGAGGGACAAAATAAACCTTTTTATACCAAAAAAACTATGCAATCCCTTTAGATTTATAGGAAAAACGGCTATTTACTTTTTTCGGATCAATTAAAATATAAATAGAGGTCTAAAAGAGAATTATTAAGTTTCAGATGTTGATTAATTTTGCAGCTGGAATTGGCATTAAATTTAATGAAAATTTTTCCTAAAATTAACAGAAAATTAAGTTCTAAAATCCATTTTCTAATCACACTTTTTTTATAAAATAACAATATTTTTTTTTGATTCTGACTGTTTAATCATACTTATAAATATTGCAAAAAAAATAGTTAGAAACTATCAGAATGGAATTTATTTTTGAATTGAAGTTATTTTTATACCAATATTAGAATTGGAGAAATAATTATTAATTTAATTCATGATTTAAACTGGCTTGAATATTGTACTTGAAGATTCGGCAAAGGAGACTTTAGAACAACTTAATAAATTCAAAGAAGGACCATACAATGGTATTTTAATCTCAGGAAGACCAGGCACTGGAAAGACATTTTTATGCAAATATTTTGCTTAATTAAATGATTCTTGTCATTTGTTTTTCAATTGTGTAAACGAGTTTCCAAATTTGGCAGCATCATAGATGGAGGAGCTGATAAAGCAATAAAGAAAAAAACTGGTGTTTTTTGATGATTTGGAATATTTTAGTTTTGTTTAACAGGAGAAATATTATAAATTAATGGAAATTATAAAGATATGTTAGGAACAGGAACATAAATTGATATTTATCACACAATCCCCAGATAAACTTGAGCTATTTCCTTAGAAATTACCTTATGATCGAGCTACTGTGTTATAATTACCAGAAAAGAAATTTAGAGAATAAATAATAACCAATAACTTGCCATCATTTAAATTCTTAAGTGGGCTCACTGATAGCTATTCAGTGAGTGATCTTATGGTTCTAATTCAAGACATCTAGATGGAACCATTTAAAATGATAATCAATTGTCCTAGTTTCGAACTGATAGAAGGAAAGTATTATCCCTCTTAAGATGTAAAGGATCCTAAAGTGCTACTGAGTTATGATGAGAAATTAAGGTTTTTATAGGAAGGTAAAATACAAATATAGGAATTAGAAGAGAAGGATGTGAGAAGAATATTGAATGAGAGAAAAAGAATATGAGAAATTATTATAAATATTTAATCATATTAAATTATAAATTTCAAAGTTTCTTTCGCTACAAAATATACCTCTTAATTTGTCAAAATTATCAGCTAGATTAATATAACATAGTCTTCGTTGTCATAATTTTTTTTGTTTAAATTTGCTATACTACCTATTACTTAAAATATGATCAGAAATGAAGCAAAATCAAGCAAAATTTATTAATTAATACTACTATTTATCAATTTTATTACTCTAAAACTCTTAATTAAAAGCAACAAAACCAATTAACATAGGATCTTGTCAACTGTTAATTTTAAATCATTCAGTTTATCCAAGAATTATATATATTTCTTTTTGCTTGCTAACCTGCCTAATTGGATAATTTTTTGACGTTGTCTTTCCTCTTGATTTAAATCTATTTTTTTAATACACTTAATTTAGAATTGAAATTTTAAAATATTTGTAATATATTGATATATATGTGATTATCACCTATCCACAGTTTAAAAATTTCAACATTAGATTTTCTAATAAATCAGTCCATTTTATTATCTATGGGAATAAAATTGTCTATATAATTACTGCCGAAAAGAAAAATATTATTAACTATGTATTCCAAATAAAAATCATGAATATTAATAATTCTACCAAAATATAAAAAATAATAAATCACTAATTTACCTGTTCATATTTAGCAATCGAAGAAATTATTGATATTTTCATATGCTTAGAAGAGGTAAAAGAATAAGATCTTATTTCTGGTATTTGATAGAAAAAATCATTTTGTTATTTTTTCGTAATACTTTATTGATTCATAGTAAGAACATTAATTATTTTAAATCTTCCTCGAAGTGATATTTTTGTGATTTTTGGATAAGGGAAAAGTAAGTAAAATTAAATGTTGTTTAGGGTAAGTGTTTTTTTGGAATAAAAAATAGAAAATAAATCATATTAATAACTTGAATTTAGAGAAATCCAATTTCTAAGTTAACTGACTTATAACAACAGAGTTAAAATTAGTAAAATTCAGAATTTAGTTTAAAATAATAGATGAGTAACCTAAAAATTAGAAGTCACAGATTCCATTATTTCTTACTAGATGTACGAATTAAAGAAAAGACATTTTACACAGCCAAAGTGATAATTATCAAGATTAGATATATTCAAAGGAGGAGTTTAAGTCGAAAATTTTCTTCATGAATAGATAAGACTGTTTTGACAACTTGGGTTATTGCCAAAGATTTTTTGTAACAAGGGATTTGGAATACGGAGTGCTAAAACTAAATTGTAAATTTCATTTCTTATTTAATAAAATGTTATATATAACAGATTAAAATCAATTCACTACATTAAGCCAACATATATTCTGATATTATTTCGCTTTATTAAAAAAATTCAAGGAATGTGGAATTGCTTAAAAAATATATTTAAATTAAAAGGTTCAATTTTGTTTGATTTTATCAATAGATATATAAAAATCCTTATTTAATTTATTCTAAGCAAACCAATAATAAATTTGCTTCTTGAAGTTTATTTAAAATATTTTATAAATCTTAAATATACTCTTAATCGTTCGCCAGAGAGTTGAGAATGATATTACTAAGAAACATGATGATTTATGTACTTCATAAGATGATAAATTAAAATTATGGAAAATCTCAGTAGAAGAAGGTTAAATGATAATATTAATTTAATTAAATGGCATCAAAAAAAATTTTGATTTTGAATACTTTCCTATTCATCTTAATGGATTTGGCTACGATTTCAATCTTGCTTTTTGAATCAGTTTAAGAAGAGATAGGATAATTATTAACGATTTCATTGATAATTGGATATGGGGTATTTGTTGTATTGCAACAACTGCTTGTATATACTGAGTGGAAATTGAATATAAAAAGTAAATTAAATTTGGTTTCATTTTTTGGGAAGATCGTAATTGTTTGGATTGGTGGAGTCAAATTAAGCACTAATTAATACCTATTGATCTTATTTTAAATATACATGACTTTAGAAAGTTACAGAGGAAATTCATTATAATACTTGTTTGTTTTTATGATGGTTCTAAATTTATTCGAATTCAAATAGTTCATTAATTTTGGATACGATTAACTAATAAACTCGATGCAAATTATTATATTGATTGTTCAACATTTTTATTAAGTAAGAAAGTCAGATGATAAATATCAATAATCATATGTGCAAGTCTCAACTGGAGGTGGATAGATATAATAAACATTTGCAATGATACAGGAATCCAGAAGAAGCATGCCAATGATAAACTCAATAAAGTTGGTGGAAGATGAGCCGTGGTTAGACCAGTAAGATTATTATATCGAATTAGCAAATGGTTATAATATGAGAAATACCTGGTCCTAGGAAGAGATTTAAAGTTGAAGTTCTACAGTTTTGATCTAAATATTTTGGGAAAATCTTAAGTGATGACAGAAAACTAAAACGAAATCGTTGATTAGCTGTTAGATTAAGGAGTGAAGTTTATATCAAAATTAGAAAACAGTTAACAATCTCTCTCCTGTCAAAAAGGAGTGATAACTTTGAGGTAAGTGCTAGAGAATTAGTTGTAAACACAGATTAATTATGAACATTATTACTAAACATTCCAGATGTAGGCTCAAACTTTAGATGTTTCAAAGTACTTGTTGAATGTATTTGGTTTGATCGGTAGACAATAAATGTATTATGTCATGCATTTTTAACTTGTGCCAAAATTAGCAATCGAGATCAACACTAACATTTTCGATATGTGTAAATCCCTTTCTCATGAACTAGGAACAAGTCTCAATTGCATTCAAAGCCTATCAGAAATAGCCTTATAAAAGTCATCAGTTACTCAAGATATCAAAGAAAACATCATTTAACCCATTCTCACAAACAGTCAATAATTAAATTTAATTATATCCAACATTAGAGATTATAGTTCAATCGAAACTGATCAATTTTAATTGAGTCTTTCTACTTTCAACATCTTGGAGGAAATCAAAGCAATTGCAGACTTCTTTTAGATTACTTGTCAATAAAAAGGAATCCAATTAGTATTGCCAACCGAATCTTGTATTATTTAATAATTTATTAGTTCTAATTTTTAATGACCGAGATCGATTTCGCTAAGTTATTTTTTAATTAGTATCGAATGCTGTTCGTTTCACAATCACTGGCACTATCTAAATTTTGATAAAAAAATAGGACTTTTTATACTAAATTGTTGTGTCAGATACAGGAATAGGAATGGTTAGCAATTCTACATTTACATTAGGTTAGCTAAGAAGAGAATAATCTTAGAAGAATCTTAGAATAACGGTTAATGTTGAGAGTTTCAGAAAATAGTATTGGTTCAAGTCTAGGCCTATTTATCAGCAATTTGCTTGTCAAAAAAATGAACGCTGATGATGATTGCAAAATTCAATTCACGTCCAATAAAGCAGGTTCAAATTTTTATTTCTCTATCAAAAACATGTCCGAATTCAAAAATAACATTGACAAACTCCAATCAGTCAAATTTCATAGAACAATAGTTAGATTCCAAAGCATTAATTCTTATTATGAAAATATTAATGATATACAAATCAAGTTTGGCTAACACACATTTAAGTCAATAACAAATGGATAATCAAATCTAGACGATGGCAATGTTACTGTTTATTCGAAAGAATTCGAAGAAAATAAATAAACTATTCAACCTCTTCAATCCCTCATTCCTTAACTTTAAGATACAATTTAAGCCTATTCTCTTAAAAGTTCATGTTGCTCAAGAGTCCTAATTGTTGATGATGAATACTTTAATATTATGGCTCTATAAATGTTAATGCAATAATACTCTTCCATTTGTGATAAAGCCTATAATGGCATGGAAGCTATAGAACAAATAAATGAAAAACTAACCAACCCTTGTCCAAAATGTTAAAATTGTTGCTATTAACTAATCTTTCTTGACATCAACATGCCAATTATGGGTGGAATCGAAACTGTCAAAATTATTAAAAGAATGATGCAAAATAGAATTATTAAAAAGGTTTATGTTATTGCCAACACTGGTTTTAGTGATTTGGAAACCAAGGAAAAAGCTTATGATGCCGGAATAGACTATTTCATGACCAAACCTTTAAATATGATGACTTTTAGGAGTATAGCATCCAAAATATTCCCAAGAGGATGATTTAAATTGATAATACTTATAAATCTATATATAAATTATTTTCAAAAATAATTAATAAAATTTTGAATATCTCTATCTACATATTAAATAACTTCATTTTTTCACAAATTACACTTTACTGTAATTATAAAGTGAAACATAATTCCAAAAAACTATATTAAATTATATATGATGATAAATTCTTTATAAATAATTATTATTCACCAATTAAAAAATATATGATAAAAAAATCGATTCTTATAATTTTTATAATATTACTTATCTTTAAAATTAATATATTTTTTAAAATATTAATCAATACTTACGCTTGATAATAATAAGCCTTTTAATTATATTTATTAATATCAATATCAAATATGATATTTTTTTTCAACAATTTTGGTGCATTTAAACCTGCAAAAGACAAAATTTATGAGATTTATCCTAAGATCAATTTAGATTTCTTCTCATTTCTCTATGATCAACAAGCATTGATTAAACATTATTAATCAAGAATGGTATTTTAAATAATTGAAAATGCCATAAGATCGACTATAATCCTATGAACCTGTTTCGATAAATTAAAGGAATTTAAATATATATAGAAAACATTGGTCAAATAGATGTTCAAGATAATTTTTATAGTTCTTATTCACTTAATGGTTATTTCGAAGGATCATTCAAATTTGACTATTCTCGCTTTTTGCTATTTTTATTTAAAATCTGTTACTTAAAAGCTCTTATAGCTGCCAAGATAATGACACCAAATATTATGGCAACGAGACCATAAAGGTGAGTATTAGAACTTGAGTCAATTGAGAAGTTCTCTACAAACAATTACCCTTTGATTGATCCACTTACTGCCTATGTGAGACTGCCTTCTGGTAAAGCTTTTGAGTATTTTTAAAGTAGGTTTATTTATTCTGATGAAATTGGAAGTGGATCTGGCAATAAATAAACAGTTTGATCACAATTCTCATATTCAAGATAATAGGCCATATTTTCCAATTATTTTGCTAAATCCATCAAACGCATTTAAAAATTGTTTTGGATTTAAAAGACTGGGTTTTCTTTTAGCTCATTATCTAATTCTACTGAAATTGCAAACAATGCTTTTGAAGGCGTAGAAGTAGCATTTATTTCTTTCATGTTGAGTTGAATTTCGCACTTTATTTACTAATTATTAGATAACTAATGAATAGCTGGACAATATATTTCAAAATTGGATGGTCCAAATGTTAAACCTCCAGGTACTTATTTAATTTAGATTTTGGACTTATCTTTGACTTCGTAATCATTTCCAAATCCAATTACATATTCACCTTCTAATTTAACTGAGATTCTCTTGACTGCCTAATTGAAATATCGGATATTATTAATACATAAACCCATTCTTCTTAATTTGGATAAGTTAGGTATGAATTTTGAATGCAATCTGCGAAGACTTGCTAAAGAGCTAACAAGAATGTTAAGAGCATTATTTAATGAAAAATCAAGGAGATTTATATAAAAATATTGAATAAAAATAATGAGCGTGAATATTATTAAATATTAAGAGTATATCAAAAAAATATTAAATATAGAGTTATACTAAACATAAAATGAATTAGTTTTAGATGATGATTTCAATTTATAAGACATGAGTTTGTACATGAATAATTATTTGGTATATTTGTTTTACATAAATCAATCAGAATTTCTTTATCTGCGTATTTCCAATTAAATAATGGGATTTTTGAGCTTTTTATTTAATTAATTTTGTTGTTTAGCTTGGGGATAGGAAATTAATTCACAAAATAAAGTAAATTAAAAATAGAGACAGAAATTAATTAAGATGGAGAGAGAGTCAGACAAATGGAGATAGAATGTAGATGGTGTATTTGACTGTTAATTATTTGTAATTAAATAAATAATATATATAAATTAGTAATTAAAAAGATGGATAAAAATGAAAGAAAAAAGTGTATTATGTAAAATGATTGTATGTTGAGGATTATTGAGGAAATAAAAATATTAAAGGACTTAAAAATTCCATAAAAATCTTGAATTTAATAAAATAAAAAAATGAGTGCAAATGATCTATCTAAGCCTGAAAGTCTGGATAACTTAAGCTAACCATCTTCATAAGAAGGACAATAGAGGAAATAATATAAGGTTCATCGTTTAGGAAACAGGAAATAATTATCTAATTAAAATTATTACATAAAGGAACAGGCATCAAGCAGAGAGGAGAGAAAATTGAAATCGTATTTGTAGAGGATTGAAGAGTAACAAAAATTAGAAGAGGTAAGTCACCTTTAACTTTAGTTTTTATTAAGGCAGCCTTATTGAAACGAAAGCGTTCCAAGGTATTTAAAGCTTAATATTCAAGCCAAACCAGGAGACTAAGAATAGTGAAACTTAGGAGGCTCCAAAGTAAATTGATGAAGTCATGTATTATACCATAAATTTAATATGAAGTATGCCAATATAAGCCACAGTGTTGTTGAATCCTTTGTTAGTGCCATAGTAGTCTCAATTAGATGTGACAGCATAAACAAAGCTTCGTCTAAATCCCAAGCTCAAGATGAAAGTATCTTAATTTAAAATATTTTTCAAAGGAGAAACATCACATATTCCTTTATCTCTCTGATTGGTACGAGAAGTGTGTTGAAAATGTGCAAAAACTTAATTCTGGAGCCACTTAGTCATATTCGCCGCAAAAAGTGGGCAAATGTGAAGTGACTAATATACAATCAATTAATTAAGATGTGTATTAGGACACTCTCATTTTAATAAAAAATTTTAAGCATTAATATTAATAATAGAATGGAAATGATTCAAAAGAGTTATTAAACAAATACTCTGATAAGAAGTTTTTAGAGACAATTTTGAGAGATAATAAATAATAAATAAATAAAAAAATTGGATTTGAAAAGATTCAAATATCAAATGGGAAGTTTAATTCAAAGAAGCATTGATTTAAATTACAACTCATTTTATAAATTTAATAACATTTATCTAAACTTCTAATTCTTATACATTGAGGTGAACAACATAGAAACTTACACTCATTTTATTAATTTGATTAAATCAATTTATTATGAAAATCGATAATAAACTTTTCTAAAAGATATTTTAGAGTATATTAGGAATTATAATACTGTTTTACATATGTTCCTATGATTTATTAATGAAAGTTCTTGAGAAGCAAACTCTAGCCAAACAATTATATTTTTATTCAGTAACAAAAACCACATTAAGATATGGTTCTCCATCAAAGACAAGAAAGTTAGAAAAAGTTTAAACCCATTATATATCAAACCTTTTAAATTGAATATATAACTATGATTAAAATAAAAAATGAGTAGATTTCTTATTCAGTTTCATCATCTGATTCTCTATTTCAGTGAACAAACTCTTTTGTGTAAATTAGTGCCAGATAAACCATTCTATAGCCAAGCTTTGTAGTCAATATTGTCCTTTGAATTATAACCTTTATTTGTCGGAGATGTGTTTTGTCTGTCCATGAAAAAATTATTTTAAGAAGTTATTCGTTTCAAGCCAATAAATTTAGACTGTTAAGGAATTGCTGCTGTATTTATCTAAATAGGTTAAACTAAGGATGACTATCTATAAATTTAAATAAATGACTTTACTAGGATTTAATTCTTTTTTACAAAGAATTTGATTGCTCTGTCTTATTTTTCTATTTCTGATTAACCAACTGGGATCCTCTTGATTAAGGTTTTGATAGACAATTAGATTCTGGGCTGGTCTTTTTGATTTTAAACTTTTAGGTCAATTACACTTAGATTTATGTAATCGTTGTAAAATGTTGCTTGAGTACTTTACTTTGCTCGATCTTCATTTGCTTTTATTGAGTTGCATCAAAATAAAATGTTTTAAAAATTTTAATGTCTTTTTGTATACCAGATTTTCCTAGAAGCTTTTCTCTGGTTTCCAATTCCCCTTTGAGTAATTCATTTTAATCATAATGAAATTGTAACTAATTTGGTTTGAATGGAGGCTCAATATTCCTTTATAAAATTTAAATCCAATCACATCCTTTAAACCAAGGATGTAGCATCAATTCTTATAAACCATTATGAGCACCCAATCTACTTTAAGGTTTCTTACATAAAAGTCCTTTAAGTAGATCTTTGATATCATTAGTTAAATTGATTTTTTCTGGGAATGTCAACTCTTCGCTTAAAATTGATTCATAAATTTCTTCAGTGTCCCTGGAATAATAAGGAGGTAATCCTGTAACTAATTCATATAGTAGTGCACCTAAACAATAATGATCCACTTAAACATTGTGACCAACTTTCAATAACATTTCAGGAGCCATATATTCAGGAGAACCGCAAAAACTATATGCATAATCATCTTCATTCATGTTTGGCTTTGATAATCCAAAATCTGCAATTCTGATGTGGCCATCTATATCTATCAGTATATTCTCTGGTTTTATATCTCTATAGACAACAGATATTGAATGTAAATAATAAATGGCCAGACAAATTTCAGTAAAATAAAATCTGGCTTGATCTTCAGTCATCTTCTTCACTTATTTCAATTACCAAAACAACTCTCCACCACTGCAAAACTCTAAGACAAAAACAATAAAGTTTTTAGACTCAAAGGCATATTCTAGTTTATTTATAAAAGGATGATCCAAAACAGTCATAATGTCTCTCTCATTTTACACAATTCCTATATGATTAGTTGATCATCTACCTTATTTTTTACGTTAGATAATAAATTCTTTATCTATCAATTTCATCGCATAAAGTCTGCCATCTGATTTCTTTTTCACTAGATACACTCTCGAAAATCCTCCAACACCAATACATTTGATAAAAATGAAATCCTTCAATGTTATTTAAGATCCTTGACTGCATCCATAAAATGGTTATAAATCTAATGTTTATCCACTGAATATATCCAAGGGTTTATTTAATTACAAAATGTAAAAATCTATGGGTATATTCTTATCAACAGTATTGAACGACACAATTTCCATATTTAGACATTCATTACCCGTCTCACATTGTAATTTATTTTTATAAGACGAAGATCCAGTTGTTGAATTTACTACTGAATGCTTTTTCATTTCTGATTTCAAATACTCCATCATATAACCTGTACTTTTTTAGGGATCTATTGTAAACTTATATTATGAATTCAAGTAATGAACCACTACAACAATTTAATTTGTTACACTTACAAAACTCTAGTTTTTTATAGTCTATATAAACGATTTTTGAAGTTAATTAGAATTGGTTCTTCGAGTATCAGTAGTAGCAATAGTCTTTATATTATTGGATGTGTCTGATATGTTATTCTGTTAAATAGATTGTTATGTAGACAATTATTTATGACTGGTCATTAGTTTTAATAATTCCTTTTTGTATTATTTTCCCTGTAAGAGTTGTCCCTAACATTTCTATAATTATTTTAAATCTATCCCTTAAAACCCAGAACTTTAATTAGTTTTATGAGTTGGACTCTGACTAAGTAGTCCACTTGGATTGAAGGATTGACTTAATTTGATGTTACTTTTACTACAACTACAAATTACAATGATCAATACATTCTTAATTTATTTTATTGTACGATCTCCTATAACTATAGTTAAGGACGAGTTAACTGCTGCATTTGGATGTTATTAATAATTATTCGAATTTTAAATAACACTATATACTAAAATATAAACACATCAAACTTAATTCATTTATCAACTTTTTTCACCTCAATTATTGATGATACTCTAACTATATACAGTAATTTTGTTAAATCTAATATTTATCTTTAAGTATCTAATTATTCTTAAGTTACAACATTTTTGGAGTAAATAAATTATTTGAGAATTCAAACAAAAACTCTGATTGAAATGCTGAATTATACATTTTTGTATAAATTACTCCTCAAACAATAAAATTGAAAAAATAATTGAATAATTCTAACAGAAAATAACTTTATTCAACACTCAATTTAGTGACTTCCTATATTTAAATCACAGTAAGAATAATTTCATCGATATTGGTATAAAATATTTCTCTTATAAAGCTATTTACATTAAATCATCAATAATATTATTAGATCAAATATAGTATAGAACAAATTCAAGGTTGGATAAAATATTTGCACGAAATTATGTTTCAAAAAATATTGGATTTGATTATCTAAGAATCCTCACTTTTTCATATGTAATAAACTTTAAACTATCAATCTAACGTTTCATAAAATTATAAATAACTTCACTCTCTTTCTAATTCGCTTTATATTACAAATTAATAATTTTTGAGTTTATCGATCTTAAAAATTATTCTTTTATTTAAGTAATTGTTCTCCTAATAACGTTATAAAATTAGCGAATCATTTATTCTTTCCTTTGCAATAACATTAAATGTCAAGTTAATTGCTATGCAAGTGTAATTTTACTTTTGCTAATCGATAAGCAATAGTCTTTCTACATTAGCTTCAAATTTTTTCTCTATAAATTTTAGAAGTAATTATCAAGGCTTGCTAATAGTGCTTTAGTAAATTAATTATACTTTTAGAATGCACAGGGTCTATATAAATGATGATGGCTTGTAAATAATCAGCATCATCCTTATTAATTCTTCAGCATTTTAAATAGGCAAAAATCTAGCTCTTTATCTTTAGAAATAGACATATTATTATTGGAGTACTTTATGGGGGATAAAGAAATGCTGCGCTGTTACAAGGGTTTGGACAATTCAAAATTTATTATGGAAGCGAATTTCTTTTTAAGGATTGAGATTGCCTCTATCTTTTGGAATTGATCAATTAGTTTGCCTAATGATATATAGGATTCTCTGAGTGCTGAAAATGGAACTGGAATTCAAAGTCCTTGGATTACATGTAATAAATTGTATAAATTTCATTAATACAATATATTGAAAATTCAAGGCTTGAATATGGATTAAGTCAATGCCAAAGCACTATAGGATAGGGAAAAGGCAAGGATGACTCCGAATATTCCAACAAGTATTTTATACTATTCATCATTTAGGACTTTTCTTTAATTAATCATTTAATAAATAATATTAAAAATATTGATGAATAGATATACTTATTGTATTATATTTCAAATAATTTCTACAAATGCTTTTGGATGTTAAAAGACTGTAGCTGTTGGCTTGACGACTTCAGCATTTCTTGGGAGGACTGGTTATCTTTTGGTTGAAATATGTTTTTTTTATTTATTGGCTTCTGTTTTCTTTTTATCATTCTCTTAAACTCTCTTAACAAATTCTTCTCTGCATTTTGATGGTCTCAAATGATCAGCTCTGACATGGAATCTCTTCTCTACATATCTACCTCTAACTCTTCTTTGTAATGAGACACCGATTCCTCTTGGATTGACATTGAATACTCTAGCAGTACGTCCATGATAATATTAGAAGGGGACACCCTTGTGTTATGCACCATCAACCAAAATATCAACAAAATCACCTAGGATTCATGATAGAAATGTACCTCTTCTGAAGGTTTAGAGTGTTTTGCGAATGCTAATGTTTCCATGTCCTCTGAATGGTTTAGCAAACTTGCTTCTTGTACCCTTTTTCAAACCATAACTATGTGTCATTTATTGAAGATATTAATTTTTTTTTAAATTATTTATACTCACATACTTAGAAAGCCTTTGAGGAAATTCAAATTGATTAATGTATGTTTGTAATATATATATCATTGAGCTGCGACTGGAGCTTAAACTTTGGTGGCATCCTTTTTTTAAGTCGTTTGTTAAACAGGTCGTTTTCTTTCAATGACACGAATTTTTCTGTCCTCAGAAGATCTGACTCTCACAATACGAGCATGGATAGCACATGATACGCAATACTATTCTGATTAATATAAACACTACTTAGAGTTTGTCAAACAATTTTGGAATTGACTATTATTATTTGGTGTCATAAGCTGATGCTTCCAAGATATCCTTTTTTGATGATGCATCAACAATGTCTCTCACTGTAAATCTCTTGATGGCCTTATCTTTGCCAACTAATCTACAACAATTTGAGCATGTAACTGGTTTGACATGTCCTCTGTTTTTCTTGGAACGACCATTATTTCTTCTCTTTGATGGCATAAGAATTTTATTTTTTAATAATTTATTTAAAATGATTTAATTTTTTTCATATTAACATCCCCAATACACATATGTATTTAATTAATTATTGTACATATTCATTCTCATCGTCATTCAGTCATAGGATATCAATGTATATCATATCCAACTCAATTCAATTCATTACAGATTCACTTAAATAACAATCATTCCAAAGCATAACTCTTAAATTTTATTTATATAAAAATTTCTAATGATTCCAACACTATCCCTATACTATTATTGAATCATTTCATAACTGTCCTTATTAATATCTAAATATAGAAATTAATTCTACAATTTTTATTTTGTTTATCCTAAAATCCTTTATATCTTAACTAAAAAATTAGCAGAATCATTGATATTAAAATATTAAAAATATTTATTGATCAAATTTTAATCTTTTTGATTAAATGAAAAAGTAAATCTTCTTGAATTTTTGAATTTAATATGAATTAACAGAAATAAATCTAATTTTTTTATTTAATAGTTGCTTCGGTATTTTTCAATATTTAAACCAAACTTATTTAAATGCTTTAGACATTTAATCATATTTAATATTCAATTCAATATTTTTTTATATAAGTTCTCTAATTAGATCAATTGATTTCCATTAATTAATAAACATAGTTCTAAATTCTATTCTAAGAAAATTAATAGCATTAAAAATGTTTATTCAGAGATCTTCTAACTACATAAAAGGTCATCCAGGATTCGAAATAATATCCTTATGCAACAGAAATTTATATAATTGGAGGATGAAATATTTAAATTATAATATAAAATGGCCGATACATTTTTATTGACTGAGGCTTAGATAACTCAAAAGAAACCTGTATAACTAAGTCCTCCGAAGATAGAAACTGAAGCAGAGAAGAAAGAGAGGCATTGGTAATAGATATTGAATAAAATTCTATTCAATCCTCCAAATGATGACTATTATCAAAAATGGCCAATCAAACCAGGTTGATTTGAAATCATTAAACTTTAATAGGAATATTTTTCTATAAAGCCTTGGCCTTGGGAAAATTGCCAACCGAATAAATAAGGGTTAACATACCTGAGAGTGTAATGTGTTTTGAATAAACATATATTTTGATGTACACAGATCCAGCAACAGGACAATTGATGAGAAAAACCGATATTGGATATTAGGATTTCGAGAATAAAGTATAAGTCAGTTAAATTAGGTTCATCATTATCATGAAGAATATTTGAAACGTCATGTATAAGATGATAGATTTGATATGAGAACCAATGTATTTGTGAATTAGGACAATCCATATATAATAAGTAGAGGTCAAACTGGGTAGGATTGGAATATGTCTAAAGCTGTATATACATTTCGATAATAAAAAGAGAGAAAAGTTTAATTAGATAACAACAAACTAGAATAGAGATTTGTAATATCAAGAGTAATGAAAGCAACTATTGTTCGACTTGTGTTCTATACGAAGAATTCAAAATCCTCTCATGCTAATTATGGTTATCGAATTATGAATGTAATGGAATTATACGATCCTAATCCAAAAAAATCAATAACAAACAAAACTACAATCAATACAGAACAATAAAATTCATTCACTATCCAATAAATTAAGGGAGTGGGATTATATGAATATGAGAAGGTTTGTGAATAGATAGTAACTTATTTGGAGAAGAATTACCCTGTCAGAATCAAGACAGGTGTCTTTGACTTTCTCTAAGATCCAGAGGGAAGAATCTGGTTATTCAATTGCAAATAATTGATAATGGAAAATGCTATTTCAATGAGTGAAATTTAAGGAGTAGGTTAAGGAAAGAAGACACTCGATTAATTGACTTGTTCAGTGTATTGTAAGTTGTGTGGTATCATATTTAAGAAGGATGATGCCAGCAAAACACTTACTTATAAGTTATTATGGGAATTAGTTTAACATTTAAAAAAAAGAAATAAATAATTGACAAATATAAAAGTATCTCATTTATCAACAAGACCTTGTAGAGTATGCGATGTTTGTTACATGTTAATTGTTGGAGAGCATGAATTAGTTGAAATAGAATAGAAATTTGCAATTGCTTAAAACATTCCATTGGGAGATGCTATCATCAGAGTTCCTATGGATAGTAAACCAAAACATAGACCTGCTCTATTGAATGAATAACTATATCAATGGAGATTACTGTTTTATTTGGAGATGGTTGATTTGTAAGGTAAGAGATTGATAGATTTGAATGGCAACCCTGTTGGAGACCTAAAGAACATAGTGCTACAATATCGTTTACATCAATCAAAATCTTCATTTAAAACACACATCATTAAAGACGATAATTATTAAACTTTGAAATCAAATAAACAACAAACTTTACAGTCTTAATAAAAATAACTTAGATTCAGCGGAATTGAAAGGTCGGATTCTATTGATGCTCCAGATGGATAAGTGGAAGATTAATTTGCTTAAGTTAATGATGAAAATTTAAAATTGAATGTTATCAGAGTCCATTACTTTTTTAGTGAAACTACAGACATTGAGAAGTTCTTGTCTGAAACAGAAATTAAGATAAGATTGTGCTAAGGTTCTGAGTGGGTGAATTATGTGGCAGAAGGATCTACGAAGACTATACACCACTTCAAAAATTCATAGATGGGGGGTCAGAGACATAGAGCTTAAGTTTTGTTGTTTTTTGCTAATGGCCATTATTGCATATTGAATCTATAAGTTGGATTGGTAAATATTGTTTATATCCTTAGTTTTGTGATGGGTAATATAATACTGGCAAATTGAATCTGTACAAATACAATAATGTGTACTTTCCAGATGACAATTATTATAACTGTAATCCCTTCCCTCCTGAATGGATGGAGATATTTGATCCTCAGTATGTGAATATGCACAATACATTTGAAGAGTAAGTAAAAGAAATTGAGGCTTACTCTCCGAAGTGTACAAAACACGAATTGAATCAAATGATAGATTTCAACAAATATAAGGAAACTACGAAGTATAAGACAGTAAAACCTAAAATTGATGCCAAAAAAAGAGATATTCAATCAGCAGCTCCTCAATACGGGTCAAATACTTAATAGGTATTACCCAAATTGCCGTAGTCGGCTAAGAAATACTCGAATACTATGAAATAATTCGATGAGCAACAATTATTATAGCATTACACTTTGGAGGAGTAGGACATAGGGGAGTTGTTATTCGAAGAGAAGAAATAGAACAAGAAAATGAGTAAGGAAGATAGGGAGTTCTATGAATAACACAACTTGTATGATGAAGAAGCAGAGGATAGTTAAGAAGATCAGGAATTAAATTTGAGATTGAATAAGCAAATTCAAAAGTCAATGAAACAGTTGGATAATTAATCACAACAATCTAATTCTGTGAGACCAATAAGATCAGCATAATAGTTACCACCGAAAGGACACAGATGATAATATATTATTATTAATATAAAATGGTTTATTAGTGGACAAACTTTGTCTGGGAAACCAATGCATGGTGGTTGAGAAGAATCAGACCTGTACATATTGTTACAATATCATCAAGTTTGTTGTCTTAGGAGCATTTGGATTTACAGCATTCTACGGGGGCAGATATTATTTCTTTGGAAAGTGGGCTTATTATAAACAAAGATAATTTACAGAGGCTGAACTTGTAGCATAGGCAGAAGTCAATAAGAGGTGTAATCGTCATACTAATGCTATATAGAAATTGGGGATACGGAGTTTGGTACAAGCCAACATTGGAGAGAAGCAGAAAGAAGTTATTGCAAGACGCATTGAAAGGTAAAAGAAAGAGATACATTTTGTGTAGATAAATATAGATATGCTATGACATGGGAAGAGTTGTTTTATGAGGATCCAAGACCAGTTGAAGAAATTCTTGAAGAAGAAAACTCCTGGGAAGAATACGAGATATGACAAGATTGATATTCCCTATATTGTTATAGATATATATAATTGTTTCATATGAAGAGAGTCCATATGAAATTCATATCACTCATTCTTGTTTTAGAGATGTGGTGATAGCTTAAGCCAATTTCACTAACTCACTTATATAACTAGATTATTGATATATAATTGTATACGTCGAAGTCAATGATGATCTACTAACTACTGATGACTCAATCTTATTTCGCAATGCCACTATTTCATTTAATTATACTGCATCAGACAAAAGTCTTCCTTGTTTTCTCTATGAGCCTTTTAATGGCAACTATAGAGTATCACTTGGTCTTTAAAATATCTTTTTTTGCGAGGATTGAGATTTCGAATTTTGAGATTGCTTTTCATTTGAAATGCTCATTAAATTCTAGCCTAAATTGTTTGAAATACTTAAGATATATGATTGATATTGATTACATTTATTTCATTCCATAAGCTCTATGTGGAGAGTAAAGATTCTTTTGAGGAGTAAAATCATCGTTAGAATTATAATTTAAAGTTGTCAAACGAGACTAAGACAAATCTCGAATTCTTGCTTGCAAATTGTCAAAAGATGGTATTCCTTAACGATTGTCCTTTCTATCAATAGAGATGGTTCTTACTTCACAGAATTGAAGACTGATTGATTCAAATCATTATTCAAACTCAAATTCAATCTGTCTTTCACATGAGAACGATATGATTTCAAATCGAAATTGGCATCTAAGGGACGACGTTAATTGGTATCGTTATATGTTCTCATAGCTTATTTCAAATATTTAAATTATACAAAACTAATTTTGTTTAATTCTAGGTTATTATAAAAACAATATTGTAATCAGAATTTTTTCAATTGTCTGACTGAGATTGAGTTTCTGAAATCATACAATGAACTCAGTTATGGTAAGATAGATTTTGGAGAACATTAAGTGGAGTTGGGTTTGGAACGGTTTGCAATATATTAACTAATAGGTCTATTGGCTTATTTCACATAGTAGACTCTTTCCAACTTTTTTAATTCCTTAGGCGAAGAAAGGAAATGAGCAAATGATTTACGATTCTGATTCATCTTTGGTTTGAATTGATAAAACTCTTCATCCGAATCATGTTCAGGTAACACTTCAACATGATGTTGTTGTTGTTTCAATTACCTTGAATTCAAACATTAACAAATACTTAATGCCCTCGGCAAGCAAATTGGCTACAGCAGAGGGTTTATGGATATGCACATTCTAATTGATGGCTTTCTTCATTTTATTCCTTTGTCGATCTCTTATTTTTTATACGATTTTATATCTAATCAGGAATAACACACAATGAGCATATTTCCTGAACTTTTTGTATAGTCTCTTCCTTCGATTAAAGCTAATTAGTTTAATATTAATCAATTTACTTGCTTTCAAAGGGAAATAACTGGAAAGTCTTTTTCATAAATGGATTGTTCTTACCACAATCAATACAATCGCAGCTGGAATTTCTTATTGCTGTTGAAAAGTATTTTTTCAATCTTCTTGATTATCGTTCGCTTAGTTATGGAATTTCCTCCACTAATGGTATCCTATGCTTTGTAAATAAGGACATCTTATCGAAGAATCTCGATGGTCTGCTGCTTTGCTATTGGGAAATAATCTTTCGATGCTATGGTTTGATATGTGACTATAGTAATGATTTACTCATTTTATTAATAAATATAAATTGATTTAACTGGAATAGATTGTCAACATAAATTTGATATTAATTCTCGAATTCATCCTCCACAATCTTCCACATAATACCATTCCCATTATGAATTTCTATACTTAAAATACATTTAAATATGATCAAGTTGTAAATGCTCCTGAATTTACAATTTATAAATGTTATTTTTATATAATAAATTGAATATCGCTTTAAAGATTTTCTTAACTTCAAAATTTTCAATGTAGAATAAAACTTCTAATATTCTAGTTTAGTATAAACTTTAGATATATCAGATAATTTTTTAAACAAATTTTATTATAAATTTAAGAATGCGTAAGAATTAATGATTTAATATATAATTGGCCATGCTAAAATAGGGTTTCAGATCAGTAAAGTTGTATTAAATGGAGTTATTGATTAAAAATTGGACAACCATGTTTTTAGTTGTATAATATTTTACATCTAATCTATCTGTGCATATGAGGATATTAGATTAGTTTAATGAATTATGAAATATCATATTACTACATTCCTGATCATAAATATATTGGTTGTTAAGATAAAGTGAAAAATTATAAATATAGTATTGAGTAATTAATTTACAAATTTTCCGATAGAATGTTCTTTTGAGATTAAAATTCTATTCATACGTGGAATAAATAAAATAAAAAAATAATTAATGAAGGTTAGCATATTAGTTGTGATGTTACTCTCTTGCGCATTTGCAAAATAGTTGTATGATGTAAAAAAATCATATGTCACTCCTGTGAATGAAATCAATTTTGAGAAATAAATTAACAAGATCAGACAAACAACAAAATATGTTACTATCGTGCATTTCTATAAATACTCAGGTATGTATGCAAATTTGATTGGTAGATGGAGAAAGTAGATCATTTGCACCAAAATATGATGAATTTACAAATGAATACAAAGGTATTTTCAGAATAGCCTCATGTGATTGTGACGAAGCTGAAAAGATTTGTTAGAAAGAGAGTGTCTCAAAATTCCCCACATTTAGAGTATATCCTCCATATCCTGTTCCTGCAATTGATTTTGAGGGTCCTCTTGAAATTGATGGAATCTTGAAATTGGCTACAAAATACATCCACAATAATGTTATCGAAATTACTGAAGCTAACATCAACACATTTATCAATGAAAACCCTACAGTTCCTAAAGTGCTATTGTTTAGTGAAAAGAAAGGATTCCCACTTGTTTACAAAGGATTGAGTGTAGAATTTGAGGTATGTGCATTTGTTTAATATTAATAGAAAAAATTATCATTTGGTATAGTGAGAGCATCTGAAAAGGCATTGTTGGATAGATACAGTATCAAATCATTCCCTAAGTTGTTACTTGTAAAAACTAATGAAAAAAAACCATTCCCATATACAGGAGAGTATAAATTCAAGCCAATGTTTGATTTCTTGAATGTTCACAGTGAAGTCTTCGTACCAGGAGGTGGATCTTCTGCTGATAGTGCTGCAACAAAAGAATGGATGATGCAAGTTGTTCCTTAATTACATCAAAGATCTGCAAATGATATCTGCTTAAAAGTTGAAAGTGCAATTTGTGTAATCTTACTGAACAACGGAGATAAACCGTAAATTATTTAAATTAACATTCTATAGAGACAATGGATTGGTAGATGAATTGAAGAAGTTGAACTAATAATACGAGAGACATATCAATAGAGGAACAGTTTTCAAATTTATGTGGTTAGACGCAAAGACAGAATCAAAAGTAATTTATTTGTGTATAATTATCTTAGTGGGGTCAAACATTAGAATTCTAAGGTGAACCAAAAATAGTGTTATTGAATCCAAGTAAAAGAAAGCGATTTGCTGTTCATGAAGGTGAAATGACATTTGAAGCACTATGTAAATAGATTAATTAACAATTATTTTAGAGAGAACTTTAGAGAAGTTGATCAGTGGAGATCTCAAATTCAAAAACTTAGGAGAATCATTACCAGATTTTGTGAAAATTGATTTGTGAATATTGTTAATTAGTTTATCATTAATATCTAATTTTAATGTAATTAAACCTATATATCTACAAATAATTAACACATTTCAAGAGGTATATAGTATTTAATATTCTTTATATAATAACAACAATATTATATATTTTTATGAAATTATTCATATTATTAATAGTATTATCAAGTGTCTTATGTAGAGAATATAGACCAATGGCTGGAGGCAGATTTAAGCCAGACTAAAATGATGAAGGACTGGGATAGGCAATAGCATATGCTAAATAGCATTTTTAAAGTTTAAATGGGTTCGATAATAATTAGCATCTTGTGATGGGACTTCTGGATATGAATGGGACACAATTACAGATGTGGAATAATAGATCGTGAATGGAAGCAATTATTATATTTCAGCTTAGTTGAGAAATGGGGATAAAATAAAAAATGTTTAAATTGTAGTTTATATGCCTGCATCTCCACCAGACATAAGAATAACATCATGTTCAGTCTTATGACATATGTAGATAAGATTAATCAAATAATATAGTCTGTTTTGATTTTATTATTTTGTTGTTCCTGTCCAAAGACTCTAAAAATCAATTTAATGAGATTTTTTTTGTAATACTGTTTTCTAGAATTCTGAATAGAGTGTCTGCAGTGATGTTGTTAGTGAGCAAATCAAACAGATCGTTTTTTATTCTAGATAAGAAAATCTGTAAATTCAGTTTACAGAATTCTTATCTTTAATAGGCATTTCTTTTTATAATTTATCGCTTTGCTGAATGAGATATTTGAACAAAGACTCCAACTCCTGATTTCTCAAAGTCAACATAGATAATTGTTGATTAATTTATTCTATACTTGGCAATACGATAATTTAATCATTAACTTTTCTTTAATTTAAGGAAGCAATTCTCTTTCTTGTCTTTTATATTTTTACTTTTAATTTTTTTGGAATAATTTGTGTTTAAATGAATACTTTTCTGTCTTATCAAAATCATACACATTCAACTTAAGTTCTTATATATAATTGAGCGACCTGACGAACAAAACAAGAGAAATTTGAGTGCTTAAAGTAATTAGGCAATATGTAATTCTGAAATATATTGATGTCTTTCACTTGAAATCCATCCCCATTGTCATTCCAACCAACAATATCAACATAATCTTGATGCTTTAAATGATTTCAATCAGATACCTCTAAAATAGAATATACTTTATATAAGAACCCAGGACCTTCTTTATTCATTAATTATGTTATTAATTATACTATTAGCATTAAATGCATTTGCGTATCTGCATAAACAGGAATAACATTGGATGGACTTGTATAACAAAATGAACTCTGTAAAAGAATTTCTGTCTCAATTGGAATATTATACAGCATTGGAGAAGCTTGAATTTAAATCACAGGAGAATCTTGAATTCGAAGAGGAAAGTCTCACAATTTACAAAGAACATTATTAGGAAGTAAACATAACAAGATCATAATCTAGGTTATCAATTCCTTTAAGTAACAATAGACATTTAATAAAAATGAAAAGGAAGATATAAAATTATTTTTGAGGGAAACATTTCCAGAAGTTGTAGAAAGATTAAAACGCATTATTGTAGATAAAGTAAATTAATGCTTAAATTAAGGAAAAATTAATTGAAGGTGACATCAAAGAACTCGCTAAACTCAAACATTAACAGCCAGAAGACATAAGTCAAAGATTTGAAGAGTTCAATCATTTACATAAGAAAATTTAGGAAGGTACTTAAAATTAATTAATTAAGTGTAGTTTTAGAATAGAATGATGAATAAATCATTTATAAAACTGTTGAATTATTGGAATCAAAGATTATGATAGGCTCTTTCAAATAGATGCAAAGTTAAGAAGTCGATTTCTTTATGAAGAGTGTTGATAAACTGTTCAGGGAAAAGCAAAATCCTCATAAGAAATAAGATGCGATCCAATTACTTAGTCTAATAAGCAGTGTAATATCAGAATATCTTATTAAAATGATGAATGATTAAATTGAATCATCCTTTGAATTTCTGGATAAGGAACTCTTCTTTACCGAATCCAAAAAGACTCATTTCAATGCAAAGGAATAATACATCAATCTCCTAAACAGATTAGATTGTAATCTTTATCTTATTTTAAGAATTTCATTAAACAGTTTGGAAATAACTGATGGAATTACCCTATGACAGCGATTAATTAGAAATAGCTGAGAAATAATTTGAATAAGCAACCTAAATAGGAATTCGTGCCATATCATATCATTCCTAATTGATTGATATGGTTAAAGCTATGTTAGAACGGTTTTTATAAAGATGAATTAAGTTTATATAATTAAACTATTCGTCATAATCTCGCAAATTCCTTAGATACTAATTTATTTCTATTTCCATCTTTATGATTATTAAATATATCTGTTTTCCCCTTCCACTATCCGTAATACTATGATAAATTTATAATAGAAAATCTTAGAATACTGTTTTCTTACTCGTATATTTTTAGTCTTGTAACTTTTACTCCTCTTTAACTTTTCTTGATGCTCTTATAATATTTTAATGTATTCTAACCCATATGTTCAATCATTCAAAATATATTACACCAGTATATAACTTGATTTTATTCTTGCTGAATAACGGTAACTCAGGCTTCCCTTATCCAAATAAACCTAAATCAATACTTAAAATGGAGTACTTCATATTCAAAATGCTTTTTAGATCCCTAAATTGTTTCTACAATTAATAGAGGTATTCCAGATGACAAAGATACTATGTAACTTCAAAAAAGACCAAATATTGCATTTTTCATAATAATTGTATCTTATCACATCATTCTGAATTTATGGTTTCTATTTATGATACATTTATTTAAGGCTTATCCAACCTATAAATGTTCAAGATTTTTAATCCATGTTGTTAATTCATATTTCTAGACATATTTTGCTTAGTGTATATTTAAAAATGAAATACATATACAATATTATAATCAAAATAGAATTGATTTCCGTTCAGAAGTGAGTTTCTATTGGTTAACTTTGATAATTTCAAAATTTAATTATTAGACCTTCTGGAACTATTTAATCCTCTTAACGAATTTCTCTGAATCACTTTATAGAATTTGATTTTATATCGCATTACTTGTTCTATACATGTTATCAATGTTGATTTCCAACATTGAATTAAGAGATGAATCATTAGACATGCTTATATCACGAGAAGTTAAATCATTATTGAAGTTCTTAATAAAATGTTTTGGTCTTTCTACATTTCTTGTAGTCAAGCACATCCTTTCAGAAGTATCTACTCTTGTTCCTTTCTCTTTATTTCTCATGAACATGTAAGCATACAACTTTACATCTTTGCTTAAGGGATCGTTCAATATATATTTATCCTTCTAAAATCCCTAATATTGATTATTTTTCATTAACAACTTCCTTTTAGCCTTATTCAAGATATCCTGTTCTTTTTATTGTCTCTCTTTTACAAACTTCTTCAATTATTCATTAATTGCATCCCGAACCTTCTATTTAATAAATTATTTCTTATCGCAACTGACTGTATCTCCTTTTTACTTTTCAACCTTTTTGACTCTTAAATATCCATGACTTGTATATTTTACCTTATCAAATTCACGTTATCCATTAGCTCTCTCAGTCAATAGATTTCTCTATTTGATCTTATTTTTATTTTCTTCACTCACCTCATAGAGTTGTCTAAATAGTTACACATCTCTAAGATTGTTGTCTTCATTTGGTTCGGTTTATGAATTCTTTTAAATTAATTTCTTTATCTTCTCAAATCTTTAAAATACTCTCACTTTTTTCTCGATTTCTTCATCTGTAAGTCCTTGTTAATGCAATGATTTGTATTTGTTTCCCACTTACAATTAATTAGCAAACATGTTGGCTCTCTTAATGAGTTTGATCCTACTTTTTAACTTGGCTTCCTTCTTACTTATGTGATTGCATTCATTAACTAAATTGAGAGCAGAACGTTCCCCACATAAATATTCTCTAAAACCTTGTCTAAGTTTTTCATTGAACTAAAAGGGATTTGGCTAATGCAATGGAGATTATGTGCATATTGGATCATTTATCAATTAATATTTTTATGCAGCTAATCTCTATGCCTGATTTCTAGATTTAAGAGCATTGTTGAAATTTCCAAACATTTGATCCCAAATTAATAAGTTCTATCGATTACCTTCAGTTGTAGATTAGGGTGTGCTTGCTAGAGTTGTCCTAGATTTAGAAATAATCTTTAGCATTTAATTTATTCTATAAATAAATTACGCAAAAACTCATCCGATTCTATTGATATTGATGGTTTATAGGTACTTATTATGTTACACACATATATTAATTGATAAATTCATTTTAAAAAACGAAACTATCAATAAATTCAGTGGCATGTATTTTGTAAATTTGATATATAAGGAGTAAGAGTATAGTTCTTGTAATTATTGAGTAATTAATTTTTATTTTTAATATGAATTATTAGGACCCTACTATTTTGGCTTTAAAATAATAGAATGTTGAACAGCAGAGATAAATAGAATAATTGATGGGGAGAGTCAATATGCTCATTAAATAATAATAACTATTGAGACCTCCGAATAAAAAATTAGAAATTGTATATAAAAAGAAAAAACTTCATGACGAAATAGTGGATGAAGTAATTTGAACATTATCTTTTATTATAGCTAAAATCAGCTAAGGAATCTCTTTATGATCCACTGACTGAGCAAAGGAAAAAGGATGATAACTTTATCAAGAGGTTCTAACTCAATAAGGCGATTAAAACAGCTAAAGCATAAGTCGAAAAGGAACGTGAAGAACAAGCTAAATATATGAAGAAGATTAGTAGCATTCATTAGAAATCGATCGAAGAACAGAAACTATAGATGTATTAGGAAAAAAGAACAAACAGGAATAAAGTCTAATTAAATGAATTTTAATCTAAATACAATTATTAATTATATTGGGATGAGAGAGTAAAGAAATTTGAATAAGAGTAAAAAAATGTTAAGCATCAGCTATCTAAATCTATGATGGATTAAGAAAATTTAATGAATTATTTGGAACAATAAGAAACACTATTATTGGGAAGATTGCAATAGAGTAAATCTTCTCAATAGTTCTTATAATAAAAATTAGAAGATGCTCAAAGATTAAAAGCTAAAGAATTTGAATAAAAATATGGAAAGCCCAAAGAATCTAAATTTTAATAAGTACTAGATATCAAGGCTAAATGATTTAAATATTTATTAAATTAATTACCCTATTATGACTTAATGTATTTTAGAATATTGTGGCAAAAATAATTTTATAATTATCATACTTCAAGTAGAATTTCCACTAGTTATTTTATAATCATATACTAAATTTATTTTATCAACTATTTTTTGTGATGATACTATTTAAAAATCATAAAAGTATAAAGAAGATTTATGAATGATTTGATGATTAAATATTTTACTAATTATTTTTAAGTAAATTAGATTGGTTACTTTTTAAGATCAAGAATTTAAGATGATTATCAATTATTTATCAATCTTATCTATGTTGTTTTTATTATTATTTTATATTTAATATTCATTTTCTAACTTGTGATTTGAAAGCTAACAAATCATTTTCCAATTAAACTTTATCCAATTTCAATTATTCTCTTTCTTTTGTTCTTTAATCCAAATCTTTCTTCAATTTATCACAGTCTGTCTGTAATTATTTATTCTGTTTTTCTGAACTTGTCCATTTGTCATTCATTAATCCCATTTATGATACCTTAGCCTCTAATTGTCCCTGTGTTTATTTGACTTTTGCTAACTCATTGACATTCTAGTCAAATTATTACTTCAATTGATTGAATTGATCCTCCTTAGTTTTCAATGTACTTTGTAAAACGGCAATTTAATCCTTTAATTTTTATAATTCTTAATCTTTCTTATCTCTATCTTTTGTCAGATTTGCTAAATCCTTTTGAGCTTGAGCTAATAAAATATAATATATATAGGTTACCTAATTGTTATTCAATTACTTTTAATTTATCTGCCAATACTTTTTTATCTTATAATTATTGTTCCAAGCCTGCAATAGTTTATTTTAATTTATCACTTTCATTTCCTTTCTATTCAAATGTTTATTTGATTCTTGCAAATTCTTATTCAGTTGTTTATGTTTGTTTTTTGAAATCATTAAATTACTTTTCAATTAATCTAATTCTATTCAATTCAACTTCACTTGTACTAAGTTTTTGTGATAATACATCATTTTCAGTCACCTTATCCTTGTACAATTATTATAAACGATCGATTTCTTTAGAAAGTTCTTAAGTCTTTCTATCTGCCTCAGGCAATCTGTCCTTGAATCCTTATAACATATTGATTTCTTATTGAGCCTTGTTCAATTATCTTGTTAATTCATCCAATTATCTCAAATAGTCCTTGATTTAATCTTCTTAATTCTTACATTTTTCATTGACTGATTACAATTGAACAAGTTGTTGATTCAAAACTATTATTTAAGAATTCAATTATTAAACTTCTAGTACTCTTTCTATAAGTTTCTTATTTAAGTCATCATAGTCCTTTAATTTTTCATCTAATTTCTATTAGAAATCTTTAACTTGGGTTTCAAGAGTTGCAATTTCTGCTTTCAACTTTAAGATCTAAGCCTTGAGATCTTCGATTTCTTTATTTCTTTTTTCAAGAATAAGCTTCAATCTATCAATTTCTTAAGCCAGAAAGACTGTTTTAGATTCAAGATCACCTATTTTCTTTTCCAACAATTCATTATCCTTTAGGACCTAATCATAATTCTATCTGTAATCTTTTAATTCTTCATTAAGTGTAGCATTCTCATTTTCTAATTGATGAATTTTCCTGTCTGCCTCTTCTAGATCCTTTTCAGCCATATCAAGTCTGTGATCTCTTTCTTATAGTAATTATTATAATCTCTCTATTTCTTTGCGTTAATCTTCAATTTAATCTCTCAATTGTTATATTAAGAATTCCAATTCTCTTATTTTTGATTCTGCATTAGAGAGATCATTAGCTAATCTATTTAATTCCTAATCCTTCTAGGCAATTATATCTTCTGCTCTTTATAAATCTGACTCTAATCTTCTGATGATACTTTCCTATTCTTTGATGAAATTGTCTTATCCTGAATTATTATTCTTCAAATTAGAGTTCTCATTTTCCAATTGTCCATATCTATTCCTCCAAGTATCTAGATCTGATTGGTATTGTCTCAATTGAGAATTGAGATCGTTAATTTAAGATTCATAGTTTCTAATGGCTGTATTGTATTTGCCCTCCAAATCTCCGTACTTCAATCTCCAATCATCGATTTCTCTTTACATCTAATCAATGATCTATCTTAATCTATTGATCTCATCCTCCAAATTTCTCACAACTCCATTCAATCTATCTATCTCACTCTAAGCCTATCTATACTAATTTTCTAGATTAGTGTATTTAGAAGTCCATTCATCAATGGTATTTCTCAATTCAGATTGTAATCTATTGATATCATTCTCTCTATCTCTCAATAATCCATTGAGTCTTTCTGTCTCACCTCCTGATGAAGATTTGTAATTGGAGAATTGCATCTCTAGAGCACTGTACTTGTTTCTCCAATCATCTAGGTCCCTCTTATATCTTTCAATTTCTGAGTCTCGATCTCTAAGTTGGTTTTTCAAATTCTCCAACTCTGATTAATACTAAGCTATTTTAGAATCGTAATCTCTTCCCTTGGCTTCCCATTCTCTAAGTTTATTTTGATAATCAGTTATCTGAGTTTCATAATTCTTAATTTTGAGTTGATACTCTGAAATCTAAGTTTCCAATTCCTTAATTCTTTTATTCAATCTGTCTATATCTGATGATGAATTTCCTTTAAGATTCTTTATCTCATTAATATAATTCTCAATCTCCAATTTCAACCTCTTGATCTCACTCTCAAAGTTGGATCTCTCTGTATTCCAAGATGACTTCAAATTATTTATTTCTGTCGTGTACTTACTCTCTTAATCCTTCAACTATCGTTCCAAATCCTTGATTCTCTACTCTGCCTACTATAACTTACTGGCCAATGTGTTGTCTACCTATCCCAGCTTTGATTTGTATTGGTTGATCTCATCCTCTAATGCCTTGATTTTCACGTTTTGCTAATCAATAGTTGTCCTATAAGATTACTCATCTTTCTTACTTAAACTGTTACACCTCAAGATTGTACTTCTCCTGAAGTGTAGTGTAATCACTCTGCAATTTCGAGTAGTTACTTTACAACTCATTGATAAAGGTTCTTTGATCTGAGTTTTCCCTCTGCAGTCTGTCCACTTCTAAAGCAAGTAAGAAGCACACAACTTCAGGCTTCTCTCCAAGCCATTTTCGTTCCTTTGATGGTGGAGGCACATTCACAACCTCTTATTAAGGCTTCACTCTTTATGATATAAATGAAAGAAAAGTACAGTACGGATTTACGCTGTGTGCTGCTTCTTTGGGGTGCTTCAGTTGTGTTGGTACTTGAATACTATGAAGAAGTTGTGGTAGCTCCGCCTATCCCAGAAGAGCGCACCGTAGATGATATGCTGCTTGAATATCTTGATGAATAAGACATTAATAAAATTTATTAAGCGCTGTTTATTAAATTTAATGTAAAACTAGTCCCTGATTAAAGGAACACCATTATCAAATCAAACTGAGAAGCAAATTTATAAAAAAGAAAAAGAAATCCTAATTAGATATTATTGGATAATCAAATTAGAACTAGAATCTTTTGTTCCTTTGAATTTTGTCTTATGACATCTTAAAATCTCATAGTAAGTTATCTTAGACTAAACTCAATGTTGAAAAGAGTCTTGATACTCATAAATATAATCAGATCAAAATTCTGTCATATAAAAAAGGACTATAATTTGGATAAAATATCAATTACAGCTGCAGGTATATGAAATTAAACTGTTGAATTTTCAAAATGAGAATATGTTTAACTTAAATTCTTAAATTACAAATATTGAGAATTATCATAATAATAAGTTTTGGTTAAGTTTGCAAATAAATTTGAAACTAAGTAATAGAATAAATACAGATAATTTTTAATCCACTTACATGTCATCCATTAAAGCAAATTCTAAGAAATTCACAAATTCAAAGTCTACTATTTATCTTAGAAAATATTTTACATAATTTTAAACTGAATAGTTATCTGTATTAATTGACAGTTAAAAAAATTATTTTGTATTCAATAAAGAAATGTGTTTACCACTTATTGTGAATAGAAATGTAATAAATAATATTAAATTCTCAGAGTAAGTATTAAAATGAGATAATAAAACCAAGAAAATGTTAGAAATAATGAGACAGGAGTAATCATCATTGATAATGGAACTTTAGATTAACTAAGGACCTTTTGGAATAAATACTTAATCATCTCAAAACGAGTTGATGGAGGAATTAAGACTTGATAATTTTATTTATTTATCTCACTATTGTATTTCAAGGGCTACTTTTTCAAATGGATATTTAATTGGATGTTATTTGTATATTTTCTACAATGCCTATAACACAATTGTTCCTAAATCCTTATCATTTCCTTCTCTTTTCTTTTTTCTTAATGTTTACAATAGACCCCACAAACATCTTGGCTCATTGGGATTTTTGGATAACACAAAACAATAATAGTTCTTAGCCTATGAATAATTTTGATTGCTATAGTTGATCTTTTAATATACATTAATATATTACTTCTGCTAATTTAATCGCTAAATGTAAATCCTGAGTATTAAGCAATAAAACTTCCTCAAGACAAAATTAAGCCTTGGAGTAATTCAAGTGTTCTTAATATATGTCAGACAATTCTAGCCATGCTTCAGCATCATTGGGGAAGGAAGTTAGAAAAGTATTCAACAAGGCTATTGCCTATTCTATATTATTTTATCTCTTTAATATATATCATTATTAATTACCCTTAACAATGCTATTTTTCTCTTTCTTGTATTTTGATCCATCAAATTTTCAGACAGCATCTTATCATATACCACTTAAGCATTTTCATCCTCTCCATTCGCTTCCAACAAATATCCTTTCAATCTCTACACTTTTTCAGCTGTAGGGAAATTTTTGAGCAAAACTTAGAGTACTTGCTATTGTCTTTACACATATTTACATCGCTTATGTTTATCAATTACATATCAATTGACAAATAAAACAATTCTTGAAGGAGCACTAAATATTCTGAACTTGAGGGTTTAAATTGTCTAATCAATTTATAAATCACGATTGAGAGACCATCGACAATACGAATGTTACCATTTTTCATTTTATGGAACAATTGCTTTAAATTCTTCATGCTTTCCAACTATTCAATCACCAATTGATGTTCCTCCATTAATATATAAATATTTTAAAATATTTATGTTAAATAAATAGAACTTTGACTTTTTTGTTCCCATAGATAATCAATGTTCAATGTAAAATCACACAAACAATATGAGTAAGAGAATCATTAAGAGTAGTTAAAATATTTAATGTGAGAATAATTGAATTCAAGAGTAAGTAAATATGATGTTAAAAATTGAAAGACTTATCTCTTCATATAGAGTCTAAGTATCATGTATGAAATTTCAATATTTCAATTAGTTATTCATTTTAGTATATATATATATCTAATATCATTATAATATTTGATGTGTGGAGACTAATAATCTATTTTTAAAGCTTCGATATATTCTATTACCTAATTCCTAGTGTAGACCCAAATTTAATAGACCAATGGCATTAGGAATGCAATGCTGAATTTCCTTTAAATTATACTTAACAGTTGTGTTTTTGCAATTTTTCATACTTTCAAAATATAACCAAAATCTTTATCTCTTTTCCTAATAAAATATTGAAACATGGATTTGAGTAGGCCTCATTGTAAATACCATTCTCTTTAACAACGTATATTAATACGACTAATATAGTTAGATATTTATACATACTTTGAAAGAGGAGTATTATTCATAATTGGCATTCACTTTAATTACTTAAGGGCATTTCTCATCTCCTTACACATCTTAAACGATAAATTTAGAGGGATTCAATTTTAGTTATTTTTTCAATTTGTTTAGCATGTATACTGAACACTTTTAGATATCTGATTCTATGAATTCATATTGATCTACACTACAATCATTCAATTTTAAATTCTGAAGGTTTCTCCTTTCATCGTTATAATAACTATATAGTACCTTCCTCAACATTAGTTTAAAATTAACTATTTTTGGTTGTTCAAAGAGAGTAATTCTTTAATATAATTAAAAATTCTAACTCTCATTTAATCTGATTGGTATGTATGGTTTCAACATATTAAAGGGTTTTCTAATGTTCTCAACAAATACTTCGAATAGGGCATTAACTTCATTACCCAAATACACGACTTGGGTATATAAATTCTCCCGCAAAACCCCTTTAAATGTATCAAGGTTGAGTATAAATCGATTTTATTGATTCTTAGTAATTTTTACTCTGTCAATAAGGGATTCCCAAATTTTAATTTCGAAGGTTGAAATCATATCAAGATTGTTCTTTCTTACAAGAATCTAATTAAAAAATAAATCCTTATCACTTGAGTACAGATTTTCAATGCTATCTTAATTTGATACTCTAGGACTATTTCTATAAAAAATACTCTTATCTGTTTTTTATTAATATTATGAGATGGGCAATGGCAATCTCATATTAGTCTGACCAATAGAGTTTTGCACTGAAAACTACTTGGAGAATAATTTTTTAACAAAGAGAGGAGGTTGTGTTGAGGATCTTGCATTTTATCTACTTTGATCACTAAAGGAATCAAGCATTTTAGGAGTATCATCCAAAGGTTTATCTAAGAATTCATCCTCATTATTAATGGAAACCTTGCTTTCAGTTAACTTTTATAGTTCTGACTGTGGAATAGCTCTAGCCTGACTTCGCATTTCACTATAGAAGTCTTCAAATTCATCTGGGTGATTGATAGCCATTTGATATATTTTGTTCATTTCAGAGAATTTCCATCTATTGATATAGAATTGGTCTATAGTTTCCTTGGTCACTAAACAGGAGGGGAATATGGATTCTAGGAAGACAGGATTCATGTTTTGGAAATCATTTGATGAGATATAGCAACTGAAATTCCTACAAGTTTGTGGTATATACAATCCAATTTGAAATTTGTTGAGAGATAAATAAGATATGGTGATGATGACATACATGTTATTTACAATTTTTGTAGTTTTATAAATAAATTTCTATCCTCTAAAAATGGGAGTTAACATAGTAGTATTCTTTAAGATTTTGTTAGCTTCTTCTGGCATTTATAGATTATCTATTTGCACATCCATGATTTAAGCTTAAGATTTTCTTCTAAGAGTAGGATCACTAATCAATATGGATAATTTGGGATGAGAAGATCTGGCATGTTGTTGTTCTTCTAGAATGTTGCTTCCATATGTTACTTCAGTGAATGTATTGTGAAGATCGTATTTGGATTGACTTGCAATATAAGATAATGGTATTTTGATTCCATGATAAGTATTGGTTCTGTAACATACCAAATAAGCAGTCAATATTTTAATGATCTCATGCAGCACCTTGTCTTGAAAACAATTGTGTGTTGTCACTTTATTACAAATACTTTTGATGTCAGCAAAGTCCAAAACCAACTTAAAAACCTTGGTTCTGCTTTCCTAAGGAGTAATTTGAAAATAGAAGTATGTGTGTTCATTTGTTAATTGATCACAGTAGAATTCATTAAATTAATACACTTCACATTCCACAAACACCTTACCTATATTGCTTACTCTACTTTAAGCATTAAAGGTTTTGCGATGAAAGTAGGTTTTCATGAAATACCTTAAACGACTTGAAGATATCAGAGTCAATTTCAACTGTTACTTGAAATAATAAAAAAGGATTGTTTATTTTAATAATCTATGATTTTCATTATTTATGAATTACAAAGGATCAATTATGTACATCAATAAAAACTAATCCAAAGCACTAAACTTATCCCTATTCCGTTCCTCCAAACTAACGAACTATCTATTGAATTACAAAGCTCTCCCTATTAATTTCCTTTGTAATTTGGCTTGTGATTTAATTTAATACCCTATCAATTATGGTTTAATGAAAATATGAAGCATCTTCTCAATATCTTAAATTGATTGAATTGTACGAAAAAAATACAAATGTTTATTAGGATTGTATAGAGTGATCTTCACCAAAAGTTTCTAATTCCTTATCAATTCATGCATGTTCTATTTGAGTACAAGCAAATCTTACTTTGCTTATTAATCACTCAGATACAAGAGTTTGGTGTCTAGAATTTTGGCTTCTCGAAAGCACGTCTCAACTTTAAAATTTAGATTGTCTTCAAAATAATAGAATTTATTGTTGTTTATATTGAACTTGGATCTATAAGTAAGAAAGGTTTATCTATCTATTACATCTTCATTTGATTGATTGACCCCAGTTTCAACAGTCAATTGAATGCCCTCTTCAGTTTCAGTCCTATTAAAATCTGGCATTAATATTAGGGAGGTTCTTTTTTCAGAATAATTAAGACAATTGATTTCTGTTTGAGGCATCACTTGATTGCTACTTAAGTATTAATGGATTTCATTGTGTATGAACTCGTCATAGTGATTAACTCTCTTAATATACCTATCTAACATAATTTCAGTATGTCTGTAATTATATTATTTTAGTTCCTGAACAAAGGACAATTTCTATGAACTACTTTTTTTATCTTGTAATAGTTCCAAGATTTGCAATTTCTTTTGACGATTAGGCAATCTGATACCAGGATCTATTTAAATCAATTATTTAATAATATTTCCAGCTTGATTATCAATTACCAAATATGTTGAACCATCCTCATAAAGGACATAGCCAGTTTTAATAGTATTATCTTACTTTAATGTTACGTTCAGCATTATAAATTAATCAGGAAATTCTGGGAGGAACTATTCAGGTTCTGGCTAGATGACTTAACCTCTAGGAGGGAAGTAAGTAGATTTGTAGTTAAACTATGTTTTAAATGAAATGATTGGTCCTTCTTGCGGTTGATATTCTGCAAAGTCTGCCAGATTGGCAAATTAGAATTCAGGTAGATAATCATTAAGAAATTATATATCTGATTGTGATCGATCTCTACTATAGTCGTCGAGACTTTATTTGGAAACGGGAGGTTCGAAATTAAACTCTTCTTTTTTTATTTCCTCTGGTTTTTGTTTCTTGGAAAATTCCAAAAAGTGGCTTACATGTGTTTTCCTTTGCACAGCATTGCGAATCAATGCTTATGAGGAGATAATTGAATCAAATCTAGGACTAGCCATTGTATTTCTATTATGAATTACAGAATATTATTTCTTAGGGTTTCTCTGTGGAATCTCTTAGATAAAATCCTTTTCGGAAATATTTTCAATGGATTTAAAATGATTGGAATAATGTTTTTAATCAGTTGGGGATTAAGATGTGACACCTCCTTTTGAAAGGTCAGATTTATTATCATCTGAGTCTTAAATTTCAATACTTTGTTCTTGAGATTATTTAATTTCATCTGGAAAGAGTTGTTGATTTCTGTTTCTAGATGACGATGATATAGTTGGCAATTCTTCTGTTTAATGTTCTATGATTTTGATGGGTTCTATTTTCAATTATCTTTGTATCATTCTTCTTTTGTTCTCCTTCTCAATCTACTTGTTTTTGTAATAGGATCTAATGTCAATGATATCATGTTGTAATTGATGTTATATTACATCCTTCATAGAGATTATTTTGAAACCAACAACTGATCTGATCAAATAGTAATGATTTTTTAAGGCATATAACAGTTTACTCACTATTTCATGGGCATATTCAGCACCAGAAAATATGATGGCATGACATTTGTTGGATTGATGCAGTGTTTATTATTTACAATAAATGCTCAACAAGCCATTAAAGTTTTGTAGTCTATCTTTGGAAAACCACCTTTGATATTCATCCAAGTAACTGGCAAAATTATTTATTTTGAAATTGAGTGTGTATTATTATTTATCATTAGACAATCTAAAATAAACAATTAATTGCAATGCTTTAATTGATTAAACATCTGCAAATATGTTCATGATGTATTGTAACTAATTTTCTAATTGAAGTTTACTACAAATATATACAAATTTCACTAGCAGATATGTCATGTTGTTGTATTTGTTCTTCTTCTTCTGTGTCTGGATTTTGAGAGTTGGCATCACTAAAGGCTCTGACCCAAATATTGGAGAGTTTCCAAATCTTAATTTCAGAATCAAAGAACAACTTAGATAAGAAGTACAATTCAGACTCTGGTAAATTGTAGAATTCTTTAATGATTGAGACCAACTATGATAATTAAATTTATATAGCATTACCGTCTTCGCTTTATTTGAACTAGATTAGTCGGAATCAGTATTTTTGATTTCTCTAACAATAGAATCAAATCCAAAGTTTCGTCTCCTTACTGAATTCTTCATTTCTTTAACTGAGACTTTCATTTGATTCCTTCCTGTTTATTAGCTATCTATTTTCTCACTGATTTATGTTGCATTAATGGGTCTAGGAAGATTGATAGGTGTCAATTCAATCGTTTATACCGATTGCACCTTCTTTATCCCTTTAGAATATCTCCTATAACAAGACTAAATGATAGAGGCTGCCAAATTCAACTAATCTATTGTATACTTATTGAGGAGGTCTGCAAAATGATTGTCATTCTGTTCTGACATTTCCGTTAGCACATTCTAGATTATAGGCAGCTGCTAGATTTGTTATTGCTATTATTAGGCTAAAAGGGATTCAGTGGTAGGAACATGCAAATCATCCATTTGTTATTATTAGTTTAAATCTTAAATGGTTTGCAACTTATGTATTTTCTATTCACTCTATTGAGAGTCGGATTTAATGTGGATTAGTTGACTACTCTATTTATTTAAAACACGAGGAATCAATCTATTTGATAAAAATTTCTTTTTGCTAATATTTTTAATTTGTTAAGCAGATTCAGTTTCTTTGTTATCATTCTTCTTCTTTTTTTGTACCACATATTCTGATTTGATCTACGGTCTAGACAACAATAAATCATCTACTGTATCCTTCTTTAATTCTGTAGTGNATAGTAATGATTTTTTAAGGCATATAACAGTTTACTCACTATTTCATGGGCATATTCAGCACCAGAAAATATGATGGCATGACATTTGTTGGATTGATGCAGTGTTTATTATTTACAATAAATGCTCAACAAGCCATTAAAGTTTTGTAGTCTATCTTTGGAAAACCACCTTTGATATTCATCCAAGTAACTGGCAAAATTATTTATTTTGAAATTGAGTGTGTATTATTATTTATCATTAGACAATCTAAAATAAACAATTAATTGCAATGCTTTAATTGATTAAACATCTGCAAATATGTTCATGATGTATTGTAACTAATTTTCTAATTGAAGTTTACTACAAATATATACAAATTTCACTAGCAGATATGTCATGTTGTTGTATTTGTTCTTCTTCTTCTGTGTCTGGATTTTGAGAGTTGGCATCACTAAAGGCTCTGACCCAAATATTGGAGAGTTTCCAAATCTTAATTTCAGAATCAAAGAACAACTTAGATAAGAAGTACAATTCAGACTCTGGTAAATTGTAGAATTCTTTAATGATTGAGACCAACTATGATAATTAAATTTATATAGCATTACCGTCTTCGCTTTATTTGAACTAGATTAGTCGGAATCAGTATTTTTGATTTCTCTAACAATAGAATCAAATCCAAAGTTTCGTCTCCTTACTGAATTCTTCATTTCTTTAACTGAGACTTTCATTTGATTCCTTCCTGTTTATTAGCTATCTATTTTCTCACTGATTTATGTTGCATTAATGGGTCTAGGAAGATTGATAGGTGTCAATTCAATCGTTTATACCGATTGCACCTTCTTTATCCCTTTAGAATATCTCCTATAACAAGACTAAATGATAGAGGCTGCCAAATTCAACTAATCTATTGTATACTTATTGAGGAGGTCTGCAAAATGATTGTCATTCTGTTCTGACATTTCCGTTAGCACATTCTAGATTATAGGCAGCTGCTAGATTTGTTATTGCTATTATTAGGCTAAAAGGGATTCAGTGGTAGGAACATGCAAATCATCCATTTGTTATTATTAGTTTAAATCTTAAATGGTTTGCAACTTATGTATTTTCTATTCACTCTATTGAGAGTCGGATTTAATGTGGATTAGTTGACTACTCTATTTATTTAAAACACGAGGAATCAATCTATTTGATAAAAATTTCTTTTTGCTAATATTTTTAATTTGTTAAGCAGATTCAGTTTCTTTGTTATCATTCTTCTTCTTTTTTTGTACCACATATTCTGATTTGATCTACGGTCTAGACAACAATAAATCATCTACTGTATCCTTCTTTAATTCTGTAGTGTACAATTGTTATCTATGTAAAATCTATATACCTTACTTTAACTAATCCATGTGGTTCTCCAATTAATAGAGACTACTTCTTTGAGATTAGGTTGCATTGGACAATCTAGGGGAGAACAGTCTATCTTGAGGTAACAGAGATTGATTGTAAGTGGAGACAGCTCTGGACGAGGATTTCTTATTTTTGATTTGGTATTATTTCTATTTATTATTGGAGTCATCAAATTTCTATTGATATGATATGGTTCTTAGTTTATCTTCGTATTCTATTCTGACTTTTTTAACATATTCTGGCATCTAGTACTTGGTTGTGTGTTAGGTTAATTGTCCTACTATTTGCTGATACGATTTGACTTACTGAATTACATGATGCTATGTGAAATAACTGATATAAGAATACATTAAAATTTTTGTTTGGTTTTAGTGTAACCACTTTTTTGAGCAGTTCTTATCCAACGTCCTTTTGTAAATCATCCTTGAATTATTGAAAATCCACCTTCTCTTTTCCCATAATCATTTCAAATTCCATTTTCTAACTCAATTTCTCATATTTATCCCTTGCTTTCATCGTAGCAGGAGCATCCATTCCATAGATTAACTCAGATATTTACCAGGATTTATAGAGATTACGAAGTGCTTCCTTCTCAAATCCAACTTTGAATTACGATTTACCAATATAATAAAAAGCCTTTGCCAACATCAAAAACCATTTTTTGAATTCTTAATGAAATTCGTCCTTGGTTAGATTTCGTAAAGAGTCAAAAGTGATACCCAAACGATTCAAGATCTCGACATATTTATTGCATTAGTCCAACATATCATCCTTTCTATGCATCATTCTACAGACTTCGCATCCATGAAACAGTAACTACACATACAATTTTAACACATTTTAATCATCCTCGTTAATATTTACTCTTTTAGTATAAGCAAACTTTTCCATAAAAGGCAATACTTCCTTGATATTCATCCAGGCTTTTTGATATTGATTCTGCTACTCATACAATTGGACAATCTGCAATATTGCATTGCCTCTTGCACGAACAAAATTGGCTGTATAAAATATTCCACTAGTGATTGAAATCGGAGTTGTAATCTATATGTCATTATAATATTATCTACTTCCTTTGCTCGATTGAAGAACATTTCTGCTTAAGGATTGTTACCAGATTTTAATAGAGATCTTCCATCTCTTATCAACGTATTTGCAAATTCAACTGCTGCATTAACAACAACAGGAGATTCCCATCCGTTCTAAGAAAGTGTCTGTAAGTATTATCTCTCAAGCCTTTACAAATTCAAGAGCTGTCCAGATTACATATTAAATTATTATTAAAGAAGATTATAAATTTTAGTAACTAATGTTTTAATGTTTATTTCTCGGTTATTCTCTATAAATATTAACATTATACAATTTATTTATAGAATATTCTGAAGGGTCAATAAATAATCCATGAATTCTATTTTTATATTTTTCCAAGATTAAATATCTACAGAGTGATAAATTAGACTTTAAAATTATTGTAATATATACTGATAGATATCGTAATAAGTTTTTAGATGTAGAATTGGATGCGATAAATATAGTAATACAAAGGACAATTTAATAAGATATATTTGACTATTTTAGGTAAAGTCCAAAATCATAGTTAATTTAGACAACGTTATAGACATCATAACATTTTGCAATCATTTGATTATATTAATGATCACAAATGAGTTCATGACAAGCCTTAGTGTCATACAACTGAATATGAAGTCTTTCACTACTCATGACATAAAAATATCATTACTGGATCAAATAAGCTTTATTGGAAATTTTTAGATAACTGTAATTTATACACATAAAATTATTTAGATATATTTAATTCATATTTTATTTGACAGGATTCATGAAATAGTCTAATTGTTAGTTAATGAAAAAATACTTTTAGGAATTCTTAAAAACAAATAAAATGATCCATACGATAACAGGAACTTAATAATTATAAACAAAGATTCAATTTAGTATTCCAATAATGAATGGTATGAATCTTCTCAAATGTGTAGTAAAATACTATTGAATAAAGTCATATCTTGAGAACATTTATAGAATTGATTGGAGGTTTAGATTATAGATGAATTGGATCAATAATCTTGAAATAAATTATTCTAGCTGCATCTCAACCGCGTGTAAATCAGTTATCTAAATGTTATTTTAGGAAAAATATTAATCTCCTTTACTGAAACTATTTGAATATTATTTCTAGATTTTTATGATAATACTTACTTAACTCTTTACTTTAGGAATGTATAAACTTGAATAGTAAATAGATTGAATATCAACAAGACTTGTAAAAAAAGATCAAGTTTGAAGGATAACTTTGAAGTTTATGTATATTGTAATTATTCTTAATGATTTTAAAATTAAATTAAGTTAAACTTAACACATTATTTGCAAAACAGATTATTAGCTGATAATTTATCATAAATTTCATTCTAATAATGAAGAATAAGACTAGAGGTTGTTTATTAATCATTTTAATTTTTGCAAAGATAATTATGATTATTTTAAGATTTTAGGAATCCTTAAATTGAATAATCTAGTAAGTGAGTTTAAGTGATGATATTAGATTTTATTATGTTAATGTTGTAAGATTTTGTATTGGACTCTGGAATTTGAAATAATAATAATTATATTATATGAACCCATAATTCAAGGAATCAAATTGTGATTGTTTGTTAATGAAGGAAGTTTGTGGAATTGTAAGCAGATCCTATCCTCGGATTATTTAGAAATAGTGAATAATTCGGAAAAAGGTCCTTGCGAGAGTGAGCTCATCTTACAACTTACCCCCTTGAAGGAATACAATAATTTAAGGGAATTTAGTGAGATGACATTAATATTCATATTATTTTTTTCAATTCATAGATTTACCCTTCATATTAAATTATGCAGAGGGTGTCATTGCTTGGTGAAGTGTACTTCTAGAGAACAGGACATTTGATTTTGAGAAATATCTGTCTAAATACTAAGATGACCATGTCTTCTATGTAGATGACTCCGACGCATAAGAACTTCTCATCAAATCGTTTCTTGATGATTTCTGACAAATTTTCAGAAATGCCCAAACCTGGACAATAATTGTTTTATACATTGAATCTCTTGAGCCGAGACTTGAGCTGCTAATCCCTGCATGATTCTCAAAACTATATAGCATTTATCCTTCATGGTGACAGCTCCAATAAAAAAATTTTGGCATTGCCTTAATTACATGAAAGCATACTATAATTATTTGTGAATTTCTAAATACATCATATTTCTATTCCCCACAATTTCGATTACTCTTAGATTGATGTTTTTTTCATGATGTTTTCTGAGTACAAGACATTTTTGATTAAGCAAAGTAATTTGCAAGATGTCGCTGTTTTTAAGTTTGCCCACATCTCTGATGTCTTCAAGTTCATCCACAATCAATTCATCTGTGTATTAGGTTTATAGAGGTTGAATAGCTAATTCTTCATATTCTTTTTCTCTGAACAGACATCCTCCCATTTATATTTTAATAAAGTTATGTTTAACTTGTTAATTAAATTTATGGCTTCAAATTACGCACTTCTGACTGAATCTATGGATTATTTTGTGTATTCGTTTGACATTAATTAATTATATGAAAATTCTGGACGACATCAAGCAGCAAGTGGAGAAGGAAATGCTAAAATTCGATCCACGATTGGCTGAAAAGAAGTATTTGAAAATTACTCAATCAATAAAGGATTTGTTTTTGAAGGCTGTTGTGAAAGAGAAGTAAACTATTAAAGCAGTAACAATCCTTATAATCTCTAGGCTGCTCATTCCATTGGAATCAATTACTCTTCTGCTAAAGCCATCTGGGCTGAATTCAGAAGTAAGAATCAGAAGAAGAAGAAAAAAAACAAGGAAGATTCAGATTAGAAGAATGGAAACCAATTAGTTAAGCGTTGTTCCTATAAAATTTTGAATGGATGTAATAAAATAAAAAAAATCTTCATGGAAATCAAATCATCTGTCTCATAGAACTTAAGCTCGACTCATTTAATCAATTTGGAATCACATATATGAATTTAAATTATTTTATCTTTTTTTATGCTACATTTAATAGAACTTTATAATATTTATCAATTATACAACACCAAAATCAATTTTGATTGAAATAATTAATCATATTAGAGATCTCAGTTTACGCATCACTATAATAGGTGTATTTTTCATTAAAATTTATACTAATTGTTTGGAATTAAACTTGTATTAAAATGAAATAATACATGAATAATATGTCTTCTTTACATCAAGATAAAAGAAAGGACGAAAGAGATAATGATGATAGTTATTATTGTTGCTTCTACAAAAAAAGAATATAGGTTCAATAATTGTCAAAGAATTCAAATTCAATGAACTACTCCATCCTTAATAAAAATATTATTAATTTGGAGTCTTTATAGGAAGTCTAATTTCTATTAGAAACTTATCCAGAAAGACAAGCACTTTTGAATAGTCTAAGGTACAAAGTCATTAATTTGGACAAATACCCCTTGATACTTGTATACAAAAAAGAATAATCACAACCAGACATTCAGGTTAGAGAAGATGAAGTAACACTCATATTGTCATATCCAGAATATGAAGTAGAATATACGCCACTCATTATTCATTCAAAAATAATGGAAAATATTGATTATAAAAAGGAAATCGATTAAAGCGAAATATATTTCAGCGGTATTTTTCAACGTCTCAATACCAACATCTGTGATAATGTAATTGTGATTCCATTCAGTCCATCCTTGAACATCATTGATCCAGTTTTCAATGAACTCAAACTAGAATGTCGATAAGCATTATTCAACCTACTAATTCCATTTATTCCTGTCTTAGATAAGGTAACCATCATCCTTCCAAATGTTGTACCATTGAATAGTATAATGTCAATTGTTGAACCTCTGATAAGTTTGAGAATTAAAATGATGTCACATCCAAATTATACAACACTCATAGTCAATTGTGTTTAAGAGAACAATCGCTTTGATGAATTCAAATAATATAGAATAACTTTTGATCTTAAATATTATCACAAACAAGTTAACCAATTTGTGAGATAGAAATTAAGTACAGATCACAACATAGATAATTTGCCTGTTCAATTCTTGGCTCAACTACTGTGGACCAATTAACCTTTGTCAAGCTAACAGTTCTTAGAACAAACTCAATCTATTTCGTTAAGAAAATCCGACCCCATCTAATAGACTTCCCCTGTTACTCCAATTTATAATTATGAGAGCAATTACAAATTTGAATTAGAAGGGTCATCTCTCAAAAAAGATAAAGATTCATATTGAATTTAATTAACTTTATATGTCTTTAATAACTGATCCATTCTCTAGAATCCAAATTTCTAATCTAAATAGATGATTCAAATTTATATTGAATTCTGAATATTACATCAAAAATCTTAAAAACTACCAATACTGATATATTTAATGAGCAATAAACAAATATCTAATTAGGTATTAGATTTTAGAGTTTATGATCAGCAATTATAAGTAAGCAATTCTTCTAAAAAAATTTTGGAGGTGATGATCATGAAAATAATTATAGTTGCGTTAAACTCATCTAGTAACATCTCATAGTTCATTTGTAATAGCTATATGAATGACAAATATGCCTAAAATATCATAAAAATTCTAAATTGACTAATAATTCTAATATATTGGTAAATCAATGGATCTCACATAAGTATCTTGATGATAACATTATTATCATCAAAAAGCTCCCTAGATGAAAATAGTATCGAAATTCAGACTGATAAATTCAAATAGAGGGTCCCTGAAATAATTAGCAAACTACTGAAACTTATTATAATTATAACAATCAAATAAAATCTAAAAAGCATATTAAATATAGATATATAACCTGAGACTCAATTGTTCCTGCAAAGGAAAAAATTTACTATGGATAGTAGAGTTATTTTTTAGAGACTTTCTTTGCAATAAATACCATATACCATATTACAAATGAAATTAAATTATGAATAATATTAATGAATTAACTACTTATAGAAGCAGAAGCCATTACTCTCCATCATAATTATCATCCAGTTCTGGGTTTCTGAATTAGCAATATGATGAATTTGTAAACAAGATTTATGGTAAAACAAGACAAATAAAAATACATCATCTTATTCCTAAACAAACAAATAAAGTTTTTGAAATAACTACTCCATAATATGAAGATGCAATATACAAAAAAATGGATGATTACATCAAAAACGAAAAACTTAGTCAGAGAGAAACAAGGATTCAAGAAAGGATTATTGAGAAAGAAGTCATTTAACAATATAAGGAAAAATAACATACTTTTAAATTATTGATCCCTGATTAAAGTTATATCAAGATACTACAGTCCTGTTAAAATTATATGCCCAAATTTAAGTTTTCCAGATTCAACAGTCCTAACAACCAAGCCAATAACGAAAAGTTGTTAAATAAAGTTAGTGAATTACTACAATAGAGAAAATAAAGACATGACATTTATAAAAAACAGTTAGAATATGAAAGGAAGAGAGGTAAGAAGATTCTAAGATAAAATTTCAGTACAGAAAAAACTCAAAGAGTGCCAAGTCCATTGAGATTAAAAAATATTGAATAAATTATTCAGAAGTGTAAAGAATAAAGTGATGGTTGTAGTTCAGAAATAAAGGAGATTAATAAAAATAAATAATAATTAAATAAAAATTATTAATTAATAAAAGACTAATATAATGATATATTCAATTAATGATGAATCTTTTTAATCTTAAATCCTACTCTAAATCCACTGTTACTTAAACATTATTATTTTAAGGGAATTCTTTGAACTAAGGACTTATGATATTAGGAGTTTGCACATAGATATCTAAAATTTATTAAGTCATTGATATCAGAATGCAAATAAAACTTAGAAATTACTCCTTTTGAAATTGAACTTACATTTTCCATGGTTAATATTTATCAATTAAAGTATTAATCAGTACAAAAATCTTTTAGAGTTCTAAATAACCTTCAATGAATAAATTTTTATCTAATAATGCCTTAGTATTTTTGTGTAATTCCAGAAATGTTTATTTAGATTATAATAATTGATCATCCAATAAATGTTATTATAATAGTAGTAGATTTGGTGATATTATCTTAGGTCTGAATAATCTAAACAAGATATTATTAAATTGGTCAATGTAGGTGTTCCAACATTTCTCAAGTTTTTGTTCTTCAAATGAGACATCCATATTTTGAGGCCCTTAAGTAAGGAAGTATAATCTAATTTGATTTTAGTTGTATGTTTGTAATAATTAGAATGGATCAATGACATTTCCAAGTGACTTAGACATTTTCATCTGAATTATTATGGTAAATTTACATTATTTCTTATCCAATGGTTATGCACAATCAATTCAGTTGTAGATTGGTTATTGATTCCTTTTAAGAAGCTAGGCCAATATAAGGCATGAAATCTGACTATATCTTTGCCTATCACATGCATATAGTGATGTTACTCTTCTTATAAATAGCCTAACAAGGCATCCAACCATACATAAATCAATTAATTAGTATCATTTGGAACTTCAATTCCCCAATAATATCTCTGTTTAGGTCTGCTGATACAAATATGATTAATAATCAATTGCTTTAGTTCATTTTGATATCTGGATGGTGCTTTAGCAATGCATGTCTCAAGATAATGTTTGTCAACTTTGAAAAAATAATTCTCTTCTTCCAAATATTGATCAGTTTTATGACTAACAAAAGATTCTTCAACTTAGCAATAATATCCTTTATAAGTGTCCTTTACAATGAAACCATTATTTAATAGCAGATTCCAATTCTTCTAAACTTTTATGATATGTTGAGGATCAGTGGTCCTAACGAATTGATCGTATTTAATAAATGAATTAGCCAATTGTTTGAATTGATTGGAAACTGAATCACAATATTGTTGGAGTGGTTGATTCTTGGCACTTCTGTAGACCTTTAATCCATGCTCATCAGTTCCTGTCAGCAATTTTAGTGATTTATACTTAGCGATAGCATCTGCATAAATCATTGTATAGAGATGACCTATGTGCGGTTAGGCATTCACATAAAACAAAGGTGTAGTTATTATTTATTTTATCATAAAAAAATTAAATAAATTTTATATAATTATAACATACATAATCCCAACCACCCTATTTATATACTTGTTATGTTGATTAGAATCTACGATTGATGCAACCATAAATGTAATCCAAACATTATCCATGACAATAGGATCATCGCTTTTGTAAGTGTAGTTGTTTTGTCTTCTTTTAACACCACCATCAAAACTATCATTATAAAGGATATTTCAAATAACGTATCTATAAATATGTTATTAAATGATGCTAAAATGATTCCAAACAAGTAGGGTATGATACTAGATTATCTCTCCTAAGGTTGAGGATTTAATTAGCAGTCCTGACTCTACAATTCCAAAGGTTTATGGTAATAATCTGGAACTCCAATTGTATATGTATTATTTGATTACTCTTATCTGCTATGATGAGGCTATCCATCATGTAATTCATTTGCAATCTCATTATTGTAAGGTATCTTGATCTATCGTAAATCCTGTAATTGTAATGAATAATCCTCTAATTCATCTTCAAATTTCTTGATATATGATACTACAAGACTACGAGCTTAATTTAGTTGGAGATTCAATAATTTCTGATCTAAAACTTTGATTTCATAAGTAATTTCCATTTCCAACAACTCCCCATTCTCTTTCTATGCCAGCAGTTCAGTCACATTCTTATTAAATTGTAAGGAGTATGTTGGTATCACGATTGTAGTGTTCATCTGATTTTGAGTGTTTGTATTCAAAGACAGTAGAATACTATCACCAACATCCAAAATATCAATTGTTTGATTTAGCTAGAACTGTAAATTATAACTAGGCTTAAAATCACTTTCAAATTCGTAGTAATCTTCAATCTTCATATAAAATGCATATTATCCAACCATAAACTTATTATGTACCTGCAAATTCAACACTGAGGCTGAATGTAACATCAATCTCATGGGAGTTCTATGATTACTGCTGCTAATCACTTGATTATTTTTCAATCTCTCATCTATAGCCGTTAAATTATCCTGTTCCTCTATTAGTTATTACTTTGAGTTGGCTATTTTTTGACTCAGCAACTAGATTGCATCCCTGTAAACCTTCTCAAATTACTGAAGAGTGCACTGCTTATGCTTTAACAATAATTTAGATATTTACATCTTGCATACATTTATTATATAATTAACTTATCAATTGGCGATCGATGGCTCTATTTGAGTGACTCTAAAGTAATTCTATAAGTTCTTGCTGTTAATATGAATGCATTAATTACAATATATTTTATTTATATAATAATTGAAATTGTTTATTCCAATCTATATCAATTTATATTCCTATTTGCTCCACCTTAGCTGACTTGCATTGAACATGGAGAATTTCATAATATCATCAATCATACAACATAGACTTATATTAGATCTCTATTCGATGTCCCTAACTAGTTATGAACTACTGGTCTATTCCAGTGGATGTCACAGCTTCAATTTGAGTTGTTATTTCAATATTTAGAATAATTTATTTATTTTACTAACCCATAATAAATGAATTAAATTGTTTAGCAAAATAACTATAAAATAAATGTTTTCTTTGTATATATATGAGATTGCCACAGTTTTATTTCCTCATTATGAACTCAAACTGTCCATCTCGTAAATACAAAAAAGATCTTACTAAATAGGTTACAAATTTCGATAATAAAATGAGACATTTGTGCCGCAAGTAAGAAATATTCTTTTTTATTACAATTCCCATTTATAAAATTTAAAATGTTGGTGGCAATCAAAAAAGTGGGCTTGAATTTAGTAAAATTTAATAATAAAAATATGTCAATCTATCAAATGGTAATTATTTTAATTAAATTTAAACATCATAGTCCTTCCTGTTATTATTATGAAGAATAGGCCAGCATCCTATCAACATTTGAAATTATTATTTATTATGTTTATTATGTTTATGGCAATTCCACTCCTTTATTTACACTTCCTTATAATCGAAGAGGGTAGAAATTATTCGATATCGTATTAAAATCAAGCTTAAGTATATCGATGGTGTCTTCTGAAAATTCTGCATCTCTGTTTCTGATAAAATTGGATTAGTGCTTCAAACAGCAACATAGGTATTGTTCAACCTTTGTTATGATATTCTAAGTTATTTTACAATACTTACACATCTACAAGGAGATCCAGATGTTATAACAGCATCTAACAGTCCTAAAGAAGTTGAAACTATTGGACCGACTGGATCAATAAATAAGATAAAGATGATATTCATTATTATTGGAATTAATTTGTTGGGGAATTAAAAGTCAAAAAAGAATAATTTGGTTTCGTGTAGTGGTTACAAATAACACCTTACTTATAGAATTAGAATTTACTTAAGTGCGCTCATGTAAAAAAACATATTCCATAATCCGTGTGAAGGATGGACGTAGTAGAAAAGGTATGTGTTAATTTCTATGTAATAGAATAGTGTTATAATTGACTAAATAGTGAGAGACTATTTATTACATCAATGAAAAATGTCTTTAGAGTAATTTCTATAAAAAAGAGAGCAGTTCCTTATGCCTTCTCCCTTTCAGCAAGTAAATTCTAAGTAAATACAAAACTCAGTAAAAAGCTTTCAATTGAAGCTTTTTCATATGATCAATTTTACAATTAAAAAGGAATGATGGAAATAACCTCCATATTTGAGTCTTAGTTATAACTTCGTAAGGTAAGAAGGAAAGCAAATTTGAAAGAATTCCAGAAGTAAAAGCATCTGAGATAAGTATTATCACAGATAGCACATACAAGGTTAAGGATCCTATTGCCATTATTATTATAATTAATTAATAATATTTTTATGTAAAATAGTTATTTTCATTCGTTTCTCTCAGTGTCATCTTCTTCAAACTACTCGCTGCAGTTTAATTGATAAATTTGTACCTATCATCAATGACAATATTCTCAAGGTTAATATTGTTCCCTCCAATCTGTACTCCTTATCCTTGAAATATCCTTCCTTAATATTCTTGATCTCTTTCTGGCAATTCTTTCGTAGGATAACTTTGTAAATTTTCTGTCATCAAATAGAAATCTTCTCTAATACGTATGCCTTTCATTAAATGGCTGTTCTCTATTTTTTTAATAAATGACTAAGATATTTGAGATGAGCATAAGTTACTTGACTGGGTCTAAACATCATAGAATTGAAGAACTTTGCTTCAATATAGGCAAAAATCAGAGCGGCTATTGAGTCGTAGTTTTGGTTGACTGCAAGCCCAATCAATGCATAAACAAAGGGAAGGTATTTTCCAGGAAGTTAACATGGTAAGAACAAAATCTTAATTAATTGTTCTGGATTTGCATAGCACCTATAATAACATTGTAATTCTTACTGTAGACTAATGTAAACTAGATAGAAATTCCATAAACCTCGAGATGGAATAGAGTAGATTTGTACTATCAATGATAGAATTAAGAATGTAATCTTGAATAAAGAAATATGAATTTTACTTGAATCATGATATTTTTAAAGAAGAAATCCAAAAGAAATACAACAGTTCCTAATTTTTTTTCCAAATCTACCACCTAGGTGCAAAATATGAAAAACATAAACATAGCACTTAAATAGGCTACGAATTTTGATGAAAATTACAATTTATAAATTGAGTGAAGAACAGTCTCCATAATTCAAAATCTTCAAAAACTTTGGATGGCAAATCCTCAAACCAATAAGTAAATTTCTCAGAACATAAAGTGTTGATGAGAGTAACAGCTGTTAATAATATCAATATGATTTTAATGCCAAAGGGAATTTGATTTAGAAAACCCCAACATGAGTTGTCACTTTATGAGTAAGTTCTAAAGTTCATGAATAGTATTAATAAATGATATAAAAATATATAAAATAATTTATCAGTTCTCCTACTAAAATTAATTAATTTTTATTTTTCATGCAATCTATTCAGAGCAACAGCAATTAAATACAGCCAACAATGGGAAGAGACAGATATGGTTAATCTCTATCAGTGGCCTTGCCAATTTCTCCAGTTAAGAAACTTGATGTGACCAATGTGACATTACGAAAATATGATCGTTATACAGGGAATCCGGAAACCATAGCTTGGGAGAAACATTTGTTATGCGAAATCGGAGTAAGTGATTGTTCCATTCTTTTAGGATGAAGATTTGAACTTTATTAAAGATTTTTACTTAGAAGAGAAATCATACAAAGATGAAGAGTTTTACTTCAGGTACATCGATTCAATCAGAAGCAAATATTTGGCTGGAGCTAAAGAAGCTTACACATTGGCAAAGGACATATGCAAATAGTTGGTGGCTGAAGATCTGATAAAGACTTAGAGATTAAAAAAGAATCGTAAATAAGTTACGCAAAGGATCAGACAAACATTAGGAACATTTAAGCAGACTAAAAATGAGGATATCTTGAGATGGGTACTAATGATCTATTAAAATAGAAAACTGGATTGAAGAAATTATTTCACGAGATGAGAGATGCAATCCAACACATTTTAGATGCAGGAGGTGAAAAGGAATTCTTTAGATTAGAGGAATTAATAAAATAGAAGTAACACATAACAGAAGAATTTCTTAAGGGACTTCCAATTCGAAATGTCTAAGAAATCAATAAATATCTGTAATCAATAAGATTGTTCTTGTCTAAGAAAACAGATGAGTTTTAATAACACAAGTTAGAACATGGAGATGATTTTCACTTTGATGAGAAAACTATTCGGGAATTGTCGAGATCCTCATTGGAAGACACTGCTTCGTGTTACTCGGATAGGTTGACTGAAATCAGAGCACATTCTAAGAGGGAGAAATAGAAGGAGGCTGAGAAGAAGATAGAAAAGTTTTATGATCTGAATTAATTGAAAAATAAATGGAAAACTACTAATGTAGATTATTTGAAGGGAACAATCCGGAGAGTTTTAGTGAAGGAAACGTTATCTGAGGCTGAACATATTCGTGCAAGGGCTTACAGGTTGGAATAGGAAAAGAAGGGAATTTAGATCTTAAAGGTAGAGAAACCGAGGAAGATTTAATAGACGGCATAACAAAGGATTCAGGAAAGGAAGGAAAAGAAAGATAAGAGATCAGTGGCTGAATAATAGAGGAAACATACTTTAACTAGGGAGGAAATGAAGACGGAACAATTGAAACAAGAGTTTTTTACAAAATACAATCCGAAGTCTAGCATAGGAGAATAATTTTGTGTTGCTGTTGGTTATAATAATTTATTTTGAATCATAATAAAACAACTATTAAAAATGCCATAATTTTTATAAACTACATAAAATCTTGTGTTAAAATTTCGTGATGTTGCCATTGATCAACTAGACATCTTCGGCCAACCTCCCAATTTCAGAGTGCTAAACAGATAAAAATATAACTCCATGATTGGATTGATTACTACCATACTTATTGGAGGAGTCACGTTTATTTACTTGGCAAATGAATTAATCACGATGTTAGGCAAAGCTGAGCCGTCTGTGGTGTCCTCAGAAATCCAAGTGTTTGATACTTAAGTAAAGTAGAGTCATTTAAATTAGACATTTCCTTTGTTAAACGATAACTTTACCTTAGCCATTTCAGCCACCAACAGTGCAGGAAATCAGCTGAATGGCCAAGGAAAATATTATAATATTTCAATTTTCCATTGCATAAGGAGCAGAACCAAAAATGAGACAACAGGATTGATCGCAGTCAGTGTGGAGTAATCATTTCATCAATATCTTATAAGTTGTTCTCTCCTCCCAACCGAGACCTGTAATATGTCCCACTTTGTCACTGAATAATAAAATGATTATTTTAGTCGAATGAGATTAGGTGCCATGCAATGTATTAATAGAGAGTATCTTAAATTAAATCCACCAGTATTTCTAATTTCTAAATTATTAGCCTTTGCAAGGACAATTGAACGCCATGGTCTATCAATATTTGAAAATACAATTGACGGTTTGCCATAACTCAACCGAATATTAGAAATGCGCATCCCCAGAAGAAATCAAATCCATATTAATGTCAGGACATTATGTAGTTTATACGAGTGATTACCTAACGCAACTCAATAATCCCAGCGAACCCTACAAACAAATTATCAATAGTGAGTTTTCTGGCTACTCCGTATCCACATCTAAAATGATTAAACAATATTACAGAATCATTTAGACGACCAGCGATGACGGCTGGTTGTTATAGAACATACATGTTAAAGAAAATCTCAAACAGCAAGAATGGAGAGAAACCACAGAATTATACAATGGTGAATATATTGTGGAACACTACATTGCTCTCGATTATCGACAAACCAATTATAATAGGAACTACGTTAAAATCTAAACTGTTTTAAGTAGACTAGGAGGCATTTGGCAGATCTTTATAATAATTGTGGCCTCCATCATAAGACCCGTTATTAACACACTCATGAATTTGGACATAGCTAATAGAGTTTTTAGGTTTCAATTAATAGAAGATGAGAAGGATCTGAAAACTAAGAACAATAGTCAACTGACTGAAACCAAAACCAATGAAGAAAAAATCACCATATACAATTGGAAATGCCAAAATCATAAATTATCTAGTAATATCAGTTCAAAAATGTTAATTCTGTTCGGCTGTCGGAATTAGAAAAAGCTATTATTCAATCATGCCAAAAACTAAATTATGCAGAGTTTAGACATCATTAACATGATTAAAAAATTACAAGAAATTGATCTCATTAAATAGATCATCTTTACTAAGGAACAGCAACTCCTGTTTAATATCATACCTAATCCTCTTATTCAGCTGAATAATGAGTAGGAAACTAATAATTTAAAAATTAATAATATTGATTTCATTAAGCACATCAATCAGATATCCCAACACAATAATAAATACTATAACTACCTAGAATCGTATCACAAAATGATCAACACCAAAGATAAGAATCCTTTCGATGAAAGAATTATTCAATTGTTGGATAAACAAACTCTAACTTTCTTTGACAAATAAATCGGGTAATTGAATGTTTCACAAATTTCCAAATCCCCTGCCTACCTAGAAAGCAAAGACGAGGATATCAACGAACCAATACCATTATTACCGAAATGATATTGTGATTGATTACTTAGTTTATTTAATTAAAACAAGTTGTTTAATCAAAAAAGAGTTTATTTAGCAATTTATATAATATATTCAGTACGAAATTGTATAGATATTATCAATAATAATATGTATAGATATAGATTCAAGTTAGACACTTCTAGAGGTGCTAGATGAAGGTTTAAGTCAATGAGAAGATTTCTGGAGACAGATTGATAGAATGGATTAGCTAATTCAATTCAACTACCTTCTCATTAGGTTTGCAAGACATAGTTTCTTATTCGATTCTCGTATCACAGCCCCTAAAATACAATCTTTATTATTACATTTGATAGAGGTCCTTGTATTTTTCCCTCAAATGCTTGTAATACCTGTTTTTTACCATACTATATGATTTGTTTGGAAAATAAAGAGCTATTTTCACAAATTTCGGTCCCAATTCCTGAACCAATCTCAGGATTCGCTCATCCTCCTCTTGAGTAAATTGGGACAGCGAGTGATTTTTGTGCTGTGAATCCTTTAACTTGTTTTTCTTTCTCAATTTACGATTGATATTGTATTAAATCCTTTTCTGACCAGTTTAAATTGTGTAATCCCTATTGGCATAAAAACCATATTGTTTAATTGCTGAACATCGCTTCTCTCTCTTCATTTGTTCCATAATATAAATAATAAATGAAAAATAAATATTTGGATTTGAATGGCAATCCATAATAAGATTTTGTGTTTTAAAATATAAGAAAACTTGTATTTATTTATATATAAAATGTCAATTAATCAAAAACATCCAAAAAGCCTTATCTTGACAAATAATGGATCAAATGATGAAAGTAAGAAGTACTAAATTAATCTTTTATTACTTCTTACAATATATGTTTTTTTAAATACTCTTAACTGTTTAATTAAATATATATTGAGTGTTGTTTTTTCTTGAAAGCTCTTTAGAGAATGTCCCTCAATCTCATAGTTTGGATCTCATTTAAATCAAATTAATAAATTTTAATTGCTTTAATTCGCTATAATTGATAAGGTGATTAAATTACATTTTTCACCAGGCAAAAAAGAATTTGCCTAAAAGAATCAAGAGAAACTTCTTATTAATACATTTGCATTAAATTATCAAATCTAAACAAAATTTAATTGCTCTCTATATCCTCTTGCACTAGAATCTATATTTAGAATTTTTCTGTTTTTTGAATATAATCATTAATGAAGTAAATTATTACCAAAGCTCAAAGTTTATAATATAGTCTTATAATTATGAACTGAAGATATAAGGTGTGACTTTACTACAATTCACTAACAAAAATCATATATTTGGCAATTAAGTAGATATATATTTTAATTAAATAAATAATTGCATTAATCAAAAAGTTTATATGTCATTTATTAATTTATCAATAATTTTTTACAAATTATTCTTTTTTATTGAGATGTTGCTATTTAGAATGAAACTTTTGACACTATTGTTGTTACTCAATTAAGTAAAGTACTCTCTTTGGAATAGTCTTTTATCAAATGTCAATACATTCATGGGTCCTAAGGGTTCACTCTATTTTTATACATGTCCCCATAAGTGCTTGTATTTAAGTAGAGCATCTTTAAATCTAGTAGGATGAAATTCCAAAGTTTTAGGTTCAACTAATTTTTCTAATTCAAAATCATCTTCACTGTCAGTATCAATTTAACCAATAGATTACTTTTATCGTATTTTGTATTCAATCATCCTTACAACAGCATATCGAATCTTATTTTCCACAGGCATAGGTTCTCCAACCATAAATTTCTCATGGAAGGCCTTGGCTAACTATTACTCTTTGATGTAATAAAATATCTTGCCTATTTAATCATAGGCATTTAATTCGTAATTAGATTCATTAAAGAATAATGCGTATTTGATGAGTTTCTTGGAATAATTCAAAGCCTTCCTGAAGTTATGAATCAAAAGTGAAAGTTCTACTAGGTGTTTGTAAGCAATAATTTTGTAACGATAAACTCGATTTGAGTTGCAAAATACTAAATATTTTTACCAAATTAAGATCGCCTTATCATATAGAAACTATTTTTCTAATATATATGCATATGTAAAAACAGCTACATTATAGAGGTTCCCAATTTTCGATTGTCGTAGATATCTTGGATTGACATAATAAATTCATTACTTTAAGACAAATGTGAATCTCTCCTCTAAATCATTTGCATCATTTAAATCGATTTGAGACAAAATTTTTAATGACTACTACTTTCGATTATTATATGGAGAGCTGTCATCATCATTGATCTTAAATAATTTATCACGATCCCTTAGAAAATTATAATCCTCTTAATAACTGGATTGCATCTTATTTTCTTTCTTTTTTACTTAAGGCAGAACAGTCTATGCCCAGTTCCCAACAGTTCCTAAAGTGGATTCGTCCACTTTCTTGAGTGATATCATAGAGGTGGCCCTAGTGGATCTACTAAAGTAAGTCTGCTTGGTCTTAGGAGTGAATAAATTTATTTTCATAATAATAAAGTATTTTATATCGATCATTTAATATAGTAGTTTTCCTCGTCTCCTTTCCTCATAGTGGAACCCTACATTTTGGATGAGTTCATTCTTGATTGTTACATGATGGATTGATTCTTCATTGTTTTATCAAGTCTTGTAATTTCTTAATTTTATTAACTGCTCAACTCTTTTCTTACATTTTAATACTTTTATAATAATCTATTTTTTATATTATTGAATACTTCTCTAATTCCTATGATCTAATCTTCCTTTGTTCTTCCTACCCTGAAATAATTCTCTATTGTAAAGCACTTAATTCAGTACTTTACTTTTGTTTAAGTTGAAGAATGAGATTTCTGATCTTGCCTGATCTTGACTGATTCCATCTTTCATATTCGTCTCTTTCCATTGATAAAATTCTTTATTAAGTTATATGAGCTTCTTGGTAACTAGGTAATATATTATGTGTGATATACTTTTCTTATCTTGCCAGAGATTCTTCAGTTTTCCTCAAACTCAATAATTCTGCTGAATCTTTTGGTTTAACAGGGATTGAGTTTTCTAATTCATCAGTAAATTGTTTCAATTCTTCATCATGTCTTTGAAGAACCTATTCTTTGACTCTTTGAGCCTCTTGATCAAATTCAGCCATTTTCTGATCCCAGAATTCGTTAAATTGATTGAATTCTTCAAGGTGAGCCTTCTCGATTTCCTATTTTTCATTGGTATGTCTATCCTTGACTTCAAACTTGTTTTTGGAATCCAAATCTTTTTTCAATTCCCCCAATCTTTTTTTTGCTTAATCTGCCTCTAAATATTTTCCAGCCTTCTCACAACTCTTTTAATGATCATACAATATTTATCTAACAATAGAATTTCAATGCTTACATATATTCTTCCAAGTCTCCTGTTTAAACTGGGAGGTTGTTTGTACCCTTTTTGACAGTTGATCTCGAATTATTCATAAAATTATTTTTTTTCTGTTAAACTATAATTATCTTGATCTACATTTATAAGTCCAAAATTCAAAATCATTTTTTTTATTCAATAAAATTCAATAAGTTGATTCAATATCTCAGTTTCCATTTGAATTAAATAATAATATATGATTTTTCTATTCATACAAAAATGCAAGTAATATAATTATCTAAGTCAAATTTATTATGATTCATAGTAACAGCTAAACTTAGCTACACAGTCAATTTGGATTAACAGTACCGAAGACACCACTCAACAGATAAAATAGAGCCCAAGATCAATCGACTATTTCATAATATTAGTCTCCCACTCTGAGATAGGCTATGTCACCTAAAGTAGCCAGAGAGTATTTGAATAGCTTGAAAAGCTTCATATGCTAATAACAATAAGCAACTCCAAAGACAGAAAGAATGAACACAATTCCCACCCAAGAAATATTGTACTAACAGCCATATTTGTAGTTTCCAGTAGCAAATAGATTTAATGAGGATATAAAATTTATGACTCCCCATAAAATTCAAGTTAGGAAATTGAATGAAGATGGAACAGTTCATTCCCTGCGATATTATTACTTAAAATAAGCAATTTTGGATAGTTCCAATAACATTCCCCAATCATAACAAATAATGATTATAGGATAAAAACAGAGTGGAAAGAAGAAACTATTTCAAGAACTAATCAAACGATCTATGTCAAAACTATTCAAACTATCTTTACAAACTGAATCAGGAGAAAAAACTATCAATCTTTCATTGAATGATGATATAAAATAAACTATTAAAAGTATATTGGCAGGAGTTAAACATTATTAATTGATAGCATAAGGGGAATAAAATATCATTGCTTGCAGAGGGTTGGAAGGATTCAAGAGAGATAAGAAAGATAAGGGAATCCTAATTGTGTGCGTGAAACCAGGGAAGGAGTAGAAATCAGAGTGCATCAAAACTTTTAAGTTCTTAGAAGAAATTTGCAAAAATTGATTATTAATGTAATAATTATATCAATATAAATGGGTACTTGTTAACTAAAAAATTGCAGATGTGTGTGCTAATAGGATAGATTAGCATGCCAATGTGGAAGTTAAAATACTATTTTACTAGAGGAATAAGCAAGAGAGATTCGGAGAAGAATAAGTTCAGATTAGATGGTAAAACAGTTTAAACTATATAGAAAAGATCAAATAGATTTTCAACTGGTAAAAGCAAAACAGGATCTCCTGCTCAATCCAATTCAAGTGATTCTTAAAATAAGACAAAATTTTCTACAAATCGGAAAGCTTCAAATCGGTCCCCCAATTCAACTGAAAGGTATTTGATGTCAGAAGAATGCAACATTCCTACAGAAAGTAGCCAATAAAAGAAAATAAGAAAACCTAAAATTAGAAATTTAAAATTTAATCGAAGCTTGACCTACTTCAGTAAAGAAGTCATAGCCTTCAAATTTTAAGATGTCATTGATTAACCATAAAGTTAAAAGGAAGTCAAAATTGAGTCACCGCAATTTTAAACTCTTAAGAATACCTTGGAAAATAAATAAACATTGGATTAAATTTAATCCTTCAAAGACCCAACAATAACAATGAAAACACCTACAACTACTGGAGCAGAATTATCCAATAATGCAACACAATCAGCTCCATTTTTCATTCAATAACCATCCATTTCTAGAGAAAGTTCTCCATCCAAATAATCACATCCAATCACTTAAGTCAGTATGGAACCCAATCTGAACAAACAATCCTTGTCTGTAATCACAGAACAACAGTAACTAAAAAATAGATCACACACAGCTGATCTTTCAGATGATCAAAAGAGTGTTACTCCAAGAAGTGTCTTAAAATTATAGCAAAAGAACAATGATTCATTTCGAACTTAACAATAAGAAAAGCGTAAAGTAAGATTTGATCTTCCTAATTCACATTACATTAAGGAGAGAATAAAGTAATAACAGAGATTCTTTAATTGAATGAGTTTGTTATTAAACATATATTAATTAATTTGGGGTTCTTTTTTATATTAACTAAATATAAAACAAAAAAGTTGATCATTTTTTCTCAAATTGCTTTTTGTACATCAGAAAACCTAAAATAATTAATATGAGTTATATACTAATATTATTTTGTGTTAATTATTTTGGAGTTGAAATGTTTTACCTAAAATTAGTAAACTAATCAGGTTCATCGACTTATGGATTTCTAGTTCTATGGGAATCCTTTATAAACAATATTTAATACAAGATCAGTGAATTCTGTTTATAGCTTTTCACTCTAAAATTCTATATTTGATAATCCACCTATTGTTTTTGCCTGTTAGTCTTATTGTGTATCAATTTTCATCATACTATCATCTTCCATAGTTCTTTGAGTAACTTATGTCTATAAAGTAGGTAAAGTTTATTTCTTTTTTATGATCTTAACTTTCTTCAAAGATCCAAATATTCTACCTAACTATTCCTCAGGTTTCTCAAATTAAGTACTTTCAAAGGCCTAGATACCAATATTCTTTGTATTATTGTTTGACAAATCAGATTTCTTTACTGAATCCATCTATACTAAGAATTCATCAGATTTAATCGATTTTGGAGACATTTCTGGTTCTTTTTTGCCAATCTCAATTTTATGAAATTAATTTGCTATATTTTTAAGTTCCTGTTCATCAGAAGTCTGCTTTTCTGAATCCACGAATCTGAAATTGATTTCAGAAGTTGATAATCGGAATTCTTGGTTTTTGTCCTCATAATCATAACGATTTTCAAATTATGGAGTGGGTTATTTAATATTAGGTGAATTCTATTGTGAAAATAACTATTGACTCTAAGGATTTCTAGGAGTTTTGCATGGTTAGAAGATGATGTTGGCATTATAATAATGATTATTATTTTCTTTGTCTTAAACCCTAACTTTAGTAGCTATGAGAGGTGATTTGTTAGTCGGCGACATTCCTTTTTGTGGATATATGATAGCTTTTGGTTGCTAGTACTTATATTGATCGATGCACTTGAACTATTTCATGTATTTCTAATCATTTGGACTGAATTGCTGATTCACTATTACACATTTTCTTCCTTGAGGTGATCTACTATAGCATTATTGTTGATAAGTGGGGACTACTCTTTTAGTCTAGCATTACATGTAATTGGCAAATTAATTCATTATGTTTTAACGGTTATCTTATATAATTATTAATTAATCAATATTCATCCATTATATTGCCAAGTTCTAATAAGAGGTCCTTGACATCAACATTAAGCTATTCCTAAATCTCCTCATTATCCAATTCTGGGATTTCTGGTTGTTCATTTTAATTCAAAGTTTTATCCTGTTACTCATTCAAAAATTGCACCTTAAACTTATGTGATTATAGTTACCTCTTCTAGTAGAATATCATCAATTAAGGCATCAAAGATTTCTTTGAAATAAACATTATACATATTGAGCATTGGAGTAGCCAATTTATTGATCAAATGAGTATTACGACACATTTCCTTTGTAGGATAATAGGGTTTTTTGGTTTATTGTTGAATTTGCTCTACTTCTCTTTATAATTGCTTCAATTCTTTTATATGATTTTTGTATTCCTTTTTGTCTATTTGATTCTGCGCATTGATGACTCCACATATATGCAAATATCTATTCTTCTCCTTTTCCTTCTTTGATATCTCTTCCTCCTTTGGTTAGAGTATAAATTCTTTATAATATTGTTATCTGAGATCTTCAGTTAGTGCTGATGGCTGAGATTACTCTTCAAAGATGGTATTGAACTGATGTGATGGCAATTATTTCTTTTCTTCGAATTAATACAATTTGACTTTATCCATCAATTGTCTATGTTAGGCTTTGGCCACTGAAATGAAAGGTAGTTGAGTAGTTTTGGTGTAATTGAAGGAACTGATTTGTTCTAGATATTTTGTTTTTGTTTATACGTATTCGTATGGATGAGGTTCAATTTATTTCAATTCTTCTGTTGTGAATAAAATAGACATAATAATTATAATAATAAATACAGATACAAAAATTAATTAGTATTGAAAATTTCATTCTATTTACCCTTTTAGTTTCACAGATTACATTCTCCTTCTTTATAAGCGTTGTTACACTGAATCCTCCTACTCTTGCAAAGCTCTATGATAATCAAATTAGATAGATCACTTGTTATGTATTCTTGTAACGCGTTGTGATTCATAACCATGATATTCTAACAATTGGTTAACTTACAATTTTTGATCTTGCTCTTTGATGTATTTGAGTTGATTTTCGACTTCCTATTATTTCTAAGATTTCTGAACATTCACCAATTTAGAAGAAGGAGGCAACGGAGGAACCTTATCTTAATTTTCTGAGTGCGTTGTCTTCTTAAGTGCTGTTTCATGTTTCAACTCTTCATAAGCAACATTCATGCATTGATTAACTGTTCCTCTCATTAATAATTGCTACGTTTTATTTTTAAAAATCAAAAACTTGTTGCTTTTAATTGATTCAAAGTATTCCACTCCGATCTACATGTATAAGATAGTAAAATACTCGATATAATTCCAACAATTGATTCACAACTTCTATGGTAACATTATTACATTCAACTTCCATTTCTAAAAATAAGACATTCTCAGCGAAAAATGGAGGCAGATTTTTTGAATGCTCCCAGAATAAGGATTTACCATTCTCCTTGGTCTGTCTTTCCTTGGATCCATTTCTTGAACTCATATATAATATTTCTTAATACAATAATAAATAATAAATTAAATATATTATTGATCAAAATCAAATGTGATCGTTATTTTCAGCCATATTCTGCCATTCAATATTCCACTATAATATTTTGAAACCAATAAATAATTATTATTCATACATAAACAACTATAAAACATTACAATTTCTACAAACCTCTTCTTCTCATTCTCCGTTGCAACAAAAACCAAGCAATCCCCACATACTACTTCTATCCTTTACCTTCTTTTGAATCATAGGATGCTTCGAAGGAGTCAATGACATGAATATTTTGTTAAAACATTTCTAAACGTTCTCTCCTGTCTTTGCAGAAACAAAATATACTGGACATTTAGAAGTTATATCTGAACTTATACTCAGATCCAGTAAGTCCATTTTATTTCCCACAATAAATGTTGGGATGGTTCTTAATTCGTTTCCTATTAGGTTACGCCAACTTTCTATTTGTTCTTAGTATTTATCTTAGGAAGCATCGAAACAAATGATCACTGCATCGACTTGGCTCATAATTCTATTCAAAATTTGTCTATAGGCTTCGCAACCACTAGTATCATAGAGTTTAAAGATGTAGTCGATATTTTTAAAACCAAGAATTCTTTGGTAGTAATCAATTCCTATGGTTGCTTAGGTTTCAAATAGAAATTCCTCTCCCTTCAGACATCTCACAAGGGATGATTTTCCACTCCTAGAATCTCCTATCAAAGCTACCTTAAATTGTTTTATCATGAAATTATTATTTAAGGTGATATAAAATTAAGAATTTAAAACAACTTAAATTATATCATAATGCACACTATTAATATAATTACGTAACCTATTATTATCTAATCAAAATGTAGTATTATGATTGCTCTTTCATTATCATTATTCCAATTGCCATGCAATGTTGTAATGATACATACTATCATTCCATTTTATGAGATCAATTTAGGAAATTTTAATTGCTACAATGATGTCTTTTCATATGAATTCTCTTTTCTATCAGATTAGTTTCAATTTAATTTAAATCTCAAATTAAATTTTAACAAATTGGAAATATCACGTTCACCTCTCTTTTGTTGATCTTTGTAAATGATCCCAGTAGAAGTTCATTATTTCAATGAGGAAAATGTCAGAAATTGAAATAATATTTTAAAAATTATGTTTATTGAAAAGAGATTAGGATTATTTTGTTTAAAAATCATAATAAAAATAATTAATAAAGTAAATTTACGAATGTCCTTCAGATTGCAAGTCACAGATCCCGTCAAAGATAAAATATCAATGTTGGAAGTCGAATAAACACTTACTGTATTGGACTTAAAAGCATTAATAGAAGTTGAAGTAACCTTTATTCTTAAATCCAAGTTCCAACTAGCTGTCGCTCGACAATAATTGATTTATGGAGGAAGAGTAATGAATGATAATGATACTCTCTCAAAATATAATATGCAAAATGAAGACTTGGTTCTTATTGAAAGAAAACCCAAATAGTAAAGAACCCCATTGGAATTGGAAGCCATCAAATTTATCAAGCATTTCCAACAAAACCCCCATTTAATCGAGGCTATCAGAATCAAAGATCCAAAACTAGCGGAATCAATAGAAAAAAAGAAATTAGCAGGTGTCATGGAATACATTTAGAATTAAGTACTAATATTAATTCATTTTAGCAATAAAAAAAATTCTAAGAGTAACAAGAAAACATCAGGAAACTGTAACAATTGGAATAGGATCCTCTGAACCCTGAAAATCAGAAGCTAATTGAAGAAATGATCAACAAAAAAAATATTGAAGAAAATCGAGAATATGCAGAAGAATACATTCCAGAAAGTTTTGGAACTGTTACTATGTTATACATTGAACTCTCAATAAACCGTCATCCAGTACAGGCCTTTGTTGACAGTGGGGCGCAAAGCACAATCATGTCCAAAGCTTGTGCAGAGAGATGTGGAATCATGAGATTGGTTGATACTCGTTTTTAAGGTATCGCTCAAGGAGTGGGTACATAAAAAATCATTGGAAGAATACATGTTGTTGAGATGTAGATATTGGATCAAGTAATCAATTCATTTTTATAATTAGTTTTTGCCATGTTCTTTGACTATTTTGGACGGAGATGGTATCGATTTTCTGTTTGGATTAGATATGCTCAAAAGATATTAAGTAATTATTCTCTCATATCATTAGTGCAATATTAATTTGAAGGATAATTGTTTAATCTTTCCAAATGAAAAATTAAGTGTTTAATTTCTTCCAGAAGGTTAAATTAATAAAAGAATAAGCATTTAATAAGAAGAAGAAATCTTAAAAAGACAAAACAGTGACTCATAGATATAAGAAGAGTAGCCTGTCAAAAATTCAAATTAGCCTTAATAACAATAATAGCCATAATAATAATAGCAATAATAATAATAATAACAATAATAATAAAAATAATAATAACCAAGTGCCATTAAAAATAATTCCAGATATCCAGATACTTCAATTTAGGCAATTATCAATCTTGGTGTCACTAGAGCTGAAGCAATAATTGTATTAGATTAAACTAATGGAAATGTAGAACTAGCAGCATCTATTATAATGTAGTAAAAATATGGTTTCAACTGAAAAGTTCATCGTAATTATGCTTCAATTATATTTAATTATGTTTTAAATCTGCTATCTCTTTTTTTTATTATTTCTTTTTTGATTCTGCCAGATTTATTAAATCACATCAATTCAATTATGATCAATTATTTACTTCTTCACAATTACCCCCTTATTATTTCTTCAATTTCGAATAGATCATAATTTAATTATTCTCCAAAAAATTCATCTGCTGCTTTCAGATAATGAAAAGGACGAGGCTCTTATAATAATTTCGCTATAAGGAGTAATTATATAATTCCAACAGATTGATATCAACCTAATTTGTTATTCCAAATGTTTATAAGTTTATGTTATCTTTAAACAACCCGAATTTTAGCACAAATTTATGCTAATTCGAAGAGTTGCTAAAAATAAGAAAATTCTTACTGAATCAAGAATGTGCAATTCTGAATTAAACTTCAAATTCTTAGGTTTTTTGAAGCCATTTTTAATTCATTGATTCAGCAAACCTAAAAATGTTGCCTTAATTCCTTAATGCTTGATATGAGTGAAAATATAATTTGAATAACTGGAATTTAAACAATATTTATTATATTGAGTAATAAATAATAAACAAAATCATTATTATTTCTATCTTAAGGAATGCAGAAACATAAAAGCAAACATCCTTATAACAAGGAAAAAGGCAATTAAGATTCCTACTGATTCCCACTAACCCACGTTAAATCCTAAGACATCATTTGGGTCACCAAAATCATATGATCTACTTTGAAATTCATTTCTAGCTATGGCTTCGAAGGAATATTTAATTGGACTTACATATTGAATCCATCCGATCCAGTCGTAAAACTGTTTAGGATTTGCATAAAATCCAGAAAAAGCAAATAACGGCAGCAAAGCCAATGGAACAAATCCTGTTGCTGCCTTTATATCATTAAATGCACAGCCTGCCATCAAACCAATACTGTTGCCATTCAAGCATGTCAATACTGCAATGAATATATGAGTAACGACAATTCCACCATTCATATGGTTTAAACCAACCATCCAATATAGGATTAGTTCTTAAATTATTGGAGTGATTAGACAAAATGGTACTTCGACGAAGGATTTCCCCATAAAATACGAAAATGTTGTATAAAGTTTTGAGTTTTCTTCTCTTAAGAAAACATCTCTCTCAGTGGCAAACTACAATACGACAGGGAATAAGGAACTAAATGTCATATTCATGCATAAGAAAAACAATAAGCCTGCCAAGCTTGAATAATCAACGTATGTTCCCTAAGTAGATCCAATTCCATAAAATGTTCCTCCTATGAGGAGTCCCATAAATAGTGCCATTCCAAATCTTTATCTAATAAGTAGTCTATCTCTAAAATAGGATTTAAGTGCTCTTTTTGCTATAAGATTTATTTAATATAAAGTTGAAGTCTCTACTTTTTTGAATTATATTTGAGATTTTGAGGATTACTCAATTTCCTTTAGAACATTTGAAGCCCAATAATTATCGTATTCCTTAAAATAGGTTTGAAAATTATCCACATTAGTTTGACTTTCCTAATGCATAATACTAATCATGTAATCTAAAGGGTTACTATGATCTGGACAACTAAATCCAATTCCTTTAAAATAATCAACTAAATTTGATCTTGGTCCCTAATAAATAAATTTTCCTTAGACAAGTAACATAATTCGATCAAAAAGCAAATAAATATCAGATGATGGTTAATGTATTGTAAATACTATAGTTCTATCCTAGTCGTGAGCCAAAAGAGTCAATTCATGTCTAGTTTAAATAATTATAATTACATAATTTGGAAAGCAGTGAATGAGTCTAAACCAGAAGTAGGTTCATCAAGGAGAATGCAACAAGGATTAGTAACAAGTTCAAATCCAATCGAGGTTCTCTTCTTCTCTCCTCCTGAAATTCCTTTAAGATTTGGGCCTCCTATCATGGCATTCTAGCATCTTTCTAATTTCATGGTTTTTATTGTTTCTTCAACTCTTCTTATCTTCAATTCTGGATCAGTGTACTTTAAGTTGGCTACAAACTCAAAAGCCTCTCTTGGAGACAATGTCTCAAATAATACATCATTCTGCATAACATAAGCAGCAAAATTAGAAAATGTTTCAGAGTTGTATTCTATATTATTCACAAACACTTTTCCTGTCAATCTGGCTGTTTTAGTATTGGAGATTCTTGCAGATAGAATATTTAAGAGCGAAGTCTTTCCAGCTCCTGATGCTCCCAATATTGCAGTTACTTCTCCTCCCTTACAAAAGCCATCTAAATTTTTTAATATCTGTCTAGATTCTTTAAATTAAAACTAATTATTACATCCTTTAGTATCAACTACTGAATAATTTATATTTTTAAATGCTAAATCCACTACTTTTCTTGATCTGAGACTTTTAGAGCTCATAGCAGTTTCATTTAAACGTGCTATTTCTATTTATTGCTGGATTGTGATTTCTTACATTAATATTAGAGTAAGAACACTCCATTTAGTTAAAAATTAGTTGCTAGAATTCTCTAATTCCAAAATAATATTAATTAATATATATTTAGTTTATTATTAATTTATAAATTTTATAATATATAATTTTTTTTAAATAATTAATGGGTTGATTTTATTAAGAATTATTATCATTCTAAATATAATTTACAGTCTGACTATTTCACTTTGATTCTAAAATTTATTTACATAAATACATTAATTCCAGTAATTCTGTAATATACATTTGAGATGAAAATATAATTTGAATCAAGAAACATATATGTATTAATAAATATCAAATTTTTTAATGAAGTAAGATATTAATAAATTCTTTTTCTGTTATGAACTCTTTAGCATCACATTCCTCAAGAATTTGTTCCCATAAATCTTAATCTAGAGTCCCAATCATTTATTCTAATTCCTATTTAGAGATCTTGCCATCATCATTTGCATCAAACACTTTGAATGCAGCCTTGACTTTTTATAAAGATACCAATTTCTCCTAATTCATAGCTGCCATCAAAAATTCTAAATGTAAATGAATCTAAAAAACCTGAAAAATCCACTTAACCACTTTAATTCAAATCTATCAATTACAAAATTTTGATAACTTCTTGTTCTGCCTTTTCCTTGTCTTAATAGATTGTATTGTATCCTTCTATCAATTCTTCCCTTGATAATATTCCATCATTATTCTTATCGAGACTTTGGAATGTTTTGAGTAACTCATCCTGTTCTAATTGATTTGTCATTTAAAATGCAATGTAGGATAGGACAGCCTAGGAGAAAATGGATTTGGCCTAATAAAGGTGTAAGGATACTTAAAACTTTTAGAGATTCTGCAGAACTCTCAAATTGACACTGGGGTTGGTAATAGTTTATGAACAATGCTTTACAATCCAGGAATCATTTAGAGCCTATTTGGCTGATATCCTGAAATTGGGATTTACATGTAACATCCTATTGATTAGGTTCTTGGCTTCTTTCGATATTTAATTCCAATCGTCAGCTGCACTTATAATAAGAAATGAAAAAATTACCATCAAATTCAAATTTTCCTTCTCCTACCTTTCTCATTATTTCCTTTTCGGTTTTTCCAATAAATGGGGGATATCCACATAACAAAATGTACAGAATTACTCCACATGACCAGATGTCGCATTTTTCATTGTAGTCTTACTTCAATACTTCTGGGGCAATGTAATAAGGCTAAGTTGTAAGGTTATGAAATATATTCTTACTGTCCCAAGTTTTTTGGTCATCTTTTTAGAAGGATCGTATTTCCTGGAGGTTCCAAAGTCGATAATCTTCAAGGGTGAGGTTGAGGAGTCATTAACAAACAATATGTTTTCTGGTTTTAAATCTCTATGTACAATCTTCTATTCGTGACAATACATCACAGCAGAGAGAATCTGTCTCATGTATTCGGCTGCCTTCTTTTCATTGAAGATGGTCATGGCCTTGATTCTCTCAAAGAGTTCGCCTCCACTCAAATACTCAGTAATTAGATAGTAATTCTGTTCATCTTAATACAGTTCATAGAGTTTCACTATATGAGGATGATCTAAGTTCTTGAGTATATTCATTTCAGCAAACAATCTCTATTATTCTTCTTGAATTAGTGAAGACTTTTTGATTTGTTTCATGGCTCTAATCAACCCTATTTAAGAATGATTTTGAGTGTATACCGGTGGTTTTATGAGTAACTTTCCACACTTTTCCATAGGCTCCAGCTCCCAATGTCGACCCAGTTGAATAAAATTTACCAATGCTCCCCTATTTTAAACTTACAAACACATCCGCTCCCAATTTGACTGTGCCGATTGAGGTGAGAGTTTTCCTCTTAAAAGGAGTGGATTGAGACCGACCAATATAGCCTTCCTTAGTTTATTGATCGGATGTATTAGCTGCATTATTGGAAGATTTTGGATCTTGAGCTACAGTTACTTATGATAAATCCTATTGCAGTTTCTCCTTTTCGACTTCGATGACTTGACTGACATTTTCGCTGATGGGAGGTAGTCCCATTTCATTTTCTTTTTTCAACTCTAATATTTCATCGTTATTGCAAGGCATTTGATTAGTGAATGGATGACTGTGTATTGATTGTTTGAACAAAGAACTGTTCTTGATGCTGTCATTGACGATCTCGTAGTTAAGAGATTTGGGTTATCCTTAACAACATTATGAACCCATAATAAAGAATAATTTTAATAAAAATCAACTTTTATCTTCCTGGTTTTTCGAGAGATCTTTCAAATAAAACATAATGAGAAAATTTCGAAAAGAAATTTATCAGTACAAGAATTCTGATGGACTGTGGATAATTGGTGACAGAGAGATCTATCAAATAATTGGAAAATCACTGGTTGCAATATAGAATGTGATTTTTTCATCAAAAATCTTGGTAATGCTAGAAACACAGATTAACAGTGATATAGTTGGAATAAATGAGAATGTAATATATGCGATTTGATTTTAATATTCATAATTTTGATGAAATAGCCAATTAAATTAATTTATAATTCTAAATTTGATATTTAGCAGCAGAACACGATTTCAAAGGATAAATAAATAATAAAATGGCAAAAGGAGGAAAGAGCAGAAGTTAAAGCAAATCAGGAAAAAGTAAATTGATTGATAACTAAATTATTAGAGAGCGGATCAGCTACAAAAAAAATTAAGAAGTAAGTTCCAGCTGCTTCACCTGCAAAGGTTGATGTTGCAACTACTGCAGCACCAAAGACTCCAGTAGCATCTGCAAAGAAGGATTCTGCTAAAAAATCTACTCAAAAGAGTACATAAAAAAGCACTTAGAAATCAGTAAAGAAAAGTGCAGCCAAGAACTCAACTAAGAAAGGAAGTGCATCTAAAGTAAAAAGTGGAAAGAAAGCATAATGATTAATATATAATATATATATATTATAATATAATTATAAAAATGTCACTCAAAGATTTCAAGATTATATCAAAATTAGGTTTAGTTTACTTATATGATAGGCGAGGGAGCATACTCAACAGTCTACAAGGTTAAAAGAATTGAAGACAATTCAGATTATGCCTTAAAAAAAGTGAATCTAACAAATTTGAGTGATAAGGAGAAATAGAATGCCTTAAATGAAGTTAGAATATTGGCATCCATAAAAAATCCTTATATCATTAGCTATAAGGAAGCTTTCATTGATGTTAATAGTAATTCATTATGGTAATAATATTTGTTAATAATAAAACAGTATTGTAATGGAACTAGCAGATAACGGAGATCTCTTATAATAAATTTAGAAATGTGCCAAATCTAATACTACAATGAGTGAAAATGATATTCTGAAAATTACCTTTCAAATTGCAAGTGGTTTAAAAGCATTGCATGATTTGAAAATATTCCATAGAGACTTAAAAAGTGCAAATGTTTTTTTGTAATCCAACGGAGATGTGAAATTGGGAGACATGAATGTTTCAAAAGTAGCCAAAAAGGGATTACTATATACACAAACAGGAACCCCATATTATGCAAGTCCTGAAGTATGGAAGGATCTGCCCTATGATCAGAAATCAGACATCTGGTCGTTAGGATGTGTCACATACGAAATGGCTGCACTCAAACCTCCCTTTAGAGCTGAAGATATGGAGGGACTCTACAAGAAAGTTATCAGAGGTATCATTCTAATAATGTGCCCTATAGGCCTATATCCAAAACTTCCATCATAGTATTCGCAAGATTTACAGAATGTCATAAGAATGATGTTGCAAGTCCAAACCAACTTAAGACCAACATCTTATGCTCTAACTGAACTCCCCTATTTCAATAGATTTAAAACACACGCCATAGATGATCAAAGCAAATTACTCAATACCATCATATTCCCAAAGAACTAAATTTCTATAGCAAATATGTTACCCAAAGCCAATTACAACAATTCTAAATTCAAAACCGAGAGCAATCAACATAGTGACACACAGGAAACCATACAAAGAAATAGACAAACAACTCTTGGAGCTGGTTCGCATCAATCATCGCCCAATCCTACTAGAATTTCACAATATCTGGCGGAGTAAGAAATGCTATTAAGTATTTATATTTTAATTAAAGAATAATAGTATTCAGTAAATTATGCTGGAAAAAATAAGAAAACACATAACTATTCTGATAGGAATGTGATTGCCAAGATCCTACTCGAGTATTAGAAGGAAGTGCCCATTTATAAGCAAATCAAATAGCGAAATCGAAGACTCTCGTAGGAGGAAACTCCGTATTTATATCAGAGGAGAATTGGTCAACTTCCTGCTTTAGAGGAGCATTCTCCAAATCAGAAACGAAATCATCGCAATTAGAGCATGCCAACTTCCAATTTACCTATAATCTGACAATGGATTTATATATTAATTCTGCTAAATTATTCCAATTTACTTATTGTCATAGTGGGTTCTGTGTTTAATGACATTAATTTAAATATTAATAATTGTTCTGATTAATATTTATTTTAACGATCTTAAATTTATGTAAGAGTTGGATTTCTTGAGGATTCAGAGGGAAAGTCAGAAGTTTTTGGAGATCGATAATATCTTCACCAGATTGGCGTCTAGTTTTGTGGAAAAAATATTTGTTCTATTCAAAGAGATTTTCCAATAAGAACACACATACACGATCTAAGTGAGTTAACCTTAACATTCTAGGAATTGTTGAAATTGGCAATCTAAAAGGAGATTCCCCTAAAAGATTTTAAGTTGGCAGAACATTACAAATTGAATTCAAATATTTTTAAGGCAAATTTACAAATGATCGTAAATGTAGTAATTGATGACATATGGAGTACTTACAATAAGTAGATCGTACTGGATGAAAAGAGCATTGCAGAACCTAGACAGCTCACTCAAATCGATGAAGAATCAGCTGTTGATCAATGCCAAAGTTTGAGTGAAACCTCTTTGATTAAAGACAAAAAGGAAGTAGAAATTCAAAAATAAGTTTAATCTGCTCGATCTCCACTTGCAAAATTGTTGGCTGGAGACAAATCTCATTAGTTCATATCAATTGGCAGTTCTCCTCGAAATTCTCGTGACAACAGTTAAAATATGCCCATCAAACAGCAAAAGTAGGTTATTCAGAATTCCAAAAAGAAAAATTCATCATTAATCAAGAATAAAAGCATGGATCTCAAAAATCTAGTGGCTGAAGGGATTCTCTAACCGAAATCAACTAATCGATAGTAGTTAAGTTTAAGTAATTTACATCTGTTGATGTAGAAGATGCAAGGATAAAAAGAGAATTTAAAATGATTTATAATTCATTAATACTAAATAAATATTTTTTACACAAAAATAATAATGGATCAAGATTTGAATGAGAATTTAATTAAGTTGAGTGAACTTATGAGGTAATAGAATGTCAAAAAACCTATTTATAATCCATCGAAATATTCAAATTTGCATCTCATGTTGGCAAGATCAGTTAGCATTAGCACTGAATCATCCTCCAGAATGATTTAAATCAAATCTAATTTGAATACATAAAATACTAGCAAAGCTCAATTGAATCAATAATAAAAGTATATCCTTATTTTATTATGATGTCCAGATATTTTGTCAGTAGAAGGATGTCATTGGCGAAATAATTAAAAACTTGTGATTCCTATTTATAAAAACGCAAAATCGAGACTCAATTCACAAAAACTGATAATCTGTGTGGATTAAAAAAGGTATTCGAAATCGGAAAGAAGGTTCTCTGATTATAATATTGATCATAAATATATTAATTTGTCATAAAGAAATCACTATGGATCTGATAGTCCTGCCTTGCACCTTATAAAAGAGATCTCCCAAAAGAATGTATACCTCAAACCAAGAATCCTTTCGTTTTGGCAGATCCACACCTACTAAATTTAGAAATCCCAATTTCTCAACAACTTCTCCTCAAACCAGACATCACTCCCAAGCAGATAGAAAATGCGAAATCAAACCCAGAGAATGCGATATATTTGAAAATGCCTACATAACCAAAACAATCTAATTTAATGCGTTGTAAAATGAGAATTACCAACAATCATTCCTTATCACGGATAAAAAAGTGTTGAAGAAGAAAAATGGTTTAATCGTATTTAAACCCATTCCCAAAGAGACTCAATTAAAGTCAATCTTCTAAAGTCCAGAAAAATACTCTATCACAAATTAGGCCAAGAGGAGAGAGCTGAAATTGAAGAGACTTATGGACAATGAATTTATGAAGTCCAGTTTGGAGAAGGAAAAAGAATTTAGTGATAGAAATTGTAGGAACATCCTTTACGATTTGGGCCATGACTTCTATTTTTAATGAATTTTTCAAATTAATTACTTATTATGATTACAGAGATATGAAATATATATATATATTATTAATTGAAAATCTTGATCGGACATGTAAGATGTAAATTATGATATTATCATAAATAGAAAAAAGAACAAAGCAGATTTGAAAATTTTCTAATTCAATTTAAAGCTTTAGTAGAATCATACTAAATTACGACCCCAGAACCAGAGGAATATCCAAAACCATAAATCACAAAGCAAAAAAAACAAAAAAAACAAAAAGATCCATTAGCACCAAAGATGCCTAAATCAGCCTTCATCTTTTACTTTTAGGATAAAAGAGAGAAATTTCAATAACAATATCCAAGTCTTTTTTTCATGCTATACTAGATCTACAATTTCAAGAAATCACCAAATTAATTGCAAGTGAATGGAAAGATTTACCCAAAGAAATTTAGTAGGTACTCAAAACCATGTTATAATGCCTAGTCATATCACGATTAAGCCTTTAAAGACAGAAGTCGTTATTCCTAAGAAAGTGAACTCTATTGCACTTAAACAGGCAAAAAATTCAAAGGCAAGAATCAAGCAAAATCTAATAAATCAAATGCAAAATAAGAATAACTCTAATAAAAAGTAGATCAAGAGGATGAAAATGATTCTTTTGGTGCAGATATAGGTTAAGAATGATATCTATAAAAAAACACACCTGAAATAATTAATGGTCAAAATAATTATACATTTTTTATACTCACCTTATTTCCATAAAATATAATAAATTCTTCATTTAAATCTATTAGCATTATTTTGATTTCCAAAATTAATGTATTTTATCCTCCTTTTTTTCATTAATAGCTACGATGAATCATTTCCTATATCTTTTTAGTTTTTAAAATACTGAGTATTATAAGTATCAACTCAAAAATCAGGTTTTTATTGCTATAAGGACTTGATTGGGATTAACATTTGAGTTTAGAGATACTATATGTAAGTTTTATTGAATAATTTGATAGATTTCTGATATGATTTTGTATTTAATAATATTTTGCATTAAGTACATAATCACTATTTAATTAACATAATTAAAAATGCAAAATAATTAAACTGATGAGTTTTACCTCAGATATTAGTAAAATATAAGATGTATTGATAGTGTTGGACATAAGGGCGTTTATGGACATGAATTTCTTGAGTTTGAATTCAGAAGTGATGGAAGATTACGTTATGCAAATAATTCTAACTATAAAGCAGATGTGTTAATCAGAAAGGAGTGTTATGTTTCTGAGTCAGTGATTTCAGAGTTCAAAAGAATAATTGAAGAATCAGAAATAATAAAGTACTGATTGAATATTATTTGATAAGAGAAAACGATTCAAAATGGCCAGCTCCAGATAAAATTGGAAGATAGGAATTGGAAATTAAATTAGGAAATGCACACATTTCATTTACAACATCAAAACTCGGATCAATACATGATGTATAAAGCAGTCAAGACCCAGATGGCTTAAGAGTTTTCTTTTACTTGATCCAGGATTTGAAATGCTTTGTGTTTTCATTAATAGGACTTCATTTTAGAGTATGCATCTCCTTAATTATAATAGATAAAACCTGTGAATTGAATAATTGTTATATGTTAATTATATTTATAGAGGTTTTATTATTTCAAATATAACTGTCGTAGATGACTAGTCTCTCTTTTGATTATTACAGAATAATAAATTAATAATTATTTATAAATTAGTTTCCATATCAATCTGATCACACCTTAACTAGTCCGAATAGGCTGCTATGCATAGGTAATTTACACACTCTGCTCTTTTCTTCTTCCTTCCTGTCCTAAATAGGAATATATTCTCTCTGATCCTCCCCAACATACAATTGTCTTGGTCTACTAATTCTCTGCACCTTCTCCGACATCATCTCCATCCACTAACAAATCCAACCAATGCTCCTTTACACAGCAAACATGACAGTAAACATGGAAGTGGGGATGCTCAAAGCTTCATACACAATCCCAGTATAGAAATCCACATTTGGATACAATTTCCTTTGGATGAAATAATCATCTTTCAAAGCTGCTTATTCCAATAAAATGGCCAACTACGATTCTGATAAAATGAGTACCTCTAAAATATCATTTGCTCTTTAAGTCTTTTCTAAAACACTGTAACACATTTCCTACATAACTTTCGCTCTTGGATCATAATTCTTATAAACCCTATGTCCGAATCCCATCAATCTAAAACAATTGTCCTTAGATTTTGCCTTTTGAAGATATTTTGGGATATTTTCCTTATTTCCTATTTCTTTCAACATATTTAACACTGCCTCATTAGCACCTCCATGATATGGTCCCCACAAAGCTGTTATTCCAGCAGCAACACATGCAAAAGGATTTGCAAATGAGGATCCAGCTATCCTAACAGTGGAAGTGGATGCATTTTGTTCATGATCTGCATGCAACATAAAGATAGTATCCAATGCTTTAACAATCACTTTGTCAACATTAAAATCATTCATAGGAGTTGAGAACATCTTGTTATTTATTGTTTATAGTTACCATATATAAGAAATTCTTGATAAAAGAGTACTTTTTGTTTGGATAGACGATGGGCAATCCCAAAGCAGTTCTATATGCATATGCTGCCAATGTAGGCATCTTTGCTACTAATTTGATAGCTATCTATTCTCTATCCCTTGGATCATTAACATCAAAATCTTTATGCATAAACGCACTCAAAGCACCAACCACACCAACCATAATTGCCATTGGATGACTATCAGTTGCAAACCCTTTATAAAATTCAATCAGTTTCTCATTTATCATCATCTCACTCACCATAGTCTCTTCAAACAATGATAATTCCTTTTAAGATGGAAGGTGTCCATATATGAATAAATAACACACTTCTATATATGAAGAGTATTTGGCCAATGTCTCTATTGGATAACCCCTGTATAGCAACTCTCCCTTATCTCCATCTATGTAGGTCATGGTTGAGATGCATCTAAATTATTTATTCTTAATTTTATACGCTCCAGTTGATGAGAATCCAGGATCCAATGTAAAATATCCACTTTTTGAGTATAATTATGTGATATCAATCATAGGAGGACCTTTTGTCCCCTTATACACTGGTAATTGAATAGTTTTTCCATTGGGTAGAGTGAGAGTTGCAATGTCCGATGGAAGTGGACTAATCGGTACAGTTTTTTCCATCTTCGATTTTTGAGAATCTATGGTTTCTTAATGCCATTTATTGGGAGACTGCGACATTTGAATATAAGATAACTTAAATATTTAATTTGAATACGCATTATTTTTTTCTTATATTTAAATTAGTATGTTATAAAATGTTTTATTCATTTCATAAGCCACTGCTATTTAATTATCAAAATTAATCATTTTTATCTATATTTCTTTCTTTCCTCAGCAATGTCCTCCCAATGATTCCAAGCCTTCATTCCATACATAGCAATGTCATCTCTGGCTCCACATGTCACATAATTCCCTTCCTAATCGAAAATGCATAAATGTGGTATTGTTTATGGTCTGCAAATTCTTGTCAATTAACTTATAGCCATCTTCTCAGACCATGGGATAGCCAACCAAGGCATTTTTTGATAGTATTTGATGAAGTCTCTTTCATTCTCATCATGAGTCACCAAGACTATCTCAAAAGTCTTTGACTTTCTTATTTCATCATAAAAATTCTTCAACATCCCTGTAAACTGCCTGCAAGGAGGACACCAACTTGCAGAAAAGTACAAACCCCAAAATTAATACTTTGAAAAATCAGGCTTTGTTTTGATTTCATTCCCTTCCTACAAACTTTCAGATAAAAATTAAGAGAAATTTTTCATTAAATTATGACTTCAATTATAATTAATTTTATTCATAATTTCTATTTAATTATCATTCTTATAATGCAATTCATTTATGTTATAAACAAATACTTGAGAAGATAAAAATCATTTATTTACGTATTCAATCATTAACATTGTGTAGTATAATTGCTTAAACAATTTAGGCTTTTAATACCCTATTTATAAAGACTTTCATAATAAAATTAGAGAGCATTATAGAAATTTGAAACAAAACTACATATGATATCTTAATAAATAGTTTTGGTAAACTATGATTTTAAAACCAGAAAGAAGAATTAAAATATTTTTTGTATTGGTTTACTAATCTTTTAATATAAAACTATAAGGCTATTAATCCAATTCTTTATTAATCTATCAATCATTAATTTTTATTTATGATGATGATTAATTTTATCATATATATTTAGACTATAATCAAAGAGAATCAATATTTTTTAATTAAATTAATCTAATAAAATCATAATTTAATCACATTTTACAATTGGTTACAAAAGTTAAACAATTTTATACATTAACTGAATTGATTAATGAGATATATTAAGATGATTTTAAAGATTATTAAAAATGGATTTATTTTTATTTAATCAATCATTTTTGTAGATATTATTTTATTTATTATATTGCCTCATAATCCTATGGGACATTTTCACTATTTGTAAATTTGAATCTCGAGTTTCTATTGCCTTCTCCATCCACTAAGATATTAACCAATAGAAATACTTTTGAGAATGACCGCTTCAACTCTTTTTTCAATATCGATAGGCTTTTACTAAATGGGTTATGGGAATTCTTATTATTATTAAGTTTCTTTTATTTCTTCCCATTACAGATTTATTTATTGCTATTGTTGTTAAATGGGTTCAACAACTCTTTCTTTTATCATATTATCTAAAATATTTTATGTGGTTGGAAACACTGATTTTTATAGGGCATTTTTGTAATTGATTTTAGTGTAAAACTTTTTGAAGTTGGCTTGAGCTAGTTTTTATGAATAAGAAAATAACCACTTTGAGTTATTCATTTCTTCCTAAATATTATTAGATGTACATACTTTTTTTAACACTTGTGTAGAGTCTTTGTCCTTGGGGTGTTGATGCAAGTATACACAATCCTTGATCTTACATTGCTGGCCCTTTAAGAAGTTTGTGCAATATTTGGTGGTTCCGAAGGAGGCCTTTACTTGTCTGTCGTGTAAGGGAAATTTTTCACATGCCAAAACAAATAAATATTAATTATATTTACTAAGATTGCTAAAGATGCTTCTTATTCATTTCGATAAGTTATATAAGCAGCATGAGAGGGGGGATTGAAGGTGTTGCTTTGGATCACAATTAATTTTTAGATTTATCCGTATTGACCGAAATATTCCATTTTTTTCAATTGCTCACATAAAAATATGATATTACATCTTCTTTGGCAATGTTGGGTGCTAAACCAATCACATAGATCAAATTCTTGCAAATGATTCTGATTTCAGCTAATAATGATTTGTTTTGTAGATTGATTTCTTTGAAAGAATATAGTGTTTTTGGTTTAGGTGAATCACAACTGTCCCAATCCTCTTGGTCCGAACATTCACAGTCACTCAAATTGCAATATTGGCAAATCTCAGATTAATTGGTTTAATTTTTCATTCTTTAATTTATATTACAAACATAAACATTCGAGATCATACATTTTCTTTAATAATATTGTTAATATTTATTTATATTTTTAATGCAGCCATACACTAATTAATAATACATAAGCAATAATAACTTTACTTAAGGGCAATTTTTTGAAGGATTTTAATTAATATTCACTTTTTCAAAATGTATTAACACTCCTAAATATCATTGAAATATTATTAAAATTACTATTTCTATAGAGTGAAAGGAATACTTGGACTTAATGTATTCATCAATAGCAGGATTACAAAATTATAATTTCTGAACACATTATGATATATACCATATTTCAGAGTTGATCGGTTTCTCTTATCAAGGAGATTCAGAAACTATAGAGTAAGGGAGAGTTTCATTTGAAATATGGGTAGAGCTTCATTGTTATCTGTATTTTTGGGTTGATGAATAGAGATTGAATTTTTATAATGCAAATTAGAAATGGATGGGTGTTGGAAAGTGTTATATTTATGAAATAAACCTGCGTAATTAATGAGCTTAGGCAAATGGCGTAGATGGTTATCGCGCTGCATTTACACTGCAGAGGTCCCGAGATCGATACTCGGTTTGCCTATATTTTTTTTTTAATATTAATAATATTTAATGTATTCAGATAATAACAATGCTCATTCTGAGATTAGAATCAGATAACTGTTATACTTTAAATAGCCCCCTCAGAGTAAGTTTGAATACAATATTTTTAGCTACCTTACCCACCAATCGAAGTACTATGAAACTTCAGACTCTCGAACATAAATTGGGAAGGACTAATAAAAATTTTACAGGCTATTCAAAAAGCTAAAGTGAAACTAGGCCTTTTTTTGAGAATTTCATGGAAAAAACTGATCAAATAACATCTTTTGGATTCAAGTATCCTTTTAATGTTGACGAATTTTAAAACACAAATGCATAAATTCATTTTTTAGAAGTGTTCACACATTCATAGCAATTAATATAGGTAAGGATTTGGCAAGATTATAATAGAATTATATTTCAGATAGCAAACGTACTTTGGCGCAATTGAAGGAGCAATCGAAGCAAATTAAAGATGAGATGGAGCAAATGAAAGAGAAAACGGAGTAGAAGATATAATAACTAGAGGATCAGTTCAACGAGGCGGTTCAGGTTAAGCAAAGGCAATTGAAGGAGGACTATGTGGCTTACTCAACGGAGTCATATCGGTTGAATAAGGAAATAAGCAAATTGACTAAGGATAAACTACATATGGAAGAATAGTCTATTCATTTGCTATAGAAAATAATCAAATTAGAAAAGCAGATGCAAGGAGTGGAAATGGAGTTAATGTGTGAAAATGAATAGGAATTATAATCGTAATTAAGAGGCACATTTCATAACACGAAAAGCATAACACACTGATTATTAATCATATTTAAATAGTTATGCCTAACTTCTTTAAATCCTCTATTTTTTTCTTTACTCTAAATAAATTCATTAGATTTTAGCCTAAATAGATGGTTTTAATATGAATTTAGGTCTGTTTTTATATTAATTACTAAATTGTATCTAGAAATCTTTCCGTAATCACATTAGATTGTAGATGCAATATTTGACAATGTAATTCCAATAATTTGGTTGCACCAGTATCGCTGATTTTATTTCGCATTAACTTCAGAATCTTTAACTTCTTATTTTTAATGGATTCCTCCAAAAGAATCATTCCATCATCTCCCAAATCTAGACATTTAATAGAAGACTTACAGTACCTTATTAAGAGAGATCCAGAGTATCTCCATTGCAATTTAATAGAATGGATTCCACTTTGGTATTAAATTTCTTTTTGGTGGGTCTTTTTGGAGACATTGAAGATTGCCTTCTCAGTTTTGGAGATACTAAAATATCTGATGATTTCTTCTCATAATTAGGACTTATGGCATTTTATGAAATGTTGTTGGATGAAGGTTATGATTGGAGAGCAGATTGAGATTGATATAAAGGTTGTGGATTTAAGAAATTATGTGTCAAAAATTCATTATGAGGAGGTTTGTCATCAATGTCCTTTAAAAAGCTTTGATCAATCATTGATACATCTCTCAAGATATTTGGATCGTCAAAAAATGACTATTAAACTTGGGGATAATTGTATTCAAAATTCCCCATTAAATCCTTACTTAAATGCACTTGAGGAGTAATTTAACCTTGAGTGACTTCTTGTAGTCTGGTTTGAAATTTCTTCATGAAATCTTCTAATTCATCAATAATTTGTTTAGCTTGAGAATTTGAAGTGTCTTTTTAAAGGAGGAAAAAGGCGATTTCTCCTTTTTCAGTTAAAGAGGCGAATTAGTTGATTCGTTCTTGAGAGCTAAAAAAATAGTTATGATTAAGAATTACGCCAACATCCACAAATCTGCTTTTTCGACTACTTGATTGACATATTGTTGTTCTCGTTTGATTAATTGATCTTCAACTTATTTGTATTTTTACTCAATCTCTTCGACTACTTTTCGCTATTTCATCATTAATTGAGTAATCATTTCCTTAAATCGATAAAGATATAAGTGTACTTTGAATTATTCTTCAGCCAGGGCTTGTTGTTACTTGATGCAAAGTCTGATTTAGTCGCGTATCTTTTTGTTGATAATTGGTTATTTGAGGGATTTAATTTTGGATTGAATTTGCTACATGAGATCTACGGTTTCTTCAAGGGAATGCTGGATTTCTGAGACGACTTCCTATATTATAAAATAGACTAGATTTCGATACATCGATATTTCTAACATTGTGATGTTTATGTACACCAAATAGAGCACAACTTACACAGATTGTATTGTGATCCTCCAAACAGACTAATTCGATCTTCTTGTTGTGTTCTTTGCAGAGAGAGGTGGATTCCATGACTTCGAAGAAATTCTCGCATTTTGAGAGTCTCACAGTTTCACCCAACTCAGTAGAATCGATTTAGGAGTTCTTGAGACTAGACTTGTTTATTATTTTCAAAATGGCTTGGTTGACTGGGTAGAGACTCAGATCTTGTGGCTAGACAATTCTTAGAAATTAGAGCTACTGCTTTACCCATCTTCGGGACAGATTATTTTGGTTTGTTCACGAAGACATTGCATGCACATGGAATGGCCACATTTGGGTAGCATTTATGGTGTACGATCATAGATGTCAAATGAAATCTCACAACGAGGACAGTTTAATTCTTAGTGCATTAATTAAATAATAAATAAGATTTAAAATGGCCAATTCTCAAGAGAAGATGTAATAGGATTATATCTGGATCAGAGATCAATCAACAGGGGATGCTGATGTGAAGATGCGAACCTTCGGATAACATTATCTCTATTATCATGCTCCAAACAAAAGAGAGCGATTGGAAATGATTTGGAGATCCATGGGAAAGGCATACGATTGGGAAATGGAGAAATTCAGAGTACTACCCTCATTAACAATTAGATGCAAAAAAAATTCATTGACAGAGGCAATAAAAGGAGATTCTTCAAAAACTTTTTCAGATTCATCAAGAACCCTTTCGGTTACATCTATTGGAAGACCTACAAAATCAGACAACCCAAGGGCAGAATCATCACAACAATGCTCGGTCTAGGAGTAATTGGAACATTGTACAAATACAAATTGGAATCAAGTACCAATTCACTCTATCCCACTTAGATCAGATCCAAAAAAGAGAATATTATTTATTGACTGCAGGCAAGAACTCAGAAGGAAGTGGACTCATCAACACTGGCTACAACAATGACAAGTTTATAATTTATTGCATGCTTTTAGATTGGCTCGTCAAGGAATGCCCCTCACTCAGATGTTCTACTCCTATTTATTGGCCAAAGATATCGTCGTCTCAAGATCACGAGATCAAAACTACAGAAAATACTTTGAAATCAGAAAAAAGTATTAGATCAAAGAATGAGACCACAATATACACATATATAAATATATATAATAAAATGTATAGTCAAAATGTATGTATCTCCTCTCTCTTTACTCAATCTGTACTAATATTGTCATAATCCTTCCCGCATTCACAACTATTCCTCTCAGCCGAACTCAAATAACTCAAAGCTTCAGCACAAGAGATTCTTTCTTAAGGATTCTATTATAGCATCCTCTCCACTAAATATTTCAAAGTGGGATTCTCAATAGTCTGTGTGTACTCTTGGCTAAATTTGTATCCTTCATTCAATTTAAAGACCTCATCTAAATTGCCTCCTTAAAAAAACTTACAATGATGGATCCTATTATAATTTACATCTTTTACATTTCCCACAAAATCACTCCCACTCCAAAGATATCAATCTTCTCATCACATGTATTTTGAGGCTTAAACATTTCTGGAGCCAAATACCCCGGGGTTCCACACACTCTGTTTTCCCATCCCCCCATATCACCCTTCTTCTCTGCCAATCCAAAATCTGTCAGCTTCACAGTTTGCAAATTGTCAGATTCTCCAAATAAAACGTTTTCTTATTTTATGTCCCTATATACGTACCCTTCCTTATGAATGTAATTAACACAAACCAATATTTGCTAAAATAATTTGGATACTTACTTTTAATATTATAAAGATCTCTTGCTCCACCAGAATTCTCGATCTCAACAATTACTTAAGTGACTTACCTTCCAAATATTCCATCACTATATAAAAATGTTTAGAATCCACATAATATTCCTTCATTTTAACTATCTTCGGATGTTTTAAAGTCTACAATGCCTTCACTTCTCTCATAAAGTCCTATACTAATCTAACCATTACTTACTTCATATTTGTAGGCACTCCCCATCTTCAGAGATTTGCAAGCCACATACTCGTCAGTCAAACGATTCTAATATTTAAATACCTATAACAAATAACAACCACAAATTACATGTCCATAAGTTCCCCTACCACAAAATGAAATCATTTGGTAGATTTTGTGAATGTTTCGATACGAGATTTTTCCGTCCAGGAACTATTTGAATAATTCTAAGTGGCTCTTCTCCATCTCGAAATATTCCCATGAACCATTCACCAAAATGCCAAACCCAGTCAACTTTTACTAACATTTGGACAACTTCCATTCAATAGGTGTGTCCTCAACCAGTTTTATTGTGTGTTGAACCATCTTCTTCGACTAAAATATACTTATAAAGCTTCTACATTCTATAATCTTATTCTATCCTACAGAAACTCAACTGAAAACGAGTCGTGGAATAGGAGGTTTCTCTTTATACAGATCATAAATTATAGTTTTAGAAATAATTAATAGTTTAAGAAAATTCACATAAATCCTAAATTGTAATTTCTTTATCTAAATGAATAAACTTTAAACAAAAATCCTTTACTACTTAAAAAAAAATTTGAAATTTTTAATTAATTTACTGCGAATCAACATACCAGGCCAGCTTATGCATCAAACAACTATTAATCTGAGAAATCAATTTACATTTAATTTATTTTGTTGTTCCTATAATAAAGAAAGAATATAAATAATTAAAATGATTTAAGAATGAATTAAACACGAAGTTGAAGACTCTCCCTCCCCTTTTTGTAATTAATTAAAATTAGAAGGTCTATTATAATATATATTTAATGCTATTCATTTCTTCTCCAATTCTGCCACTTTAGCTTTTAATTGGGCATTTTCTGCGCGCAATTGATTCTAGAATAATATGGAACACTTTACTTCTGATTGAATCAACTCATCAATAGCCTTTGTCAGGTGACCTATTCTATAAGCATATCTTCTGTTTTGATCTTACAATGTAGCTATTTCTCCTTGATTCTTGAAATTAATGAATGCGTTTACCTCAGAACCAGCTTTAACATTTTTTAATTACTCATAGAATTCATTCCTTAAGTCATAGAGTTATTAGAGTAATTCTTATTATGTTGTTGCCATTATAATTATTATTTTTAATATTTATATTACTCATAAAAAATAATTACAAATTAAAAATAGTTCATCTTGTATAATTTGATGGTAATTATCCTTTTGAGATTTGATATTTCGCAAGGATCTCTAATAATTTAATTATTCTATTAGATCGATTTTGATGTTGTTTGAGCATTCCATTTTCTTGAAGAAAATTAATGGGTTAAATTCATAAATTATTTTAGTTATAATTAGTTAAATTCATAAATTCTCATAATTTATTAGATCTATATATTTGGACTTTAATAATTTAATGTAAGTTTACTTTTTAAAACAGCACTATATTGAAATTAGTAAAAGAACTTAACAATAGTGTTGTCAATCACATTCTTAATATGAGTTAATGATTACATCTTAAGGATGAGAGAGTATCAAAAACAAAGTGAAGTATCCTTAATCCAAGTCATTTGATTTGAATTTGCTGGACAATATTGATGATGTTTGACGGATTGTGAATTTTTAAATTAAGTTGTAAGAGTCTTCTTATGAAGTGAAATTCTTGGATTAGCACTTCAGAGCTGGGAGGGTATTGGAAGGAAGTGATGTTATGAATGATTATTTGTTTAATAATAATATTTATATATTTATATATACATATACGAGATGGCTTATAACAGTGATTTCTAGGAGCAGGGACAGTATGATTAGGAGGAGTTTGCAATGAGGATGCCGGTGAAGAGTCACTTGCAGAGATTGGATGTAAATGGGTTTATTAGTCGTAGTAAATGTTGCAGCAATTGATGGATGAGTTGGATTTGGCAAAGAAGGAGAAGGAATAATTGCGTAATAATTTGATTGAGTTGTCGCAAATAACAACAGATTCATTTGATGATTCGAATAAATATTTGAATGAAGAGTATCGGAGATTGATGCAGGAGTTTCACGAGTAGAATGCGTTGCAATTGGAATAGCATTAATTCTTAAAGCAATAAGTGGATCAGATCAATTAAGATAGGATAAAATTGCAATAAAATACTATTGTACTAGAGAATAGAATTCAAGATTCAGAAAAAGAATTGGGATTTGTTTGATTATAAATAAATGAAAATTAAACTAGCAATTATCTTTAACTTATTAATCTTACTAAACGCATCTACAATATCAATTACAATATGCAAATGCGAGTAGTTGCTGTCATAAACGGATTGTCAGCATTAAAACAACGATTGCCTGTGGATTTCAGACAAATGCGTCATCAATCCCAGCCAATCTGACTCAGGAGCTCAAACCATAACATATTGCACTTCATACAAAGAATCAGAATGTGCTTCTGTTGTTGGTTGTGCATGGATAAATAAGGCATGTGAACAATTCTTGGGTTGTACTGCATATTACTATTCAAAGTATATAGAATGTTAGTAGATTTCACTGCAGTGTTAATCAGATGGGTCTCATTGCATTGAGATAAGTGATTGTGCTGATTACAAGACCAAGTCAGCCTGTTCTCGGAACAAGAAGAATGTCCTATGTTATTGGAACGAGGATAAATGTGAAGACTACACAGAATGTAGCCAATTGCCTAAATCATTATTGTCTGACAGTGAGTGTAGAGCTCAGTTGTAGAAATGCACAGTTGGAGAACAAAGTGGCTGTGTTGAAAGTGCAGAGAATTGTGAAGATCAAAAATTAGTATCTTAATGCAAATGGAATAAATTATAAACACAATAATGTATTTGGTAGAGTGATAAGTGTGTCTCCCTTTCATGTTCAATTGCACCTGTAACATATACTACTCATTCACAATGTTATGAATTCATGGTTGGTTGTACAACATAGTAAAATGGAGGGTGTACAAATATAACATCATGTTCAAATGCAAAGGTTGAGGCTGCATGTGTTATAAATAACTTAAATGAACCATGTGTTTGGTCAGATAATTCTTGTTATGATTAAGTTTGTAACAAGGCACCCACTACTTTTAAGACAAACGAATAATGCAAGACAATAGCCAATAATTGTATTACTACATTGAATGGGTGTGTTGAACAACTCTCATGTTCCAGTTCTAATAATTAGACTGGATGCATTGATATGGCTGATGGTACTAAATGCTATTGGAATGGTTCACAATGTGTGATAAAAGGATGTTCTAGCAATACAACTGCCACATCTGAAGCTGAATGTGAAACATATTCTAGTGAATGCACTTTCAATGTATCAGCGTCTATTGGATGTGTAGATAAGATATGCGAGAACATAATTAAATAAGATCAATGCACCGTTGATGCCTTTAATAATAACTGTATTTGGAAGAGTAATTGTTTTGTAAAATAATGTGTTTTTGCACCTAAAACATATCAAACTCAAGCAGAATGCGAGACATACCTAATGGAATGTGGCTTAGATGAGTCAGGATTTGGATGCATGAATAAGTTGTTATCATGTTCAGCTTATGTAACTGAAAAGTCATGCAATAAAACTAAATCAGGGGGAGGCTGTGCATGGAATAATTAAAAATGTGTTGAGAGACAATGCAATATGGCTGATAATTCAATTACTACAACAGGAGCATGTCAACTATACAAATCTGATTGTGTAGTGAACAACAATCAAAATGGTTGCATGAATCTCACTACTAATTGTGGTGATAGACATCTAAAAGAGAATTGCGAATTTGGAACATCGCCATTTTGTGTTTGGAATAATATCTAATGTGTTCAATAATCCTGTGAAACTGCCAGTGTGGTGGGATCTCGAAATTATTTAACCTATTTCACCCAATCTAATTGCAATCAATATATGAATAATTGTGTGTTGAACAACTCTAGCAATGGGTGTATGACTAAGCCTACCACTTGCAATCAACTGGGCATTAGCAATTGTTATGTGTCAATTCAGAATGATTGCATTTGGACTGGGGGACAATGCCTAGAAAAGGTATGTTCTAATCTAATAGGCAGCACTCATTAGGATTGTTATAGTCAATACAATAAATGTACTGTAAATAGCAGTTTAAATGGGTGCATGAATCTACAGAAATGTTAATATTACCCAAATGCATAATAATGCCAAATAAATTCTGCAGGAGTGCTATGTGTATGGACTGGGATATTTTGTAGAGAATCTATTTGCAGTGATTCCACAGATTCCAATAATTTTGATAGTCACGATAAATGTAAATTACTAAACCCTTAATGCACAGTAGTGAGTAGAGTGGATCAGAAAGGATGTGTTAGCAAACTAAACAACTGTGTAGATTACAAATATCGGTATCAATGTTATTCAACCATCAATTAAGTTGATTGCATTTGGGCACAAAGTAGGTGTCAAGAACTTTAATCGTTAGACTGTTCTGTAATTCCATTGCAAATATACAATGATGCTAATTGCAGTGCTGTCTTGTTCAGATGCAAATCAAATTACTAAAATAACCAATGCACAGACAAAGTATGTACTGATTATTTGTATACAACCAAAGGGGATTGTGAAAAGATATCAGGTTGTACTTTGAATAGGGATGCAAATGGGTGCAATCTTAAAAAGGATTTTTGTTATGAATACACAGCAGATCTATGGTAGTGCAAATATTCTAAAGAAGGAGAATGTGCTGTAAGGGGAATAGAATGTGTATAGACTCATGTTGATTGCAATACTCTTCCCACTCCTACAATAAATACTGATTGTTCGAATAAAAGAGACTTTTGTATCATGATTGTATCAGGCACTACATAATCGTGCAGTGCTGGTCAGTGCTCTAGTTTTGTTGGTAGTACCTATTCGTTTGAAGCTTGTCAAGCATATGATTATTCTTGCACAGTAAATCGAGCCTCCACTGGATGTGCTAGTATGGCTGATACATGTAGATCTGCAACAAGCGACAATTGCGTCTACTCAAAGAATGATCATAAATGTATATGGACAGGTACTGTATGTAAACCTGTAGCCAATGCTACAGAATAGAATTGCCAATTGCTTACTAACCCTTACTCCAATTTAACCTTTGAATATTGCCAATAATACTCCAATAATTATTGCAGTGTTAATAGAGCTAGGAATGCCTGCATAAACATGAAAACAAATTGCACTCTATATACTGATTTGGACAATTGCTATTAATCATCTCGAGGAAGGTGTATATAAAATAAATAAGAAAATAAAGAAGCTGCATGCATTGATATTCCGAATTCAATTTCATGCGATTAAATATTACTAGGTGAGACCTTTTACTACACTCATGAAGTCTGTCAACAACTGAACGGCAATTGTACAAATGATTCAGACCTAGGATGCATAGAGAAGACTTGTAAAAATATCAAGACTTACCCAACAACTCATGAGGAATGTGAGTCATGGTTATCCATATGCACTATCGATGTATCAAGTAATGCTTGTATTGAAAAGAATCAAAGCTGCTCATAATAGAATGCTAGTAATTGTCTATGGACTCAAGAAGGGTAATGCATTGTCATAAATAATAAATGTATGAAAGCTGAATGCCATCTTTTATCCACTAACTAGTAGACTCATTATCAATGCTCTAATATGTATAACAAATGTACTATAGCCAATTAAGGAGGTTGCATCACAAAATTATAAAATTGCAGTAGTTACTTAACAGAAATCTAATGCAAGTACAACTATGGTAATTAAAAGTGTTGGTGGAATCAAAGCACTCTCAAATGTGTTACTTTATTATGCGATTAGCTTGCATAACAATATGCAATAGCTGATTGTCCATCTTTAAAGCCATGCAATCAGTATACTGCCATATCAGAATGCGTAATCGACAATCAGAATCAACCTTGTGTCTGGAATACCATCACTAATAGATGTCAATACAAACAATGCAATGCTGCTTCAATCTCCTCCTACTTTTCTCATTAACAATGTCAATATTTTGATAGCAAATGCACAGTCTAAGTCAAATTAAATAATCAACAAGAATAGATTGCACAAGGCTGTAGGGAGGTAAGCATCAGTTGCAGTGACTATAAGTTTGAATAGCAATGTTTTATCACTAAAGATAATAAAAAATGTGCTTGGTTTGAATCTGCCTGCATCTTATCAACTTGTGACACTGCTCCAAAAACTGCTGATTATTCAACACATTAAAGTTGTCAAGAATACCTAAACACCTGTACAGTCTCGCCGGATTAGCTAGGTTGTATTACAATTCCCAAATAATGCACAGATATCAACCTTGAAATCTCATGCATTAGAGATGGAAGTGGCAATGATTGTTTCTGGTATGATTCAAAATGTTAAATCAAAACTTGTTCTGCTGCTCCACCTGAGTAAAATAATGCTTTATTATGTTCCCTTTGGCTCCCTAATTGTACAGCTGAGGACAAAAACAAATGCAAGAGAAATTCTTGCGAAGAGTACGAATATACCACTGATTCTGAATGCAAAGCAGCCATGTAAACTTGCACTACAGATGGTATTAAATGTGTTCAAAGACGATCATGTTCTGCTTCTCTAAGTGAAGCTGGATGTACCACATCAATCAACAATGAATAATGTTATTGGATTGGTGATAGTTGTACGTTGAAAGTGTGTTAAATAATCAATAAAGAGAAGGATTGTAATGTGAGCTACAATAATATTAAATGCATTTGGTAAAATGGTATTTGTAGAAATGTTGAAGATTGCTAAGATTATACTGGTACCAATCACACAGACTGCTAGAAATAGAATGTCTCATGTACAATTGGAGATAATTAGAAGTGCATGAAATTGAAAAGTTGCGCTGAATTCAATACCTCAAAATCATGTGTTTAAGGGTTAGATGGTCCTTGTAGGTGGGTTCCTAAGCTATCTAAATGTTTCTAATTTACTTCTTGCAAATCAATACAGTTTACAACTGATCAGGAATGCAAGATGGTCTCACCTCTATGTACAACTGATGGATTAAATTGTATTGCTATTACATTGTGTGCAGAAACCAATACAGATGGAGGTTGTGTAAGTGGAATTGATGGTGATTGTATCATGACTGTTCCCGCTTTGAATTCAACCCTACCTCCAATTTGTAAGTTATTTACCTCTTGTGCAGATGCATATTACCTTACTCATTAAGATTGTCAAAATGCAAGTAAAAAATGCACAACCGATGGATTGAATGGATGTATCGAACTTAGCGAATGTGACTAGTATGTCAATTAAGCTTCATGCAACAGTAATTCCATCGGAGTGCAATTATAAAATGACCAAATAATATCCACTGGTGCTTGTGTTTGGAATTAAAGTGGGAAATGTGCCAACCAAACGTGTACAGATTTATATGGCACATCCCATTAACTATGCACTCTGCCCTTATCTACCTGCACTTACGATGGAGTAACTTGTATCTCCAAGTTAAATTGTTCTGAATATAAGACATAGGATATTTGCTCAGTTGCTTATGGATTAGAAGGCAGATGCAATTGGAATGTAGTCTAAGGAATTTGCTCACCATTTACATGTAGCAGTATTATGAATGGAATGACATTAGAATATTGTTAATCGACTATGTCATCATGTATTACTGATGGATTCAACTGTATAAATAAGGATGTGTGTTCATCGTATACTACTAAAATTGCTTGTACTATAGGTGGAACTGATGGTATCTGTGTATGGAATGGATTCTCCTGTTAGCTAATGCAATCCTGCAATTCAGCAGATGTAGATCAAGATGCCTGCTTAATGGCCAAGGATCGTTGTACTTTTAAATACGGTATGGGTATTACTACTAGTTCATGTTCTTCTCATACTTGCGAATCTTATGAAAAGACAAATGGCAAATGCAGTTCTATTTATAATTGGGATAAATCCTTTAAGAAGAGTTGTTAATTAGTCGATGGGAAGTGCGTTGAGTTCGATTTAACCATTCTGGATTAATCCCGATGTTATACGGTTTCTGAATATACTTATACTTGGAATGCATAAATGAATAAGTGCCAATCTTGCAACGTCGTGATCGACACAACTACAAATCAAACTTAAAATCAAAGCAATTAAACTACAAATGCGACCACGGATCCAGCAAGCACTGTGAATGATTTTGCTAGAAGTCTTGAATTGATTATTATGTTCTTGATTATGGTCTATTGATGACATTCAATTAATAATGATTTGAATACATATTAAATATTAATAATATTATTCATTCTCCTTAAAGATAGAATACCCATTGTGGCAAATCTCCGCAAGAAATTATTAATCTTCCATTGTTGCTTGTGTTTGGCACTGCTTTGTAAGTGATGTTTATGCTCAATACTTTTTTACCCTAAAAACTCAATTAGATTTCTTACATCGACTTTGATAGGGGACTTGACTGAAGAAGTAAAGGCGGGATTGTCAATTCTCAAAGTGAACTCTTAAGCCTCAAAGAAGGGATTCTTGAATTCAATAGCAGGTGGTTTGGCACCAGATAATTTGTATGGTCCTTTCGGTTATGGTGTGATTCCTTATCCAATCAAAAGACATTGATATTCTAAATGTAAAATGATATGTTTTACCTCCGCCATCAGGTGATTGCACAACTAAGATGCCTCTGCTTTCATTGAGACTGCTGGGCTCATACTTTACACTGATCTGACATTCAACCCCATCAAACGATTCAGATTAAGGTGCTTGGAATTGAACCTATTCACAAATAAAGTCTGTTGTCTAGGCAGGTGCGCCTTTAGCCTTTGGGTCTATGTTCACAGCAAGTGGTTTTCCATTTGGACCCAATTTCGTGGCATAACATGTGTACATGGTAGGCTTCTTGGTGTAGTTCATAAACTTGAATGGCAAGACCATTTCAGTGCCCAAGGAAGCTTTGAAATAGAGTGATCTTGACACATTCTACTGTAACCCTTATAATTTCAGAGGGTAGACAAACTCTCCTAATTGAACCGATTTTATTGTGATCTTGGATTGAATGTCTTGCACCACCAAAGGTCTGTAGGCTATTTCAAGACCGAATTCAGATTTAGGTGGGATTACGAATTATTAAGGATTGAATGAGATACTGTCGGTTTCAGCAATAAGTTGGTCTTTCTTAAATTCTACAGGCTAATTGATTGGATTCTCGATGGTGATCAACTTTGTTGCCACTTCCCTAACTATGGATGTCAATTCAATTCTTGGTAGTTGATCTGGAGGTTGAATGGTTAAATTCTATAAATATATTAATTATATAGGTTACTATTTTAAAGAATACAAATTCTTATGTGATGGCATTTCTGAAATAAACCGTTACTTTATTTTAGGATTGCTTAAGTCCATATATGGTGAGTTTGTAATCCTTGGTTCCTTCACTAGATACTTCAAAAGTATTGGCTCCATTTAAAATAATCGAAGGATCTTCAGGTTCTAATGTCCAGGTAACCTCGAATCTTTGACTGGTCTTCAACCAATTTTTCACTTGCAACACCTAGGTTGTGTTCTTTTTGGCCTTCATGGTTGTGTCCACAGTTTATGGTAATGGTGGCAAACTCTTACCAAATAGATTATAGAGAAGTGCCTACCCATCAGGCAATGGGAAAAAGAGTGATCCTTCATGTTGATCCTATAAGTTTTAGATCTAAGGATTGGATGTCATTGTTAAAGGCTTGTAAACGACTTCATATTCTGCTTATCCATTGGCTGGGACTTCTATGTATTCTTTGCCTTCAAAGTAATCTTTAAATTAAGGCAACAAAGCAGACACAGAGGCCTTGACTTTCCAGGGTTTTGGAGTTGGATTCTTGACAGTGACCTTTTTAGAAGTGGGTACTCTCACAACAGTCTCAAATTTCACTTCTTAGATTTATTCTTTTGGTTATTCTATGCATTTTCCTAAGAGATTCAAGTACAATGGGTCTGAATTTTGGATCAAGCATTTCACCTTATCAAATCTAATGTCATTATCAATAGCATTTGGGTGGAACGTAATCTAAAATTGAAGGTCTTCATGAGCTGGCAATGTTCCCGATAAAGGAGTGATGGTGAAGTAATTCTTACAAAACGAGGTATCCCATTGGAATTTAGCAGCAACATCTCCCAAATTGCTCAATTGCACATTCTTCGTAAGTCTTGAATTGATAACAACTCCACCAAATCCTATGGTGTCCTCCATCAGCTTCAACTCTATGCCATGACAAGCTCCTTACAATGTCAATAGTTTTCTCACTTCATTGTTTTCAACTATCTTAAAGAACAAATCAGTCTTGAAAGAGTGCAATCTCTATTGAGGTTTAAAGGTCAGAGTGATTTCTTTTCTCTCCCTTGGATTAATCACAAATTCCTTCTTAGGTCTTACCTTAATGAAATATTTCTATTTCAATTCTTTCAACAAGTCCTACTCGAAGATCAAGGTGACCATCTTTTGAGAATTATTCACCAATGAAACTACCTCTGTTCCAATCTGTCCAACACCATATATTCCAAAATCTACAAATTAATATTCTGTCTTCAATAAGTCCAACTTCAAAGGAACACCTTCTCCTGTAAATCTCACTTCCACCTTTTACAATCCATTGATGTCAAAGATTACACTTTCGTCATATTTGACCAACTCTCTAGGCGTGAAGGTTATTGGAATCTACAACACATTCAACTCCTTCGTTTGTATGATTCCCTTCTTATCCTTATGTGTTTCTATCTGGATTGGCAAGAGCACCTAACCTGAAGGCAATTGAACTCCAAAGTAGGGTTTCTTCTCATACAAGGCTTCGATTGCCATGGCTTGAACGTCTCTATTCCTCAACTCCAAATGCTTAGTAATAGGCAATGGTTATCTCAATACAAAGCAGGGGCCAAAGTCATATTATAAAAATGAGAATTCCACTGCTGGCTTTTTGGCAGATCCAATCAATTGGAAATTATATGTAGGTCCACTCGAAATACATAATGAAAATTGTTGATTCAACTTCTATGGGGCTGTTGGTTGATATCTGATCTCAATATTAAACTTCTCATTCTTCTTCACTGTGCCATTCTCTGGGTTGATAATCACAATATTGGATAATTGAGCTGATTTCCTAACACTGAAATCGAAATTGAAATCTCCCTGATTCTCAACTGTGATCTACTTGCTGGATTTCTCGTTGATATACAAATCTCCCAATTCAACTACTGTATTTTGTTAAGTCACAGCCACACCATTCAAATACACATTGTTGTGTAGAATGTACCCAATTCCCTTGACATTCAAAGTCACTGGTCTCTGTCTTCTCTTCACATTGCATAACAGATTATAATTGTATTCTCTTTCTACTTTTGGTGCAAATTGTATCTCAATAGGTTAATCTCCGAGTGCCTTAATGGTACCTTAAACTGGAGTTATGGTTAATGAATCACCAAACTCTGGATTATGGAAAGACTCCCTATCAAATTAAAATGTCAAAGGGACATCCTCTAAATTCTTTAAAATGACTGTTTCTTTATTCTTTCCTTGAACCAATAAGGGACCAAAATTGACCTTACCAACGTTGAATATGACATTTGGTTCAACCACACTTCCAGTAACCAAGAAATATTAAATAATATGTTCTTGTGGGATCTCGAAAACCCAATAGCTTTCATGTTGTCCTTATGTGTCTGGTGAATATTCGAAGATGATTTCTGATTTCTTGCCAGACAAGACGACACCCTTGATTGTGATACATTTGAAATAGTTTGCATTCTGATTCTTTTCATCATCAATTCTCTTCCATTCATATTCATAACCAACTGAAGTGGGATTCACAACATAAAATCTCTTTGTGTTCTTAACTTTGCATCCCAAACTCTCGAATTCAATCACATTGTACTTGGCTTCCAAATCTGGCTTCTTATCTCTATAATTACTAGGTGGCAATTCAAAATGACATATCGGTCTTTCTGCTTGTCCATCCAATTCAACTATCAACTTCTCCTAATTTGGATCCAAATTGTCTATTGAGATGACCAACAACCTCTCATTCGACTCATCAACTTCCGTGGGACTGAATTTAATAGTGAACATCTCATCACTATTGCTAGCAATCTTGCCTTGCTTTGGATACACATAGAAGTATCCAGGATCTATGGCACCAGTCTATGCTGACACTATCTTACAACTATAGTTTATGGCTATCAATGAAGTGTTCTTTAATTTTAGTTAATGAACTCTGGTGGTGTACATCAAGGTCTCCTTAAAGTAAACACTCCTCTGATCAATTTCATATTTAGCAAAATCAGCAATAGCATTCACCTTCATAGGCATACTCTTATCACTCTTATCAATAACCTGGTATTCTGGCTCAGGCAATGGGTCTGAAATAGGAATGTTGGCTTCCTCCCCAGGTTCAGGCTAAGGAGGTTGGACGATGTCTTATTTCACTGTCTTCTTGTCAACTTTCTTGGCTCCCTTTTTGTTGGCAGCCTCTTCAGCCAATCTCCTAGCCTCTTCTTCCTCCCTCTTCTTAATCAACCAATTGTATTCAGTTAAGGTGACATATTTTGTGGTCGCCATACTATCATCCCATTCTGATTGAACTTTCTTATTAATTTGTTTGGTATCACACTATAAGGCATATGATTTGTGGATTATGCTTCTATTGGATTTAAATATTAATGTGATGGGCTTTGACTCTTTGGTATTCAAATGGCCTTGTCTAGGAATGAATGTAAAATCTTCACATCCTTAAGTGTTCCATTAGAATCGAATAGTGTTGGCTCCATTGTTTTTAAGGAAAAACTGTATTTTCTTTTCTGTATTTATGATGCAATCACCAAATTGAACTTCATCATCCAAGTTTTCAAATACAATGTCCTCCTAGAATGCTTCTCCTGTTACTGCCACTTTAGTAACTTCATAGGGATTCAGCAGAGTTTGCATTACGAAATAATGTTACTTAACTCCCACGTCCTTTGGAGTGAATTCAATGTTGAAAGTAGCAGTGGTCTTAGGAGTAAGGGTAAATGTGTTTTGATCTAAGAATCTAAAATGTTCATTCACTGCTGTCAAATCCCATTTAACTGTTGCTGGAATCTACCCATCATTCTTCAATACGATTGGCATAGTTAAAGTCTTGCCCAATCGAACTCTGCCAAATTTAACGACAGGTGTTCTCTCATCCAACCAATCCTTTGGCTTCTCCAATTTCAGTGTTGGCAATGCT